GCCAAGAAGCGAGAGCGGCGCCAGGCGGACAAGGCGGAGCGCGATGACCACATCAGCGAAGCGCTCCGCATTGCAGGGTGGCAGTGCCCTAACTGCTATGAATGGAATCTTTCATTCAGGCAGCTGTGCTTTCGCTGCAGCACCCCTCTCCGTTTGGCAGAGGTCGTCTCTCGCGGGATCCCTGATCCGCGGCGTGGCGAAGAGAGGGACTCTGGCTCCGAAAGCAGCCAGGACGAGCTGGAGCACGAGATCCTTCTGGCCAATCTTGCGATGGACCAAGAAACCATCCAACCTCTTCTTAGAAACAAACACAAGAAGAGGGGCGGTAAGCGACGTCGCGAAGAAGCGACGTACGGCAAGGGCCGCGACCCTTGGAGTGCTTGGGCAGATGCCCGTGGCAAGGGCCAGGGCAAGCCGAAGGGCAGAGGCAAGTCCGATGCCAAGGGCAAGCCCAAGGGGAGGGGCAGGTACGCCTGGGGCGCTTACGCCGCGGGCATAGTTGCCGCGCTCCAACCCCGCCCAAGCACAAGCTGGGTCCCAGCCTTCCCGTGCGGGTCGGCCCGGCCGCCGCCAAGTGTTCCGCTTCCGCCGCGGACCCCCTTTTTCCTGGGTCGCGGGCTCCTCAATCGGTTGATGCACGCCCTCAACGGGAACATCAACGGCTGGTGGGGCCTGGCGGCTGCAGCGTCGGCGCCGATTGCCTTGCAGTTGCACCGCGGGGCTGTGCATGTTGTCGAGGACTCCATGCACGCGGTTGCAACAATTTCGGCCGACGTTGTCGAGGAAATCGGTCATGGGGCCAGGCGGACCGTGTGGGTCGCCGGAACAGCCATCACTCTGGTAGTAGTGATCTTGTGCAGCGCTGTTCTGTGGTACGTGAGTCGTGCCGTTGCCAATCGCATTGCGCATCTGCGACATGGCAACACCGCGGCCCCTGAGGCGCGGCTGTCTCAACTCCTTGGCTCTGAAGCGACGTTTGAGGTCGCGAGCACTAAGAAAGGGGTGACCCATAAAGTTTGGGTGCACCTCAAGGAGGAGACAGCTGCCTGTGGCTGTCGTGCTTACCTAGCAGAGGGACGTTGCGGGCACTGCGATGCCGCAATGGACACCGCTCGATCCCTGGGGTTTTTGCACGCGGCCCAGCGAGGCGCGGGTTCTGCGCTCACAGACTCCATTCGGAGTACCGCCTCCGAAGCCCTAGCTAAGGGTAAGGTTGTGTTGGGTTTGGGGAACAGTGAAGGATGCTTCTCCCAACTTGCGGCCAAGAGCCGCGGGCTCTCCTGCTTTCAGGGGCTCGCGGGTCGTGACCTGGCCGCGGCCCCAGCAGATGGAGCGAGCGCAGCCCACGCACAGTCCGGCTTCGTGCAACGTGCCGCCACTGCCACTGTGGCGCGCACACCCAGCCGGAGGAACAAGGGCCCAGTCCCCGCTAGGAGTTCTCCAGTCAAAGAAGCGGAATTCCTTGCGGGCGGGCCATACGTTCAGGCCGCCCAAACGCTGCTTGGGTCTGGAGCAGCAGAGGATGTGATCTACATCCGGGCGTACAGCTTAGATTGCCCATCCTGCATCGAGGCAATCGAAGCGTCGCTTAGCAAGGGCGCAGGCGTTCGGATTGTCGCCGACATGGGACAATGCCACCGCACCAAACTGCAGTGGCAAGCGTTGAAACGCTTGGCGGCTGCAGGCGCCGAGGTGAAGGTGGGTTGCGGCACATCCGTGCGCGACGCCTATGCTCGCGACGGCCGCGGGGCTAAAGTAGGTACCGGTATCCAAGGGCTTCACCATGCCAAGGCCCTTTGCCTACTGCGGCCTGATGGCGCGGTGGTGCTGATTGGGAGCCTCAATTTTACCACAAGCAGCAAAGCCAATGCGGAGGCAGGGCTTAGGCTTGAGGTCGCCAAGACGCACCCGGTCGCGCAGTCCTACATCGAGGATTTCCAGAGGGTGTCGGCTGAGGCATTCTCCCTCGATGAGGCGGTCGCAAGGCGCCCTCAGTTGGAGCGAGCCAGAAGCTCCAACGTTGCTGGCATCGCCACTCGTGCCCCCAACACTGCTCCACAGGGTATCGAGTAGGCTGCGGCCAGTCGGCGCGGCGTGGTATGCATCCACGCATTATCAGAGCAGGCGTTGCAGCACGGCATGTTGCTTCGCCAACCTTTTGCATTTTCTTTTGCTTGACTGCGGGCGAAAAGCCGCGGCAGGTTGGAAACCTGCCCATTTTGCATTCCCCGCACCTTTCTCCTCCGCCCTGCCTGTGGCCCCTCGTGCTGAGGGTGCTCTTCTGCAGGTGCTGCGGACCGTGTCCTGGTCGCGGCAATGCGCTCGCCGAAGCGCGTGTGAGCTGCATTGCCTGCGGCACAAGCCATGTGCGCGGCTCTCGCTGAGTCCGGTAGCCCGTAGGGTAGTTCCAGATAGGTGAGTAGCCGTAGCCGTAGCTTAGGACCGGAAGTGTACAGTGTACCATAGTTTGTACCCTAGTCTGCGTACTGGCAGCTAGAGACCAGCTCGAGGATTCAAGAGCCTCGCCCACCAGCAAAAGGGTGAGGACCTCCTGGGAAAGGGTGGTTAAGGGCTGCTGAGGGTTGCTGTCGTCGTGCGTTCGTTGTGGTGGTGCGGGCTAGCGTCCCTGCCGCATGCCAATGCTCATGATGTGCGGACCACCATGGTCGCACGCGACACCCTCGCCCTTCCCTTTCTGTGTTCAGCGCGAGTGCCTGCTGCACTCCGAGCTCGAGATGAGCTGGAAGCCTCGGCTGAGGGGCGAATGTGAGCAGGTCTAAGCACGCACGTTCCATGTGCAGAGCTGCCAGAACCAGTACTGTAGTTTTCCTTTGCATGTGTAGATTTGCAATTCGTATCAATGCCAATATTTTGGCTCAAGTACCGAGCTTGTGCCTTTGAGCACGGTAGAGTCGTACAGTAGCTCCTAGGTTGCTGTGCGGTCCGACCGGACGCACTCAGGCGTAGCTGCACAAGTGCTTGGACTCACGAAGTCGTAAAACAGCGTGACCGGGCTGTGATTGCATTGGCTTAGTGCAAGTCCAGTGCTGGTCGACTTCACAATATTGTGTATATATATATGTATACACATATGTGTGAGTAGGGCCAACTCTGAGCTCGTGATCCACACATCTCTTGCGACCTCGCGGCAAGAGGTAGAAGAGGCGATGATCCGACCCATCAGCGCTGAAGCGGGTCGACTTAGGAAAGACACCATCGAACAGTCGACACAACTTCAACTCGCCACGCCCATTCGACTCTGTGTGTTGTGGAGTTTGTCCGGTCTCCCGACCTCTCCTCTTTGTGCTTCCGCCCTCTATTCTTCCGGCCCCGGGAAAACCAAGATGTTCGCAAGACAGGTCTGACCATGTTGCATGCCTGCATGCCTTTCAGGTCTCCATTCACATTGCCCGGTCGCATATTCAGCAGCCGCTGCGTAGACAGCCCTTGTTCCGTAGCTCATCGGCATGGGGGCTCTCTTGCACAAACCGTCACCTCTCCTCTCTACTGTGCAGAGCAAGGCGCCAATAAGTAAAGATATCCAGCAGCAAGTGAGATAGAGTCTGCCCTTTGGCGAACTGCATTGATACGGTGGCCTGGAGCTCATGGCGGCAGAGCCGCATTGAACATCTCCGACAAATTTCAACGTTAGTCCCCCCTGAACACATCAAAGTCGCCAAGGAAGGACAGTAGAGAATCCAGCAAAAAGCCTCTTGCTTGGTGACCTCAGCGATCTCGATGTCTGGACTCCCACCCACACCGCAAGCCAATTCATCGTTCCCCAGAATAGGGGACCATATACCCCATAGCACGATACTCCTTATTAAGAGAACCCCCGAGAAAGGGTTCGTACCACTAAACCACACTTAGAACCAGCATACTGCTTAACCCTAAACCCGCAACCCTGAAGCCCAAACCCTAAACTCATTTTGGGGAACCCCAGTTTGCCCCCTTTTGCCAACCGGGCTCATTGCTGCCGGGACCTGGCCCAGTTTGCCCCTAAACCTTAAACCCTAAACCCTAAGCCCTAAACCCTAAACCCGAAACCCTAAACCCTAAACCCTAAATAAACTCCCAATGCCAATTGCTGCAAAGCATCTCCGCGTGAATCATTCTTGTCACGGAGTCGGGGCCGCTCCCACTTGATGGATCTCCTTGTCAGAGGAGGTTTGTTTGGGGTTTAGGGTTTAGAGTTTTTTTTGCCACCCGACTAGCCACGGCAATGCGGGGGTAAATTGGTCGGAGGAGTGGGTTTGGAGTTTAGGGTTTAGGGTTTAGGGTTTCGGGTTTAGGGTTTAGGGTTTCGGGTTCAGGGTGTAGGGTTTAGGGTTTAGGGCTTAGGCTTAGGGCTTAGGGTTTAGGGGTTCTTCTTGGGATTGTTGGGCTTATTGGGTTTGGGGCTGCTGTTGTAGGGGTTGTTGGGTTTCTTGGGCTCGGGGTTCCCAGAAGCTGCATCTGGGCCGCGTTGATTGACGCAGGTGTGACACTTCCAGGGAATAGGCCCCGCTCGCACCTCGGGGCTGAAAGAAGAGGCAGCCTCCAAAAGAGACTACAAAATTATACATATTATATATATATATATATAGATATAGACAATATTAGATATATACAATATTAGATATTTTATTGGGTATTCAATAATTCATGAAGATTCAGTGTGCAACATGCCAAAAGCCCATGTTTTGCTGCGCAGCTGGGAGTTGATGCTCCGGAGGCGTTCCGGCTGTCCATGGGCTCTCAAAGCGCGCACCCCGGTGCTTTTAAGCACCACAAGGCCACAAGGACATGCAGCTACAGGGCTACACTCGCCTGAGCCAGACTTGTGCCGGATAGAGGTTTTAGGAAGTTTAGGGTTTAGGGGAGCTTCAGTTTCAAGTTTCAACAACATTGCTGTCTGCCTTGGTGTGGAACATGCAGTCGCTCAGGAAAAGCGCTCTGTTTCGCAACCGATCGATGCCGTTGTCCAGCCAGCCAGTGCCCTAACAACACAACAACCGGCTTCAGCTGTAGTAGTAGAGGCTCTCCTCCTTAACGGCACTGGACATGCAAAAAGGTGGCAGAATTTGTGACGATGCTTGCATGCGAAGGTGCGAAAAACTGCTTTCTGCAAGCCAGGCTCATCAGAGAGCATCGTTAACGGACGAGGGTTTCCAGCCCACGTATACCAGCCTCCATCAAAATCCAAGTCCAAGCTGACCTTGCATGGGGCGCAACCCTTTACCCGAGATGATCGCCGAAACGTCACGCGGCCTTTGGAACATGGCGCCGGAACTGGCAAAAAATCCCCAGCCCAGTCCTTGGTTGCCATGGCCTTCTGTACCACGCGAGGCTTTAGCTTCCGTTAGTTGCTAAGAGCCCTACATGTGCTTCCATTGAAGGGTTAAACTGCTGCTTAAGCTTTGAACAGTTGGCTAGCTGGCTGGAATCTGCTTGTGGTGACTCTCAACAACGCCACTCGCTTCTCAGCGCAAGCAAAGCTATAACCGGAGCTGCCCAGGGATTTAAGTTGCAGCACCAGGCGCACACTCGTGTGATGAGAGTGGTACATCCGCACCCAGCCTGTCAGCTCTGGCACAGATTCATCGCCGAACTTGCATCGCGCGGCCTGACAGGACTGCGAGCATTCAAACATGCTGTCAATGTTCTTTCGGAATCATGGAAAACTAATCGATAGCATGCGCCAAATCGGACCGGTCGCATTGCAAGCACGACTTAACGAGACACCCGAATCAAGGCTTTCGGGGCATCTTCCGGCATGCATCTCTTGACAAAGCCACAGGTAGCAGCGTGCCATGTCGCAGCAGACCCCGAGAACGGAACGGGAGCGGAACGGAACGCGACAGCATTTTCAGGAAAGGGAGGCAGGGTAGCTCGCAAACGCGCGGAAAAATACCAAAACGAAGTTTCCCAGCCTCGGAAAAATCATTTTGGCAGCCGCCTGCCAGTTTCCTCAGAATGGCTCAGCCCAGACGCTGATTCCACGAAAACTCGTTGCACAGACCCGGAAAGCCAAACTGATTTTTCCGGGCCCTGGAAAATCATTTTGTCAACCCCCTTGCCAGGTTCCCATGTCTGAACGCGGAAGGCTCTGCCTGAGGCCAGAAGCAGAGGTCAGGAACCATAGCCAGCACAGGCCTGAAAACGTCAAAATGATGTTCCCAGCCACGGAAAAATCATTAGGGCCACTTCCTTTTAGTTTCCTTTGCAAGGAGGCTCTGAATTCGGGAGGCTCTGCTCAAGGCCAGAGCCACCAGGAGAAGCTCAAAATGATTCTGGCCATCCCCGGAAAAATAATTTTGGCAACTCCTTTCCCAGGTTTCTCGAGGAGGCTCCGTCAGAATTCATCAGGATCTGTTTAGGGCCAGAGGCAGAGGCTGGGAAGAGTACTTAGCCTCCTTAGCCCACGAAAAGCTTTAAATGATTTTTGCCTGAAGAATGATTTTGGCAACTCCCTCGCATGGTTTCTTTAGGAGGCTACGGCTGCATTCGGGCGGCTCTGCTTTGCTCTTTAGCCCAGGAAAAGCTCCAAATGATTGCTGCCAGCCCCGGAAAATCATTTGGGCAAGTCCCTTGAGCCTCAGATCTCAGAGGAAATTAGCACGGAGTTGCCAAAATGATTTTGCGAGGCTTTCACGTTCCAAAGAAGTGGCAAAAATCATTCAATCCTATTGTTGGGCTAAAAAAGCTAGATTCTGCTTTACGCAGAGCCTCCCGAATTCATCCGGAGCCTTCCAGGGAAACCTGGCAAGGGAGTTGCCAAAAGGATTTCCGGGGCTGGCAAACATGATTTAGAGCTTTTGCTGGGCTAACGAGGCTACTCTTTCCGGCCTCTGCCTCTGGCTGTAAGCAGAGCCTCCCGAATTGAGCCGGAGCCCTAGTAAAGGAGTAGTGCCAAAATGATTTTTCCTGGGGCTGGCAAAAATGATTAAGAGCTTTTCCTGGGCTGAAAGCTGCTAAGAAGCTACCCTTCCCGGTCTCTGCTTCTGGCTTTGAGCAGAGCCTCCCGAATTCAGCCGGAGCCTCCGAGATTGCCAACATGATGTTTTGCCAGCCGCGGAAACATCGTGTTGGCTTTTCCCGACCGTGCAAGCTATTGTTCATTCTGGCCTCTGCCTCTGGCCGCTTGCTGAGGCTTCCGTATTGAGTCCGAAACTTGAGGAACCAGGCCAGCGGCGGACAAAATGATTGTTCCAGGGCTTGGAAAAATCATTTTGGCCTTCTTCCGAGCGGTCTTGTAGCTTTCTTATACAGAACGGAACGGAACGGACCGCACGGAACGGAGCGGGAGCGTGGACCCCGGAACGAGCAAGCTTGCGCCTACTGGTGCACTTTGCCTCGAGGAGCTCCAGGAGCGCCACCCTCTCGGAGTAGGACTCGCAGGACCAGCCACGTGCATCCACTGGCCGCAGCATGGCCTGGCTCTGACAACGCTTGGGCCCGGTGTCTTCATGTTCCGAGAATAGGGGGGGTACCCTTTTCCTGTAACGAGGATTTTTACCATTTTGGGGGGTAGATTGAGGGTACCCCTATTTGGGGAAATGCCCGTATGGGCGGGGGGGGTTCCGACATTATCGGTGGCTTATTGGGGTCCTTACTAGACGGGAATCCTGCTCACGATTGGGGCTCCCGCTTTTTCTTGCACCTTCTATGAGGAGCTTCACTTCTTTTTTGCCACCCGTCTGGAATTGCTCCATAGGGCTGCTGTAAGGGCTTTTGAATACTTGTGGTACCCAACTCTGGACCAACTTGGGAAAACCCCAACTGGACCGACAAAAAAACACATGCTAGTGAAACAGGAGGCTGGCATGCAGAGAGTACAAGGAGGGGCAGGTGTACAGAGGGTCGAAAGGCTTGCATACAACCTATGCCGCCACATCTGGGCAAACAGACCCTAATTTGGAACACCCGTCCCTCCCCCCCCCCCCCCCCCCACCACATGGACGCCGCTTGTGATATGCGGGCTTCCGACAAAAGAGGGATGTGCTTTGCGGTTTTTCTGCAATTCTTTTGGGGCACGTATATTCGGGGTATCCCGACTTTTAATACTTGGGACGTACCCTCGTATGGCTGACTTCGAGAAGCCCCCGGACCCAGGGGAAATTGGGCCTTGACTTCATCGTGAACGCCTTCAGCCCAACCGCTGGCGACCACAGTAGGCTCGCGCCGCAGCACGTCACCGCCTCTGATGCTTTTGGGTTTGGGTTTACAGGGTTTAGGGTTTAGGGTTTGGGGTTTAGGATTTAGGAGGCTTACCATGTTCAAACATGTCTGGCCATCTGTTTTTGCGGGCGCTGCAGGTACTACTTGCTCTTGGACTACATACGTGTACGACTCAGTGGGGCTCGCGGATGTCATCAGCTGTGCTGAAAGACTCCCCTCTAACCCTAAACCCTAAACCCTAAACCCCCCTCTGTACGAAAGTCCGAAGGCCTGTCTCGAAGCTAGACAAGGCACCGTAATGTAGCTCGTACGAGATGACGGCCTGACCAGAAGCACAACGGCAAACATCTTGATCATTCAGCAGCCACTACAGATCTCAGAGTCTGGCTACGATGTTTTCGGTGCCAGGAATGCGCCATTCCTCCAGGTGGGTTCTTGCCAGAGCCCTGGCTTCCATCACCCACTCAGGGCGTTGGCTCCCATCGCAGATCCGAAAACCTGAGGCTGCAACCCTAACCCCTAGACCCTAAACCCTAAACCCGAAACCCTAAACCCTGAACCCTAAACCCTAAACCCTACACTGACCGCAGCTTGTCCGCAAGTTCCCGGCCTAGCTCTTGCATGGCCTGCCGCGCGTACACGAAGCCTCAGCGATTTTCGCTTGCTTGTCCATCTGCTGAGTCCGCTGCTACTTACACCTCATTGCAGACTTAATCGCGCATGCCTGCGTGCCTTAAGTGAACACATGCAAACTGTCACGTCCACCCTTCTGGACCTTCAGACATTGATCAGTCATGAGGCTCTTCCTAAGAGTACCCCGCCAAACGATGTCGCCTCCAGCCATTGCTGTTTAGTACGAAATCACAAAATTTCAAGGCCCCTCGCAAGTGCGCATGGGAACACTAGCACGAAACCGCTGGGAACATCTTGGAGAGCAATGTTCAAAATGATTGCCGAAGCAAGTGGAGCTACGAGTACCTAGAATAGAAGTGGCATTGATTTGTGGCGAAGGAGCAACTCCGACACTGCCCTGCTACTTATTCGACTTTCGTGACAAGAACATCGGATGCTTGCCATGAGCCTACGTACAGAATTCTCTATCTGCTGACTACCTCGAAAGCCTGACTCATGTGGGGGGACAGGCAAGCCTCAGCCAAGCCACCAAAGTTTGTCAGTCCTTACTAGTGCAAGAATTGTGCGCAACATCTGCAGCCAGTCCTTGCTGGCGCAAGACATGTGAAGAACGTCTGCAATAGGCATCTAGCTTGGTGCATCCCCAAAGAAGGCTGAAGATCATCGTCCAGGTTCCCACTGTTGTGACTTCGTCTGCCAACTCCTCAACAACCTTGTCGGACTCCTCATCTGCCTCCTCTAGGGGCATTGCACCTGGGAGCAGGTATCTGCCAACCGGCCCCCATGCAACAACATCCCTCTTCCCTCACCCGTGATGACGCTGACAAGATCATCCGGCTTGGTGGACATCTGCGGGTGAACAGCTGCAAAGGCGATGCTTGGTTTAAGGCAAAGGGTGCCACCCTGGGTCCTGCACACTTTTGCAAAGCCCGCAGGACTGGGCCGAAGAATCGCTGACGAAATTCGGCATCCAATTGCTCGGCACCTGGCTAAAGCCAACTCCCCTGAGCACTTTTCAGAGTCCTGGAGCTACAAGGTCCATCTCTCAAATGTGGAGGAGCCTCTACTCTGCAACCTGTGGCGAGCCACGATGTTCGCAAGCTCGGTACTGGCCTTAGCTTCGACATTCCGTTCTTGATGTCCCTGGCTCTCCTCTCTTGATTTGTGTCACTTCAGACGCCGAGCTGGAACCTCGAGACTGCGAAGGGTTCAGATGATAGCTTCCGGATTCAGCTCGAAGCCCGGCAGCACGGCAAATCTTGAATGAGCCGGCTGCAGGGCCTGAGGATGGCACCGCTGCGTCTGAGAAGCCCTCGACAGAAAGGAAGCGGGGCACTGCAGCCTTCGCTCAAACGCCAAAGGGCTACGGGCAGTTACGGGTACTTCGTAGCTCTTACATCTCCTTGCGCAGAGCATTCTCATAGTCATCGACATGCCGACAAGATGAGTCAGGATGAAGTCAACTCTCCCTGGCAGCGGCCTCGAGAAAAGATCGCAGGCTGTCTTCGTCACCTGTGACGTCGAAGGCGAAAGCCAGGTTGGCAAGCTCCTCCAGTGTTTTTGTCCGTGCTGGTGCCAAAGCGCAAACAGCGGCGATTTGCACAAGAGAGGCAAGGTGTCCTGCGCACCGAACTCCTGAGCCTCGATCTTGTCAAGGGCGGCAGCTAGCAAAGCTTCGGAGAGCCTCTTGCCTGCAGCCGGCCGCCATCAAGCAGGCATCAAATCTGTATCTTTTTCCGAGGAGTTCGCCAAAGGCCCCGCCCCAAGGACACCGAGGCCGTGGCTGCGGAAGCCCAGCACCGCATAGGCCCACGCCACGTTGGCCACGCCCTGGCAGCCAAATCGAAATCGATTGCAGTCATTTGGACAGCGTTTTGTGTCGGGGTGTTAGATCCGCATGGCCCGGCCTGCCCATCGAAGTCTTGGACCTGCATCAGGACACACTAAGTGCACGTAAACTTTGAAAACGAATTGACCAGCAACATCCATGGCCTTCCTCACAATGGCGTGAGAAAGCCTTACGAGCCAGTTCAGGAATGGGCCACCTTCTTTTTGAATGTCGGGAACTCTCAGTAGTGGACGTCTGCATAAGCCGCTCGTTCCAGAGTCCCAACCTGCAAACAAAAACCACGGAGCAAGCTGCGAGCGAAAAGGGGAGTAAACTGACAAGACCCGAGCTTCGCATACGCCCAGGCAGTATTTGCCAGGTTCTGCGTAGAGAAGTCGCTCACCTTCGCGATGACCTGGAATTTGCTGGAGTGGTGTCGAGAGAATGCAGCTATGCCAGCTATGTGCTGCCTCCAGCAGGATCTGGTCCATGAGGTCACCTGCACAAAGCTCAATTTAAGAGAACTCCTCTCATGGCACCTTTTTGTCGTTGCTTGCCGAGTTGCTGTCAGGAAGGCTCAGAGTGGCAAAGGCCCAGGCCTTGGGCCATCACTTTTCATTCAGCTGAATCCTTTGAGTTCTCCTATGGTTGGCCAAGACACAGTGTTTGCCAGGTCCTGCGGAATCAGATCCTGGCCAAGGAGCTCTTTTCGTGTAGGCCTTTCAACTGCGGCAGCTGGGCCTTGACCATGGTGACCAGCTTCTTGCCGATGGCTGTCATCATCATGGCCTGGGCGCACACTTTCAAACTCTTTCATCTCTGAACCGACATGCTCCCTGCACAGTCTCTGTGCACGGGTGCCGCCTTTTCAGAGACGTGCGCCCTCGCGTGCCAAGAACTGATGGGCTCCGTGCGTTTGAAACAGCCAACTTTGCGAAAGCCTGGGACATGACGGCAGAAGGTGCACATCTCCCAGATCACCGATCAAGCGGCACAGCGACAGCGACACCGACAGCCACACCAGCACCAGCACCACAAGGACCACCAGCACCACCAGCACCACCAGCACCAGCACCAGCAGCAGCAGCAGCAGCAGTAGCAGCAGCAGCAGCACCACCACCAGCAGCAGCAGCAGCACCAGCAGCAGCACCAGCTTCACCAGCTTCACCAGCTTCACCAGCTTCAGCAGCAGCAGCAGCAGCAACAGCAGCAACAGCAGCCACAGCAGCAGCACCAGCTTCACCAGCTTCACCAGCTTCACCAGCTTCAGCAGCAACAGCAGCAGCAGCAGCAGCAGCAGCAGCAGCAGCAGCAGCAGCAGCAGCAGCAGCAGCAGCAGCAGCAGCAACCGCAGCAACCGCAGCAACCGCAGCAACCGCAGCAACCGCAGCAACGGCAGCAACGGCAGCGTCAACAACGACGGCAGCAACAACACCAACAGCAATAACAAAACAGCAGGCCCTGGCAGAATGCACACGTCGTGCCCGTGGCAGCAGCCGACTGAGGCCTAAACCCACGAAGTGTTTGATAGGTCCTGGTTTCCAAAACTTTGGATCTTTGCCATGACCTGCTGCCAATGCAGTGTGAGGCTGACCCATGGCATCGCTTGAGCAACATGGCTTTGTGCTTCGGTTGCATTTTGATCTGCGCCGAAAGCGGCGCGTGCCAGCGATGGCCCAGAGCAATTCGCGCAGGGTTGCTCTTTGGCGCTGTGAAAAAGAGCAAACTGGCTTCATCAGCTCTTGACTTGTGCACACGGTTGCCCACGGCATAGCATCCACAGCATGAAGGGTCCCAAACCTTTCAAGCAAGCAGCTTGAGATGGCAACTGCTCTTGCAGACATGTTCTCCTAAACAAGCGCAGGATGCAAGACAGCTGGATGACAAAAAAGAAGTACTTGATGTTGTCTCAAAAGCTCGAGCATGCTGCCATGCGGAACATGCAAGCCTGCAATTTCTGGAGGAGACAGTGTCGGATATCTACTGTCTTGGCAGCTCTGGCCCATTCTAGCTACGTTCAAGCTAACGTGAAATACTGGCACACCAACACCCTACGGAGTCTGGCCATGCTTGGACTGGAACTACATGCCTGCCTCAACTGTGTACCACTCGCAATGCCCTGGCTGCTGCCTCAACATCGGTCATCGCCACAAGTGCTTGAGACATGAATGACATATCGCTGATGCTTCAGTGTCAGATTTTTGGATGTGAGCAACCGTAGCATTTGACACTCGGCATATGACCCAGGCAATCCCAAGTCCCAGGTACGATTCGTCGGCAAGACAGTGCGAATGAATCTATGCTCTAGCCTTTCTCAAGGAGGCGTGTCACTGCAACCACGGGGGGAAGTTGGCAAGACTCTTGACGACATGTCTATTGGTGCGCATGAGTTGGACGAAAATGCTCCAATGTATGCTGCACTCCACATGCCGCAGGAATGTGTCTCAGCGCTGTGTGCATATAGACACTTGTGCAAAAAGCGGCTGCATGAACTAGCGAAATATGTGGTGCCTCAGTCTCGGAGAGCCCCTCCGACACCAGTTTCTGAAAAGCCGCCAAGAACTGTTGCTTGGCATCGTCCTGCTGTCTGCAGCGTAGTGTCTGGTGCAGCAGTTGAGCACCCGTTCATGCCATGACCATTTATGGCAAGATGGCTTGCCCGCGCAATCCCGCGCCCGCCTTGGCAGGCTGCGTTGGCCGCGTGGGCGGCTCGTAGGCTTGCTTTGGTTCCTCTGCCTCAAGCTGGCAACTCTTAGAGGCTGAGTACATCACAGGAACTCTCACGAAGCTGATCAGCCTGGGTCGGCTGTCCCGATGGAGTCTTCTCAGACACCCCATTCGTGGATTGAACCACTCGTGCCGGAGCCTGCCAACTCCAGCCCATCTTCAACTCAAGCACTGGGAAGCTCCAACCGTTCCAACCATCACTTGCAGACTTGTGCACTTTTATATTTTAAAAGTGCACGAAGGCCGAAGGAAGAATCGTGAAAACAAGCGACTGGCCTGCCTCCGTGTTCTGCGCCTGCTTTTTGGACTTCTTGCCTTTCGCCTCCGCTACCTGTCGGCAGTCGCACCACGACATCACTTTGAAAGGTGTATGGCCCCAGAATCTCGGAAGCTGCTCCATGGCCTTAGGCGCTTTGCCGGGTTTGGATGCGGAGCTTTCGGCCTTGAGGGCGGCAGCACCCCAAAGATCGTCCTCTGAAAGGTCCTGTGGCAATCGCACTGAGGGTTGTTTCCAGGGCGTTTCAATTCAAAGCCTTCTGGGTCCTCGAAGACCACTCCGACCGGCACCCGCTCACCCCCAGGTGGCGGCGCCGCCGCCAAATCGGTCAAGGGCTTCCTCGGCTTGATTTCGTGTGGTTCCAGGCAGCCGGAGGCAGATGATGGCAGATGTCCACAAGCGCCGGCCAGGTGCTGCTGACTTTCAGACAAACTCGGGATGGAGGTCTGCTTGTCCTGGCTCGCGCAGCCCAGTTGGGAAAAAGAGGGCATCGAGCCTTGTAGATGTGCACCTTGAAAAGCAAACCCTAGAAGCCCTAAGCGAAGCCTTCAGTAAGCCTTAAGCATATGTAGGAGCGCAAGACGATGCCACTAAGCAGCATGAAAACTCTGGCTCGCCTGGCTCGGAATCCCTGCCGCGCAGCCCCGAACCCTGTTCACCATTGATCGAACGCAAGGAGACGAAAGCAGACGTACATGAGCCTCCACCAGAATCTCAAAAAGAGGTGTCATGTGGTAGGAATGCGTCTCTGAATGGAAGTTGCTACGAGGAGGTTCTAAGTTCTAAGGGCCAACCGGGATCAACCTCTTGGACGACTTATCCGAGCGCTTCTGTCCTCAGAAATTGCCGCGTATTCAGCTCTGGCAATTTCGCGGAGCCGCAATAGAAATTCGCTACGGTGCATCTCCTCACAGCAGACCAGCTCCATGTGCAGCAATTACTCTTGAAGCCAGAGCAAGCATGCGATGAAGCTTTGCTGACGATGGAAAACAGCCAAGCAGTGCAAGCTGCGATGGCCACTTGCGGCTTGTATTGCATCATCGGGGAGTGGTCCGCGCCACCAAGGTCCCAAAGCTCGAAGCCAGCCCGGCGCAAGCATTCCTTAGACACATAGCGCTGTGCCCATGGACCCCTTCCTCTGGCGACACTGTGGCTTTCATCCTGGGTCAGGGGCTGCCTCTGCGTAGGCCAAGAGGAAGCCGGGCTGCAAGGTCCGATGTTTGCCTTTGAAGTTTACATACAACCTGGTAATGGACAGCACCATCTATATCAATGGTTTACCTATTAAAACTACAAAAGAAAGACAAGAAGGCATCTGCCACCGCGCAACGGTCGAAGAAGCGCGTGGCCACGTAGTAGGCACGGCCAAAAGTATGTGCATGTCCGAAATCCGCTGCGATCAGCTGGGGTCCTTGCCCATCCTGCAGCTCAGCAAGGTCTCTTGCAAACCCACTCGCGCATGCAGTCGGATTCCAGTCGGATTCTGGGCCTCATGGAGCCAGAGCTCGAAGCCGAACACTCGCTTCATCTGCCTGTAGATGCAGGCGTCAGCTGACTGTTTGGGAAAACGGTCAATCTCGTGATCTTTGAAACAACTGAGCTTCAGCTCAGCTGCAGCATAAGATCCCATACAGACTCCAGCGCAGGACTGACCCAGCTGTCCTGGACACGGCTCCACTCGATGTTGGAACACGTCCACACAAACACTGTCCTCATGATGCTCCCGCAGCGCGTTCAACGCCTTTTGCCACGTTTTTGTTGTATGATGCTTTAATCATCAGTTCTCAGAATCCTTAAAAAGAGCTCAGGAAATCCTGAAAAAAAAGGAGCTCTCTGAGGAACTCTTGTTGGAACACTTCCCGGGCCTTGGTGAAGTTCAAATTCACGCAGAGCTTCAGCTGCTGACCCTTCTTCCGTGCCGCGCGTAGGACACGGCAGACCTTGACGAACAGATACAGCAGATTAATACGCAACGGGCACATCTCCCTGCCATATTGCCCTGTCATTGCCTCTCACGCGTCTGTGCCGCTCAGGCACATCCTTCAGCCGCTCGCGCCGACGTTTGTCCTGCAAGAAATCCTGAGCAAGCCGGTGGGAACTTGAAGTAACGTTCTTGCCCACATGAGATGCGTCAACGCCCCCGCCTGCGGAGCGTGCAGGGGCAATGCTGCACGAACTCGGTCAAGCAACGCCACCAGCTTCGAGGAATCGGAGCCATCACCTCAACAATTGAACAATCAAGTTCCCCTCCCCCCCTCAGGCCGAAGTGCGTGCATGTACTGCCCACCAACAATGCATCATCTTCCGCTGCAAGCCGGCGCCTTGCGAGGAGACGTAGCCCAAGCCCAGGCTCAATGTGCTATGAAGCGCCGCCAGCACATTCTGAACACCAGGCTCTCTGGCATGGATTTCGCACGGGGACATTGGGCTGCCGACGCCTGGTCGAGATTCAGGCTTCCATGGCTTCCCCCCCCCCCAGCTTCCCCTTTTCTTATATACATATATATATATATATATTTATTTATTTATTTATTTATGGCATATATATATATATATATATACATATATGTTCCCATTTTTTATATTTTCCCAACCCATCCAAGCGGCAAATTTGCTCGTCCACGAGGCTTTCAGTCCAGCGGGTCATCTTTGACTGTGCCATGGAGAACGTGGCCTTCCGGAGTCGCCACGTAAAGGCACTTGCACTTGAGGCAGCCATGAGATCTGGCCGAGCAGCAGCTACAGGTGCACCCTTATTTTTATGAGACATGTGGCCAGGAAGTGATATACTCCCATGTAAGTCAAAGTGAAACAGCGGGAGATCAAGCCTGCGGAGGCAGCGTGGACATGGCCTCGGTCGTCTCTGCACGGCCGAGGCCTCCTGTGCCGTGGAAGGACTCTGCCATGGAGGCCTCCATATTTGGACAAGTAGGGGTTAGGGTTTAGGGTTTAGGGTTTAGGGTGTAGGGTTTAGGGTTTAGGGTTTAGGGTTTAGGGTTTAGGGTTTAGGGTCAGGGTTCAGGGCAAGTCCGGCAATAGGATGGACTGAGGATGAGGGCTTCAGCAGCATTACCCGACACCTATTAGCGAATTGAAGGCCCCCGACACTGTCAAGGACATTGCGAAACAGTAAAGTCACATGAAAGGTCCCAGTGGCCATCATGTCTGCAACATAGCCACCTCCTCCTCCTAAGCCAGGTTGCGAATCTCCGCGTGCATCACTGGTTCCAACGAGCATGCCGTGGATGGCACACACACACAAATACGCTCACAGACACTTCTCACCCATCCGGCAATCAGGTCCTCTCATCTGCTGGAATGGCAAGGGGTGCATCGATGAGCCCTCCAGCATGGCGGAAATGTCTGCACGAAGTCCACCAGTCCATCGCTTGATGAAGTCCTACCGGTGATTTTGTAAAAATCCTTGCACACCGACAGTGTTTAACGGTCCCTGAAGGCTTACACTGTCCTGGCCCTTGCCGGAGTTGTACAAGTCAGCCACGTGGGCATCGGCAGCAAGGACCAGGCGTCGCAGTGATTGCTGGAGCTCCTCCCGCTTCGGGGCCGACGCTGCCTGGAGACTCTTGCCCCAAATCAGGGGGCGACAGCTCATCGGTCCTTTGGGCCTCGTTGTGGGAGTTATGCTGCCAGGACCAAACCAACTGTCCAAACATGCGGGGACCTGGCCTCCAAGCGCGCCCGCTCGAAAGCCACGATGCTTTGGTAGAAGGCACTGCTTTGCAGATCCTGTTGACGGAGTCTCCTAAAGGTTTTTTAGCATTGTAGTGCAGTCAAGCCAAGTCTTCAGGCTCCTGACCAGCGGGAGCAAACATGTCCAGGAGGCTCTGCCCCAAGATGAAGGCCCGGATGCAGCCGACCGCCCGGCCTAAAGCCAGGGGGTCCTGTCCAGCCGCGGCTTTGCTTCCCAAGCTGAGTTCATTGTCAGAAAGACATCGACCATCGGATCCCCGAAGTGCCGTTTTGGGGATATGTTTTGGCAAGATTCTTGGCAGAAGTCCACGGTCGAATTCAACCTGCGTGCCAAGATACGCCAAGTCTCATGAGCCAATCATCCTTTGCACTGACTTTGCCAGTGAAAGGAGGCCCACTTGGGGCCTGTTCATTGCGCGCTGGCACTGCCCTAAACTGGTTTGGGCTCGTGCTCCGCTCTGAAGCGACTTTTGCGGCTTCCATGCAAGACCCCGGGAAGTGGCATGGGCCGCACGCTAAGATCTTTAAGTCAACTTGCTGCAGGCTGCAAGCCGGTAGTTGTGCTTCGCACACTCTGGGCCGCAAATTGACGCTAAGGGGTGGAACTTGTGCGTGGCAGAAGCAGTGGCAGAAGCCGCGGAGTTACGTGCCAAACGCTGGACGTGGACCATGTGCAGGGGATCGAGCTTGAAGGACTCCGCCCCCACCCTGGAACCCGGCCGGCTAAGGGTTCTTGGCGGAGCATGGGCACCCCAAGACAAACCCGGCACGCCAAATGCGCCAGGACTGGCTCCGCGGCTTGGCGCTCGCTCGATGGTTGGCGAGGGCCAGTCCCATCGTCCCATTCTTCCCACCTGGGGCTTCTGTGTCATTCTTCCAGCTGTGGCTGCTCGCTCTGGAACTTCCATGACCATCTTGGTTGCAAGCCCTGTGCCAGGTTGCCCTCCCAACAGAATGCCGCAGGTGGCAGGGCGGACTGGGCGAACTTGATCGGGATGGCTGGACATCCACTTTGCCCTTTGGTCATACCTCTCCCTGGCTTTTGGATCCGACAAGGTGTCATAAGCCTCCCGCAGCGCCGCAAAGCTCTCAGCCGCCACAAGCTGTTCGACCTCGTCTGACGTGACAACCTTGTCTGGGTGGAGCTTTAGAGACGCCCGACGGTAAGCGCGCACAATCTCCCGCGCGGTTGCATTCCTCTGAAGACCCAATAGCTCGTAGTAGTCATCGCGCATGTAGAGCACAGGGGTTGGCCATGCAAGTTAAGCACAAGCTAGGTAGCATCGCTCTCGTCACCATTCTCTTGATCCAGCAAGAAAACAACCCGCAGGAAAGAGCTTGCCATGAGCTGACTCGCTTATGTGCAGCACCGGACCTTGCTACTACTACTTGTACCTGCATCCGAGATCCCTGTCCTGCGACTCCAAAGCCTTCGACAAGTTCTTCTCCATGCGCTTCTTTGGCGAGGACAAGGTAGACATCAGCGACTGAGCAAGGAACCCACCTGGCCCCGCCACTTTACTGGGCGGTCACTATCGCAGGACACACATAAGGGATTGTGTCCCAGCACAAGTCAAACTCAAGATCCAATATCTTCCGGGCCACCAGACCCACTTGCGACGGCTTCAAACCGTTCATCTAGAGCGACTAGGAGGTTCAGAACGGAATCTTCGAGGTCAGATGTCCAGGCTCCATCCCAGGCCCAGTCGTACCTTGACGCGCTATGCATGATCTGAGTCACAATGACAGGAAGCTCACGATGCGAAGATGCCTGAACAAGCGCCGCTGCTGCACATAGCTCCAAGTTGCGCATCGTTGAACAGATCAAGGGCGTCACCATACTCACCCAATGGGGAGCCTCAGGCTTTACAAAGCAATGCTTCCTTGTGGCCCAGCCCTTGTCAGCATGTGGAATGGTCCACGCGTTTTTGCAAGGTTCTCAAGACAAGGCGAGCTTCTCACCATGAACCAACAACGTTCAACCTCCGCACCACCGCTGCACACCCGCAGTTCGTGCATGCCAAACTCCTGCAGCAGAAAGCTGGTCCTGTGCTGCACAGCGGCGCAGACGCAGTCGCCAAGAAGAGAAGTAGGAAATTGAAATCTCATGAGTTCGAATGAATGTATCTTCAAGTTTCGGTTCGCATCCCATCTGAAGCGACAAGACCTCGCCGGTGGGAAGGACAAGGCCGGCCTGCAGCACCTAAGCATGCCGACAGCTTCACGGTGCAAACTCCAGAGCTCCATAAGGGGGCTTTACGATAATAAGGGACCCCGAATATAGACCCCAAATAGTAGGATCCCCTGATAGTAAGGACCCCAATAAAGTACCCCTAAGAACGTAAACCGCCAAGAAGTACTTTGAAGATTATTGAGTCTGAGCTTTGCTTCCGGAAAAAAGGCTGCTTACATGCCGGGGAGCCTCCTTCTCGCACTTCGCGAGCTCCCCAAAGCCCGCGATTGACAGAACCGTGCCTACATGAGGCGGACTGTCCCCGCCCTCGAAGACGACCTGCACGAGTAATGCCATTGCTAGAATTACTTTATGATTATAACGATCTTGTGTATATAGGTATATATAGATATAACTTTTCCACGGTTTGCTTTTAGGAAAGCTCTCGCACCTGCAGAGACCCACATCCCTCTCTTCTGGCCACCCTGCAGCCACGGACTGGCAAATGGCCAAACCTGATCAGATCGTATTCTTAGATTCTTCTACGCTTGTACAGTGTGATACTACTGAACAAGCATGCTAAGATGCATTTAGTCACTTAGTTACTAAATGCATCTTCGCATGCTTGTTTCCATTCTATGGTGCATCATGACCCCAGGCAAAATCGCTGGCAAGCTTGACGACGTCTACGAGGAGAGTACGAAGAGGGGCTTTGCTCCCCATGGCGCAAAGAAAGCGCCAAGGAGCTGGTCCTCTTTGCTCGCCGCCGCTTCCTGTTCCATGTCCTTGAAGCCACTGCCACGACGACTAAAACTACGACAACAAAAGAACAAACTCCGCAAATGTGAAACGAAGCACCCGCGCCGGCTTGCTCTCTACCTGGTTCCACATCGGCGGCATTCGACGGCTTTGAGGACCAAAGTTCCGTAACGAATCAATTTCAACTTCGCTGGGTCCCGAAGAAAGGGGGATCACAGCAGTTTCTATGGATTGCGATGGTTGGTTTCGACGATCGCAAGTGAAAATAAGAGAAAACAAGAAGCAAAAAGAGGAACTTCTCTCCGGGAGAGAGACATGATAGAAGGTGATCCAGGCTGACGGATTTATCAGGAGCACATGAAATGTCGCATGCCTGAACTGAACAGTGCAACTACGTATCTAGCCACTGCGCCGCACACATGACTGGCCTTTTCTTACAGAAGACTACGAGCTTACTATCGTGAGGTCGATGGTGGGTTGAGCTCTTTAGGAACTTTAAGCCAAAGAAGGACAAAGGTCATCAAGCTTGCACAAGGTCATGCCAGGCGTCAGCCAAGGCCGCTAGCGAGTCGGCCGCCAAGCCCCCATCGCTCGACTCGAGGAAGAGGTTCAAGGCATCCACCTCGAAAGGCAAATCCGTTGCCACACTTTGCTTGCGCTTGTCTTTTTTTGTCTTATGGCTGATGCACTTCAACTCCTCCTAGAACAGCTCAACATATCTCCACATACTGCCAAGCTGTCGCAGCTCGCCTCCACATGGGGAAACTGCCTCCTCAGCGCCGGCAACCCGCTTTCAGCGAGACCAAGGCCCAAGTCTGGTCGCCCCATGGCGTTTTCTTGGGGCGAACTCTCACAGTGAATTCTTTGAAGCCCCCTTTTGTGAATCCCTTTTGCGGGCTTGCTTAAACGGGCTTCGACGAGAGGAGTGATAGAAGATGCCGATAAGGCGGTGGCGGGCTGGGTGCAGTTTTTGCAGATGACTCATACCGACCCATGGTACTGAATGTACTCATGTAAGGGCAGCCGAACAGCCCCGCACCCAGTGTGCCAGAACAATCACTATTTCCTGAATAAGCTATGGCGATTTTTCTGCAAGTACCTGAAGTTCTGTGCTATCGAGATTTGTTGGACAGCTGTGGCTTGAGATGAGCAAGGAGGGGCCTTCCAACTTGAGATCTGCTCGGATGCAAAAGACACACAACTCATGGGCCTCCCAAGAAATTTCGTCCATGAGCTTCTCGTGCTTGATTCGCACGTTCGCCTCTCTTCTTGAGCAAAAACTGATGTCGCACGGATGGATGCAAGGGACGGTCTGTGATGAGGGCTGGACGAAGGCCCAGGCAGTCCTGGACAAATCCTGAAGAAAGCTCGCAGCTACACTGGTATGACTGCATGAACCTGTCTACTGAGTCCCCTTGTACCTGCACACACTTTCGTCTGCATGTCTCCTGCGGATTCATGTCCTGAACTTTTGCCACTACAGTCGTGGCAATCACCTGGCCGCCAAGTGGTTACAGGAGCGCAGTTAAAGTTCTTAGCACAGGTACCGAACGGTTTCTTTTGCCGTAACAAATCGCGCAAGTCAAAAGCTCAAGTCTTGCATCAGTCCATTGTGTCCAGGTCCATCACACCTGGACAGGCAAGCACACATCCGTGCAGAGCTGGGTGGCACGTCTTATGTCGAGATTCTTCATACTTTGCGCCGTGTATACGTAGGTACATGTATACAACAAAAATAGAAATATGAATATAAGTATATATATATATATATGTATGTATGTACATGTATATGTATATATATATATATACATACATACACAGATTATGTGCTTCGCCTGGAGTTCTTCAGGCGTAATTGCGTTCCGCCCAGAGCTGGGAGCCTAGACCAAGCATGCGCCGTGCCGCTGTTGCTTCCTCGCTCTGGAGCTGCCGAAGCGTGCCAATGCGGGCCCGCAGGACCTATGACATCTAGGGTTTAGGGTTTAGGGTTTAGGGTTTAGGGGGGAGACTGCTAGCCCACTTTACCTATCGCTCGGTGACCCGTTTCGCACATTTCCTGCCGGGCCCTATGCAAAGAAGAGGTACAGCAAAGATCCCTTAGCTCGTAAGGGAGGAGGATGCAGGAAGCACATTGAAAGCGGCCCCTGCAAAACTGTGGCAGCGATGGCTTCCGGGTTTAAGATGCAACTGTAACTTCATCAGTCGGGCCAGTTCTTGTGCGACATTGAACTTTGTTAGAACCTCAGGGGGCATACTAATTTCAGCCAAGTCTACATAGTGCGATACAACGCTATCAAGACATGTACGCATATGCATAATTTTATGGGTATCTATATATATATATATATATATACTTTTTTTTTCATCTGTGCACCTCCTCGTCAGACTTCGGCATCTTGTCCCGGAGTCGCCACGCCTCTTTGAGGTCCTGTTCTGCTTCTGGCAAGTCTCCACCCTGGAGGTACACCGTTCCGCGAGCGAAGAATGCCTGCCACCACGACATGTGATCGAAAGTCAAGAGTCGGCGGGGGCGGGGGGGGGGGGGGGGGGCAGCCTATTTCGGATCTTCGCATGCCTGCCAGGACGCAGGTGACAACCGGAGAGCAGCCCCTGCGGCTGCGATGCAATGCTGCCGCTCGCCACAACCCAGGTGCGCGTAGCAGAGCCCCAGCAGGGCATCCGCCACCAAACTCGGAGAAAAAACACGAATCAGCAGATGCTCCAAAACTCCCATGACCGCCATGCCACAGCATGCCACACCTCCGCAAGCTCGCCGGCGGATCTGATAGACCCTCCTCGGGCCATGCAAAAACTTGAAAAGACATCGGTGCAGCGCGCTTTGCTGGTCATCACTGGTCGACATTTCTAAAGCAACCAGGATACATAGATCCGCCCCTCTTGCTCCGGGAGTCTTTGCGGCAATGTCTTGCGAAGGCTGCAGAGGTCAATTGATTGGCCCAGGCCGCCTAGGCCTAGCTCGGCCTCAGCAAGACATTTTCCTAGCAGGCTTGGCTTGCCACAAAATCTGAATGCCACATATTTTCTGTGCGCCCCAACTAAGAAAGGTGACAGTGACGCTCTTTAAGGCTCAGATTGCGGCCATTTCGATGAGTTGGGTTGAGTAGGGAATCGTCCGAGGTGCGAACCTGGCCTAAAGGGGGACGTGAGCAGAGGGCCAACTCCAAAAAAGCGACGGTGACACAGCGACAACAGCAGCAACAACATACGACATGGAAGAGGGCACAGCCCAAACAGGCAGCCGCCACGCTGCCAGACAGGAACTCTTGGATACCAAGGCTGATCAAGAGCCATCTATGAGTTTCAGAAGTTGTTTTTGTTTCTGCTTGCTTTTTGTGTTTTTTGGTCGTTTAGGCGTTGGCCTGAAACTTAGCTCTGGTTAGGCCCACACTCATGTCTGCTCACTGTGTTTCGGCTGCTTACTACTTACGGCCACGTTCTTGTAGTCCGGAAGAGGGGAACAGGCCTGTCATGGCAAGCGAGGCGAGTGGCTTGGATATTAATCTCACCTTTCTTGGTTTGAAATTTCAAGGTTGTTGCTTTAGGCGTTGCTGAAGTTTGACCCTGGCTACGCATGTGGCATCGCGGCTGCGTTGTCGTAGTCTAGTATGAAAAGCGGACCAGCCTTGGGCAAATTTTTGCAATCGAGGTCTTAATTGATCTTCTGCGCTTTGAAGGACAGCTATTCGGACACCCACCGCACACCTCCGATACGCAAAACATGGTTTTTGCCTTGCGATTACAGCGCTCTAGCGAAAACGCAAGACATGGATTCTTCCCAAACAAGACTGGGATTCCGCATATACTCAACCCCCCCCCAAACAAAAAACAAACATGCATTTTTTACCGCGCAACCTTTGTCCAGCTTGAAACTTGGGTGGCGACATGATGGGGGACTGTGGCCGGAAAAAGGTCGACTGCAACGGAAACTCTAAACAACCTGCACCCCCAAAAGGCCCCAGCACAAGGAAAGGCATGTGGAATCATGCATCAAACCAAGGACCAAGGCGAGGCTGAATGTAAGTCTGGGACCTGCATGGTTTCGCCCGCTTTCAGCTGCTGCTCCTGGGCGAGGTTCGGAGCAAGCTCGAGCGCGCAAGTACACATTTTGAGAAGTTTCCTCGCGTACAGCCGAGCTGCAAGCTGTCGGCACATCTCCTCTCTTCCTGACAGCTGCGGTGTAGTGACGCTCATGTGGTGAAGAAACATGCGGCAAGCAAGAATGCCAACAGCCAAGGCTCCCCAATCCAGCTGAGCTTCTCTTGGCTCGCCCTTGTCAAGATTTCTCTCGGGTTGAAAGACACAAGGTTCCCCGAGTCCCCAAAACCCGAAACCCCCAAACCCGTTTGTGAACCCTAAACCCCTAAACCCCCTAAACCCCCTGAACCCCCTAAACCCCCGAAACCCCCTAAACCCCCTAAACCCCCTAAACCCCTAAACCCATGCCCTGCCTTCCCCGGCGCAACTTCTGCAGCCTGGAGTGTGTGGTGGAAAGCCTTGATGGCCCTGTCGAACTTGCTCTGCGCAAGCCTCAGATTTTGTGCCATTTCTCACTGTCCCCTAAACCTTAAGCTAAACCCTAAACCCTAAACCCTAAACCCTAAACCCTAAACCCTAAACCCTAAACCCTAAACCCTAAACCCTAAACCCTAAACCCTAAACCTTCAAGGGTGCTGTCTGTTCACAGGAAAGGCGTGCCCCAAGCCGCAGAACTTCCACAACTCAACATTCTACTCCGCACACACATCTACTCGCAATCAACGACGTCAACAACACTCACTTCAGCCCCGTTCCCTACAGTAGCACCTCCAAGATTGCATGCAACATTAGACTTCCACACCCCGTCAGCCCTTGCATGGGGGCCCTGAAGGATTTCTGGAATTCCTTCGGCCCCAGATTATTATGACTGTTCTTGTTGATCCTCTTCTTCTTCTCATTATTACAATGTTTTATATTTGATCCTATTTTTTTACTATTCTTATGATTGTTATTCTCATTATTACTATTATTCTTATGATGTGGGCCTTGAAGGATACCAAAATGTCCTGAAGGATGCCAAAATGCCCTTCAGCCCCTGCATGGGGCCTTGTAGGATTCCAAAAAATCCTTCAGTGTTGCAGTGACGGAACTTCTGGCCAAGAGACCAAGAGGCCAGGAGGCAACAGCAACAGAATGTTAGAATGCTATTGAGTTTCGAAGAGATTGGTTTCTGTGCCAAGAGCCCTGAAACGGCCACCAACAAAGAGATCAGTAGCCGCTTAGCGCGGCATGCCTGAAAACTCGAACCCTCGCCAGATTCGGACATTTTTGCGAAGTGAGCAAAGGAAGAGAAGGGAGACCCGATATCTAGAGGGATGGGACATCGAGAGTTTCACGATCCCCTACAACAGCCACCGTTCACTGCCGAGCAGCGAGGGCACTGTTACCATGGTCATGATAATTGGCGCGATTCATGCAAGGCTCTGTTCAAGCCGTGCAGCAGCCCGCGGCCGAGCGCAACCAGCTTCTCCACACGGTCCTCCTGGCGGTTCGAACCCGAAACGTGCGCACGAGCGTGCTTGGGGGTGGCTCCTGGGTCAAGCCATAGCTGGCCTCCCTGCCGAGCAAATTCTCGAGCTGCGTGGTCACTACCAGGTCACGCGGTGTGCGACCCTGCGACGTACAGAGCCAGACGAAGATAGAGCAAGATACTGCAAGGTCAACATGATGCCCTGTTTTCCCTCTGAACTCCACCTCCAGGTCCACTGCAAACGCGTCTGCCCTTGCTTCCAGCAAGGTTTGGAAGGCAACCGCGTTTCCTTGCAGCTGTGCATGGTAAGGACACCGGCTGCGAAGTTCACCATGTACACATGTCACTCGTCCAAGCCCAATTCAAAGAAGAATTCAAAGAAAGAGCAGAGCAGGCGCGGCAGCATATGTTAGCATAATTTAGCATAGATAGCCTTGCGGGGGCTCCTTCCAGCGCAGCGTAGTGGAGAGCAGTGCCGCCACCATCGGAGCGCTCTTCCAAGCACACGGGTTCCGGGCAGTCCTCAGGCCAGCACATGGAGTCCTGTGTGGGACATGCGATGGGTCTTGCTTCTCGAGGCCCTTGTTGCAAAGGGGGTGTGCCTTGGCTGCTTCCCCAAGACTTGCCCAAAGCTGCGGTGATGCCGCCACCGCCGCGACGTGCAGTGCTGTTTCGTTGCGCCTGTTCGTGGCCTGGGTCGGGGCACTCTTCAGCTCGGGAAGCTGCTCCCCCACTGCCTGCTTCTCGCCGATGAGGCTGCAGCGCGAAGAAGTTCTGCTGTACCTTGCTAGGGTCTACAGTGGCCTCTGCACGCACATGTCTGATGCCATTCCTAAGTTATGTTGATTTTTGCATTCAACTACATTGGATGTCTGAGCTGAAGCTTGATGTGAGTCAAGCCTTCGTACCAATTGAAGCACGGGTTGCGCGCTGCAGCAGAGCTGCTGTGTGAGGACTTGTCCAGAAGCTGCAACACGGCTTTGGCTGCATCATGGCGGCAAGCGCAGTGTAAGGGCGTGTCGCCTGAGATGCACGCAATAGTTGTGTGCGCAACTATCCTCATGCACATGCGTATACCAGCCTTTTACTAGCTCTGCGCCAGCATGAGCCAAGAAAGTTGCCACGTCCTAATTGGATGCAGAGGGATAACTATTGCATCCCAATTATGCCAAATCTTGCTAGCTATTGTAACCATGCATAGGACGGCTCCCCTGACAGAACAGAGGCATCTGCATTACCTCGTGTACAAGCAGCCGCCGTGTCGCTGCCTCCTCATTGTGCAGCTCGACCGCGGAAGCAAGCCGACAAGCAAAGCTGGGATGCTCCATGCTGACTTCACAGTCTTCTTGCCTGATGTACCGCACTCCGTCAAAGTAGTAGCCGTCAGGAGGGCCTTCCAGCCGCACCTCTTCCTCAATCTTGGCCCGCAGACTTGGCGGCACTGCATCGATGTCCCAAGCAGTCTCCTCTCGCGGCTTGCGCAGAAGGCAGTTACCAACCTCCGCTGTGGCCGCCGCTGCGAGCTCGTCTGTTGCTGACGCTTCATTGGGCAGGCACCACCAGAAGACAACACCTAGACCTGAAGAAAGAGGCTCCTGCCAGTACTGTGGGGCTCGCAGCTCGCCCTTCGGCGTGAGAACCATTCCCTTGGCTGGCGTGGTCCCAATCTCTGTTGCAGCCTTGCGGAGCTCTGGCGATGACTGGGCCCAGAAAGTCGTACCCGAAGCCACACCACGGACCTTGGCCTCAATGCAGAAGAGGCCCTTCCAAACCGAATGGCCGTGAGAACTGCGTTCAGGAGGCAGGATAAACACCTCAGTAGCCTCACGTAAGCGCTGCGCGCAGGTCCGTCGAAGCACCTCGACATCAACAACTGCAGCCATCGGCACAAAGCATCTCCACATGTTGGCCTGTGGTCGGTAAAGCTCAGCAATCTCTGCAGAGGTTCCCTGGAACGGCCGGGACAGAAATCTTGCAAAAGGCGAAGGACTTTGTCTCAATGCACCCTCGATGATATCACCCGTCAATGGTCTCATGCTCGCCTGCTCGCCACCGCGGCTAGATCGAATCTCTTTGAGGAGCAGAGTGCAAAGCTCATGATGCTCCTGTGCAATTTTGCCAGGAGAGTTCTTCAGCAGGCCATCCTGCACAAAGGACGCACTGACCCAACCGCGAACCGTGCGGCTTAGAAGCAATGGATGACGGGCCGCGCCCCAAGGGTATGCAACGAATGGATCCAAGACGCACACAACGTGGCTCACGATGCTCAATCCTCGGGACTCGCAAAGTTCCAATAGCTCGGCGGGATCCTGCATGACGTCACACAGCACAGCCCACTCATGGGCATTTGCCTGCAGCCAGTCTCGCAACCGGTGCACCCGGTCTAAATCCGCACATCTGTCGTCCCACGCAGCCAAATCGCAAAGCGGCGCTCGCATCACCTTGGAGAGTGCTTTTGCCAGGTCCATTGCCCCAGATCCAGGGAGGCCAGAAACTAGCACGCACTGGTAGCTCTCAGACCACGGTCGCGAGGTCATCTTACCAGATTTCAGCGTGGCTTCCAGGATACTCTGTTGCACATCACCGAGAGCTGACAACAGAGCTGCAACAGGCACAAAGTCATCCAGCACTGGAGATCTGTCACCAGCCAGCCAGTCCAGGCTCGTCCTTCCCGATGTCTCCTCAACCTTCAGAGCTTGGCGCCACACAGAAAGTGTTTCGGGACTGGTCGTGATGGCAATCTGCATGTCCCAGGTTGGCTCGACGCGGGCGACTTCATCGACAGCCTCGACGGCTGCAACCCATACCTTGCCATCTGCTGCGTCGACGGCCGGTAGGATGCCGTCGCGGGCGCCACAAACCCTCAGCAGAACATAGCCCATTCGCGCTGTGTGAACAACGACCTTGCCAGATGCGTATGTCCAGCAGGTGCCTGCAGCTAAACCACACAAAGACCCAGTGGTGTCACCGGTCCGAATGCCAGCTGCCAGCTTGCATGCTGCGGCAACATCTAGGCTTTCCTCGCCAAGCTGAAGAGGGTCTGGAGGCTGTTCGGGAGGTTCAAGGTATACACGAACGTCCTTGCGATGCCCCAGTGCGACAGAAGGCCCCCAGTCCAGCCCAACTCCCATCGAGGTTTCGAGGTCAGCTTTAACAGACATCGACCGCTCTTGGTCTGAAGTTCCCATCCAAAACGCCAGAGAAGGAAGAGAAGCCAGCAACGGCGCAGTCGCAGATTCAATGGTGGCCTTCTCTCTCGTCAAAAAGATGGAGTCCCCATAAGAAACAGCACCCAGAGGAGAGGAATCACCCTCCCATGTGACGCCCAAAATGGTGACCCGAACGAAGACCAAAGTGATGTAGGATGGCTTGACCTGAGGTGCTTCTGCTGGCAAGCCCATGCCATCAATTTCTGTGCAGAAGATCTCTGGCCTGCCTGCCACGTCGGCGAAGGACGATCGCAGCATCTCCTCCGTCCTCTGCCTGAGAACCGTGTCTCGATCACCAACACGGTTCAGATCACTAAGCCCATTTTGCAGAATCTCCCGACAGCAATGAGTTGCAGCTGCATAGGCACGACATAGCGCTCTGGTCTTGGCCAGCAAAACACTAGAAGCACCTCGCTCAAAAGGAGCGTTGAGGAGGTATGTGCGTGTGGCGGCAATCCCAGTCCCCGGATCGACCCCCTCCCAGATCATATGCTGTGCACCTGGGACGAAGAGCTGCGGATCATCTGTTCCGTCCGCGACAATCCTGCCGGACTCCACGCCAAAGAGGACTCTTGGGGCAGGATTGAGACGCACTGCAGCTTGTCCTTCGCCTTCTCGCAGAGCTACCACGTCTTCATCTGTCATAGATAAACGCCCATACAAGAAATAGTCCATCAAAGGCGAAGTGGCCAGAAAGTCCTGTCCTGAGTGGGTGTCATAGCAAAGCAATGCGTCCTCCCAAGCTCTCTCGAGCTTCGGAATCAGGCTTCGTGCCCAAAGCATGGAATGGAGGTCCCAAGCGGGTAAAATCTTCTGCTGGAATTCCGCCTCCAAATTCACCACCTGCCTGTGCAGCGTCAGGAACCCATGACCGTAGTCGTCGAATCCAAAAGCCTGCACGAGGGGCCACCGCTCCACAGCCATCTTCAAGTCTTGACCAACGTCAGGCTGTCTGACAAACACACCCACGGAGCCACAGCTTTTCACCATGTCGATAAACGCCCCAGTCTTCAGGGCGTCGTACCTGTCAGCGTCGGCTTCGTCTTTCTCGGACGGCACGATCAGACTCACGGCTTCCCAAAGCGCTGTCCGGACAACCACCTCCTGTTGAACCGATCGTTTGCAGAAGATAAACGTCCTGTCTGCACGTAGGCAGATGAGACATTCCCCGTATGCGGCATCGACAGTGGATGAGAGCAGCTCCCTTCCGCTGACCCCGAGGAGCAACCAGCTCAAAGCCACCTCGTTCGCGCTGTTGAAGGACACGTCAGGCCCACTTGCCACCACGACGGCATCAAGACCTCGTGACTTCCGCAAGGCTTGCAGTTGGATCCAGCGCGACCGGCATGCCAGCGCAGAGTATCCGGTGATGTCCTCGCTGCTCAGCCAGGCAGGCCAATCTAGCTGCTTGCTGCCGGAAGGTTGGGTGCCTGCCATGAAGATCGACGGTATTGCGGAACACTGTTCCCACAATTCATGAAACCTAATTTAACTTTCATTGTGCAGCTTCATGTCGAGAAAACACCTCTTCGCACAACCTCTCATAGCGACTACGTCCTTGCAGCTCAGAACATGTGCCGTAACTCACGTGCCGTTGTGATGTACTTGATAGCTGCTTGAGCCAACTTCTCCTGGATTCACCGCAAGTTTAAATGTATACACACATGTGCCAAGACCAACTGCTGTGATTAATGTGTGTGTATGTATGTATGTATGTATGTATGTATATATATATATATATACATGTGTATATTTCTGTGTTTTTATCTATGCATGTGTGATGCATGAGAGGGAGCTCGAGCCTCAAACGTAACGTTTCATGATCTCTGGGCGCACTGCACTGCAGAATCCACTTCCAAAAACACAAGTCAAGCTATCGGCTGCATGAAGCAGGACCTTGCAACCCAGTGGAAGCATGTACACACATATACGTACACACACACACACATATATATATATATGCATTTGTTTATTTATTTGTTTACTGTTCCTGTTTTTGAAATACATACAATTAATTAGGGACATATTGGGACGTGCAACTCCACCTCTGCATACTTCTGAAAAAACACAGTTTTGAGACCTTGTAAGCCCTTGGCCCTTGTATGTCTTGGCCAGCGCATCAGCGCGGTGCCTGAGCAGGACGCCCACCACCTGCAGAGAGTTGCACCATGCCCGTACACTCAGAACATATTTGGGATGTGATCTCCTCCGATGTTAATTAATTGGGATCCGTCTTGAAGTCATGGAAAGTATGGTGGCTGCATGCCTCCAGGATCAGCATACGAGCATGCAAAAGCAGCTTCGCTAGCCGCGCTCTGGCGCGGAACGTGTTGAGGATTCTTGGAGGGGCGTGGAAGCTCTCCAGATTATGCCGGACAAAGCTCGAGTGTGGGCCTCCGCATGGTCATTGCCCGCTGCGAAGTGTAACGGTGTCCATCGCTCAATGTCGGAATGCCGAAGTGCTGCCCTGGCGTAGAGACGTTTTTGCAGCAAACTCAAACCACTGAAGCATTGCAGGACCTCTGGGGTGCGCAGCCCACTCAAGGTGCAAATACTGTGCCCTGCCTGAGGCTGGTCTGGCTAGCCGATTGCTTCGCAAGGATCTCTTTGACCTGCTGGTTCGGAGCTCTAAGCCATCGGGTGAACACGCCAAGGGTGGACGGCAGCGAACCTCAGAAAGCTGCCCATCCCTGGCAGCATCCAGGAGGTCGTCCAGGCCATAGGCATCACCCATGCATCGCCGGGCACACTTAAGCAGTTAAGCTTCATGGGGCCCGTAGTAGGGCTCATAGGCCCCATTGCATCTTTGAGTTCAGAGGCTCATGGACTGAAGGACATGTCGCAAGCGGCCCGTGTTGTCTTGAAGCACCGAAGCTGCGGAAAGATTAGCCTGCTCAGACAAGGTCAAGGGTCCAGTACAGGTTCATCACAAGAGAAAGGGTTGTCCTAAATTAGGGTCCCCAATTTTCGCTTAATATCGAAAAATACATGTACTTTGCTTTTGTTTAACCGCTTCATGATGATGTAGAAGAGGATCCCCAACCAACGACCTGCAACAGGGACCTAAAAATTAAGAACACCCCCCCCCCCCCCAACCATAAGAAGGTGATCGCGACTGAAAAGTTCGAAACCAAGTAAAACATTGAGCTTAGACTGCATCTATTGGCAATGGCGGTCGCGAATAAAGCTTGCCGATGTTTGACAGACCTGCATGCCCTTGTCGATCTTCTCCAACGGCAAGGTCATCTTCGAGATGCCCCACGCGGAATTGCAAAGCTCCAGCATCCTGAACCTGCACACAATGGGTTTAAGGTTTGGACTCGACAGACATCAGGCAAGGCATCCGTTTTCACCACTGGGTAACTTTCGGGTTTAAGGGTTCACGGTTTCAGGGGTTGTTGCTTAGGGCCCTTTGCTAGGGTTTACGCCGTATGAAGGCAGAAACGCGAGCAGCATGCTTGTGCCTGTCTGCCGTCAACTCCACTCGGTCAACCACCAGCTCCAGCATCTTTTCATCTTGCACCTTCACCGAATGGAACAATGATTGGCCGGCTGCCTTGGAGTTTACGACCCCCCCCCCGGCCGCAAGCTTGCCGAACGCGTAGAGGAGGTTTGCGCAGCCTCAATTGGGATCGCGCACGCTCTGACGAATTGTGTGCCATGAGGCGTGCGCTTCTGTCAAAGGGGTGGGGCCCGGGGGCTACTGTTCAACAGTGATTCTCTCCATGTCGCAACCGCAATGGCCTTGACCTGTATTACCACCCTCCCTCCGCCAAGCCTCAACGCCTAAGCCCTCAACACCATCAACGTGGGGCCCCAAGCCTCCCGTAACAGGAAACTCAACACCCCCAAATCACCCCCAAGCCCTAGCCTGTTCAAGAAACATGGTTCCGGTTTCACCCTAAGCCCTTAACCCTACCTAAACCCTAGGCCCTAAACCCAAGACCCTAGACCCTAAAACCCCAAAGCTTAGAAGCAGGTAAGACCTGGGCACTGCGGGTCAAACCTGGCGATCTTGCGCTGTGACTCTTCGGCAATCGCCTGGCACATGCGTTCAACCTGTTGTCTGACAAAGAACAGATAGACAAGGACCCCTCATACAGACCCCCAACTAGTAAGATCCACTGATAATTCTTATAAACAAGGACCCCAATGAGGTACCTCCAATACGGTAACCATGCTTGCAACCATGCATTGTAGCCTGGAGCATCCGCTCCTCCACACGGGCCAAGGTGGCGAAGGCCTACGATAGCGCAAGCCGGCCATGGCACGACATACTTGGCGTTGGATGCAACCACAAAGTGAAGAATCAAAGCTCCCAGCCCACGCCGTAATGGCAAGATTCTGCGGTTCGAACCTTGTGCTGTCGGGATTGCCGCAGAGTGGGTCAGAGGCCAGAAACCCGAATCTGCAAGGAACAAGTGTAATGGGGACTTGGGCTGGGGGTCGGTATCGGAGCAGAGCGCTGCTTGAGCAGTCTTGGCCCAAGCGGCTGCGGGAGCTGCCTGGTGACCTCCTCGGCAAGAGCCTCCGGAGTGTGGGGAATTAGCACATGGCATGAAGCCAGCTGCGCTGCACCCGCCAGCTCGGGTAAGGTACCCACAAGGTACCCAGAAGCAACCCGTGTCAAAGAAACATGTTCCAGCGGAATTTGCTCCTCGAACAGCTCATCGTTTTGGATGCCGAGCTTGGCAAATGCCCAGGAGACATTGGCCAAGTCCTGCCCATAGCTTCCCGGAAGGTGTTCAATGGAATCGCTGCTGTAAAAGGCACTCAGTTGTGTCTTGGCCTGGTAACCCATGCTCGACAGCTTTCTGAGGATGTCTTTCCTTGCAGGGGTGTGGGCCAACAGGCTGAGTTCAGAGGCCGATCTGACTGAGGAGGATGAATGAGCAACTAAGCTGCGCACGCCAGCTTCTGGAGGAACTGCTCGTTGCAGTGCTCTGCACTTGCACAGCACCATGCCGCAACCTGCGGCACAGCACGTGCGTCATCTTCATGGGCCGTGATGGATTTGATACTACGTTTACGGAAACCCCGCGCCGTAAGGTCACCAGCTGACAGATCACGCCGAGGCAACTCAGACGTGAAGCGAGCCTTGGTGCATTTGTCTGTCTGAGTTGCTTCGAACCAAAATAACAGAGAAGCTCTGCAAGAAGGTTCACACTGTGTGCAGCTGAGCATGATCTCGCTCGTGCAGGCTTTTGGCTCTTGCGTCGCGCTGCGGGGGTGTGCAAAATCAACACGTGCTCTTCAAACACGCGTCTTTTCGGAAGCAATCCGGGCAGGGTCATGCCGCCGCGTAGGCGGGGAAAACAAACCCACGATGCCCTGCAGAGAGCAGGAGCCGAACCTCACGAGGCCGAACTGTTCTAACTGTTCTAACTATTCAAACAACGGGTTCTTGGCAGGAGGGCGCTTTGACTGACCATCATCAAAGAGCGACGGCCGGGCCGCTGCCGGCGTGCCGAACAAGCTGGCGGCTCCTCCTGGCTTTGGGGCCGGAGCTGGCTGAGGGGTTGGGGCCGCAGGCTTGGCCGGCATGGTGGAGACCGGCACGGCGGCTCCAGGCACTCCAGTCACTCCAGGCACTCCAGGCACTCCAGGCACTCCAGTGCCCTGGGATGGTACGGAGGGGGTGGCTGTGGTGCCCGGGCGCGCTGGGGCCTTGGCACTCGGGCCGGGGGCCGTGGCCTCCTCTTCCGCTTCAAAGGCTATGGCTGCGAGGGTTGGGTCTCTTGTCAAGACGGAGCTTGCTTTCATCAGCACCTGGAGCTGGTTGTTCAAGGTACGTCTTTCTTCAACTATGTGAGGTGGCTCGCCAAGAAGCTCAGACAGCTTGTCTTGATGATTCAAGGCATTGAGAAGCTCAAACTGAAGCTTGTCCTGAACTGCTCTAACGAGGTAGAAGCCAATGGCCTTCGGAATTGAATCTCTGATGTTTCTCACTGTGAGCTCGAAGTAGGAGTCCAAGCGCTTTCGAATTTCAAGAACAAATGGGCCGCTGTACCGCTGCTGTTTTCTTTGGGCCTCATTCTTCTTCAACAAGGAGCTCACCGTGCTACTCACACTCTGATACCCGCTCTTCGTGGCATCCTTCACTTGCTGAAACCCCTTCTCCGCCATCCCGGGCTCCTTCTTCTCCTCCTCTACTGGAGGGGGAGGTTTCTGCTGCTGCTGGCTCTTGTACATGGGCTCCATGGAACCATGGTTGATCAAGTATTCGGGGTCATTCGTGAAGAGGTAGCCGATGTAACAGGCAACCTGCTCCTCCACGATCTTTCGTGTCTCATCCTTCTGCTCCTGGATGATGTTCTGCGTCAGGTTCAAGACAGACTCCGCCATCCTAGGAAAACGACGGAAGACCGCGTGAGCCATGCGCTGGGACAGAACATCCAGGGCTGCAGCAATGTTGTGCACGCACTCCACAGACGGGATGGCGAGTTTCTGTAGGTGCGGGAGAGCCAAAAACTCAAACGTATCGGGGGAAGGAAATCCTGGCAACGAGTCTCCCTCATGCAGGCGAATGGCCTTCTCAATGTCATCATCAGACATGTCCGAGGTGATTTTTGCCTCCATGAAATCAATCAGAAAGTCGTTCATGATGGTCCTGATTTTCGCACCACCTGATCCTCCTTGCGAGCCACTTCCAGGCAGGTTGCACATGTAGCGCTGGAGTTTGCGATCGTACTTCCCTCTGATGGTGTTCTTGAACATCTCGCAATAGTCGGTAACTAAGGTCCACATCACCTGCACCCTCTCTGCAGTCTCCAGCGGTACCCCTTCCCCGAGCTCGTCTAGCCGGTCTTGGACAGACCTCCGCTTTTCATTGATCTCCTTCTTGATTTCGGGCAGAAATCGTCGGATGTGTTTGAAGAGAATCTGTGTCAGCTTGTCAATCAAAACTGGGGTTCCGATCATCCCGGGCGGCAGCTTGCTGTAGACCCGGTGGTTGTCAAACCATTCTTTCTCATCCTTCAAAGAATCCTTCACCTGCTTCTTGTTCACAATGTCTTGCTGGCTGCGCATCTTCACCCCGACATATCCAAGGCGCAAGGGCACATCCTCACCTCTGAGCATGGTTGCCGCATCCGTACCTTGGTCCATGATGTCGATCTTGGTAATTACGCCGATGGACCGCAAGCCTTGCGGGTCTACTTGGCGGGCAAGCTGGAGGCTGTCCGACACGGACATGTCCTGATTTGCTGGCAGCACTGCCAGGACAATTGTTCGAGGGTCGTTGATGTAGTGGAGCGTCATGTCCCTTGTTAACTTCTCGACGTCCTCTCGCTGATCGCTGCCTTTGACCGGCACCCTGGTAATGCCCGGCAGATCAATCAGTGTGAGGTCTGGTGCCCCTGTGGCATAGATCGTCAGGATGATGGGGTCATTGACGATGCCCTTGTTTGAGCCGGCCACTTGGTCTGTTTGGCGCTCGATTTCTTGCCTGACCTCGTCAAAGTTGGTGAACTTTTTGTCTCCGACCTTGTCCGGCCAGGCTTCAACGCAACCATATACATAAATAAACAAATTATTTAATTCATTAACAAATTAATAAATAAAGAAATAAGTAACCAAACATGATATACATACATATATATGTGTGTGTGTCATGTAATGTAATGTAATGTAACGTAATCCAATGCAACGCAATGCAATGCAATGCAATGCCATGTAATGGAATGTAATGTATGTATGTATACGCATGTATATATGTATAGCTGTATACATGTATATCTGCAAATCATGTATGTAGATATGTATATGTGCACACAGACACGCAATCAGAAAGCAAAGTATTGCAGATGCTTGTCGTGGTCCGAGCCACTTTGTCAAAGACGGCCCACGCTTTGTCTTCCGCGTACTCCTGGGTGTTCAGGTGCACGAGCCGCAGTTCCAAAGGACGTCGTGTGACAACACCCCCACCACGTGGCAAGAAGTCGAGACCAACGATGGACTCGATGAGGGAGCTCTTTCCTGGCAACCAGGGAAGCTGCACTGAGGTGCAACACAACGAACTCACTGTAACAGCAGCACGTTGGCCATCTCAGCGGCTTGTATTTCTTGAAATTTTGGGCCACTTCAATGGGACAAATGGGACTTCGCTGACCGTTCCGCGAAGCGAAGCGCGTTTTGACCTTGCTTCCGCAGAGCTTCTGGGAGAGGGGGGCAGTAATCTTGTCAATCGTCTGCTTTGAGTTGGGGTCCAGGCTCGAGTTTGGAGAAATCGGTTTGGGGCAACAGACAAAAGCTGAGGCAGTCCCGAATATGGAGTCGATTTCAGGGTTCGCGGATGAAGGGCTTTGAGGTTTTTGGGTTCTGGAGCCGTTCGGTTTGCGCTGCGGCTGGCAGCGATAGCAGCGAGAAGTTCCGACGTCTCAAAAACCAGTGCTGCATCAGACAGATTGGGCCGTACACCGCCCTCGTTTCCGCGCAGCTTCCGCGGAGCTCCGTCGCCTCCCCCATCAAACGGGGGTTTGAAAGCATATACCACCTGCACTTGCTTCCGCAAGCCTTCCGCGAGTGCAGCCTGGCCTCTTACACACAAACCGTTCGTACTTTTTCATGAACTACGTACTGGAACACAACGGAAAGAAAAGCAACAACAAAACGCGGCTCATCTACGTTTACAGGATCTGAGGAATCAGACATCTCTCTGTCGTTTGACAAGGTGCCACTACTCTGGGTCCCGATGGCAGCTATTCGAGGCAGGCTGATGTAATGCTGCAGGCCCACATCCCGGAGCTCATCTACAACAGTGATCAGCTGCCGCAAGTTCTCATAGATGGCAGACATGCTGTAATCGCCCGGCTGCGTCGCGCAAGCCGGCACTTGAGCCAAAAAAGGGGACAACGGGTCGCGCAACGTGTGGGCCGTGCTGCAGACAGACATCGGCGTGCTACAATTGGCTGTCGAGTCAAGTGCCATGAGCTCGGCATCAGCACAGCTGAGCTTCGCAAAGGCCCAAGTCGAGTTCATGACCTGAGCTCGAAACGTTCTTGGGTGCCTAGGTGGCTGAAGCAAACAATGTGCAAGCAAGGCGCATTCTGCAGCTGGAACTGTCCCATCCGCACCAGCAGCTGGGCTCTGAGAGCGGACCTTCGTGTTCAGTACATGTATATGAGCTAGATGTGGGAGATGCTTGCAAGGAGATGCATGCAAGGGCGTTGAAGGCTTTGAAGGCTCTTTGCATCCATGAGCGGCGAGTGAGAAGCTGGAAAGGTGGCTTTGCCAAAGCACAGTAAAGCACAGCATTGCTACGCCTGCGAACGCCTGCCATAGTTCCACTGCAGACTGAAGGACTTTATCCCCTTCTCATTGAACTTCGCATCTCATTCAGAACTGCAGCTGCTTTCAGCACTAAGGGCCCTGGCCAGGCCGGCAACAAGGATATGAAGACACCCACGCAACAAACTCACCCCCCCTCCAGGCAATGCGATCATACACCCCTGCTGTCTCTGTCAAGCTTCTGGCTGAAGGGAGATGTTGAGATGTCTTATCAATATCCTTAAGAGCATTTTCTTCCTACAGCGCCACAACACGACCGGCTCACAAACCAGCTGCAGAAATGAGGTCCATGACTGTGCTTGCAAAGCTTTGTTCCCGTACCGTCTGGTGGTGGCAGCTGGTTGGTGAACCGATCAGCCGAACGGCCATGCGTATTGCGTGGCGAATTTCCGCAGAACTGCCTGCATGGATTTCGGACACCGAGATTCGAAAGACTCGACTCTTTGTGCATCGTTGTGCTGCACGTCTAGAAGATCAGCCGCCCTTCACTGTCTACCTGCCAGTCCGTCGGCCATTGCACTCGCTGGGCTGGGGGACGTTGCTCTTCCTGTGCACTTCTTCACTTCGCACAAGAGTTCTTACACAAAAAGGCACGACAGTCCCCACCTCCCACGGACAAGGAGGGACATCTTCTGCCTGGACTGAAGACCTCCGCCTTGCAGCGTGCTGTGTCAGAGTGTCCTGTGCACGGGTCTAGGCTCCGGGCTTCCACCGCTCAGCACTGGTGGTTCTCACAGTAGGCCGGCCAAACCTGACCCAGAGACCAACTTTTACCAAACTGGGCAAAGCCCAGTTCAGACCGAAGCGCACCGCCATCCTGCAACCCTCCCCCCAGGCACGTGGGAGATGGAGCGGAGGCCGGCATGGTGCGGCGCCGCCCCTGGGCCTCCTTAACGTCCTGACGCGTCGTTTGGATATAGGCAAAGAATCACGACGAGCAGTGCAGCCCAAAATGGACAAACCGGGCTATCGATCAACTAACTAAATGCGATTCCCGACCCCCCGCCCCCTCAGTCTCTGAAGGGCGCGTTTCAAGCTCAGTTTCGATGATTCTTTTGTGCAGCACACGAAGCTTACCCTCATCGTCGCTTCCACCTTGGCCCTTTTAGCAACGGCGCTAGCACGGATGCACGAAGGACAGCTGCTGGGACACCTCCGCGTTTGTGGGGGTACACTCGATTCTCGAGCCCCTCAAAACTGTCGTAATGGGACAGTACAGTTGCTTAGCTCGCCTGTAAAGTGGTTTGGGCACCAAAATGTGCTGTCCCCCAAAGTTTTAAAGAAGTCTTGCAAAGCGCTCAAGTCCGTTGAGGGTCCCGGGTCTCCAGCCCTAGAGACCCTCAGATAGAGACCCTAGAACATTGTGAGATTTTGGGGCAGGTCTGACTTGCGACGTTCCAAAGAAGGCTTCAAGGTCTAAACCCAAATGGGCGACGACGGTCGCAGAAACTAGTACAAGGAAGGGCCATTCCTCCACTATCCCCTTAAGAATGCAGAGGGGGAGTTGTCAAGATCACATCGGATTGACTCCCCTGCTCTCAGACTGCGTCCTCCTGGGCCGGCCACGCATCGCCGGGCTGCGGGGCTGATCCTTGCATCACCCGAGAGCCTCGGGGCAGAGTTAGAGGGGGTCCTTGGGAGCCATCTACGCCATTGTTCTGCAATCTGTTGAAACTCTTTTTGGTTCTGCGCCACTCCCAACCCTTCCAGCCTGCCACCTCTTGTGACTTCGCCCCAAGCCTGGAATGCGAGGCTTGGGGCTCCTTCTGAACTTCTGCATGTTCACAACGCTCGCTGAAATTGGGCCGGAGCTGCACTTGAGATGCATACCGCCGCATGTCTGCAAGGCGCTCCATCTCCTCCGAGAGAACAAAAGAAAAGTTCAGCTCCCCATTTGACATTTGATAGGCGTGACCCATGTTCCGATCTTGTCCATGGGCCATGGGCTCCTGCTCCAGCTGTTCGAAGCTCGGTTCCACTCGACGGTCACAGCGGCTCCCAAGCCTGGACACAAAACGAAGATGGGTTACTTTTTCTCATTACCATGCAACCACGACATGAAGAGAGCATGTTTGACAAAGTAGTTCACTGCAACTTGCTGTAACTAGACTTTGGCTGAGGCGTTCAAGGTGTTCAGTACTTCCGAAACCCAGAAGAAGCTTCGTTCTGGTCATGCCCCACCCACCCACTCGCCCACCCACCCACCCAGCACCCCCCCACCCACACCCCAATTGGAAGAGACAATCAGACATTCCGAGGAGGCCCAGATGTTACTTCCAGGCTTCCGCAGGAACTGGAAGGCAGGATGAGCCTTTGAGCCTGATCCTGTCGAGCCTTTTTTGACATTCAAGACTATGCTGCGCTTGGAGGCCCACGGTTGAATAAGAACACCGAAATGATGAGAAAACAAAGGTGCTGAGAGCAGGGAAGAAGGCATTCATTAAGCAATCAAGTCATTGAACCTCTGCGTCTGCTGTAGGTGTAGGGCACGCTTCTCGGCATCTCCTCAAGGAAAAACGACTGGAGCACATGAGATGGCACAGACTGGCCGATCATCGAACACTAGACACAGAGATACAACACATTCCTGCAACATGTTACCAGCATGCTCACAACTTCCAACACTTGAGTTGAAGCTGCAGAAGCAAAACCCGGCCAGAGACTGCGTGGCAAAGGAATGCAATCTTCGAGCAAGGCTCTCATAGGCGTGCTGGAACTTGTTGCTGATCTTCCAGGGGCTTCCACCCACCAGCAGCTCAAGACAACTCCACACATTCAAGCAGCAAGTGTGCGCACGCGCGTTCCCGGCCTATTCTCTCCTCCAAGAGATGCAGAAACACGACGCGCGATAGAGCCAATTGTTTGCAAGCTGAGTTCCTGCGCTGCAGTGATCTTCCAACAATGTGGCCGTGCAAACCCTGGGAGGAGCAGCCCTTTAGTAATTTACGGACGACTTTATTCAGAGTAGCATAGAGTAGCGTAGAGTAGCATAGGGTAGCGCTTAAGAGACTATATGGTCGCTTCTGCAAAGCGGCAGAGTCAGCAAGCTCTGCCCGCGAGATGTCGAAGACCTTCTTCTCGACTCGGATGGCTTCCTCTGGGCCTGGCGTCTCGTACCTGGCAAGGAGGTTTAATGTGTGTCAAGCTTGGGAGCACAACATAGCCCCAACATAGCCCCAACATAGCCCCAACATAGCCCCAACACAGCTCAACAGTTGGCTCGACGGTTGGCCGAGCCCACTCCCACACATTCCGAGGCCCCAGCTCCTGTTCGGGCTCCTCGTTGGCTTCGTTGTGCGACTGCGGGGACTGCGGTGAGGCGCAGAGCTTGGCCACCGCCCCACGAAGCTGGCCCTCGAACTCCTCCATCACCTCGCATCTCAGAAAAATGTGGGCGATACTGGAGGCTGGCTTGGTGGACTGTGGGGACCGTGGCGAGACAAGGGGGTGCTTTTTGGAGGCTCCGAGGGACGCTGGCAAAGATCCTGCGCTCCGTGGCTTCCAGCTGCTGCCGATTCCTCGAGACTGTTCAGGCACACACTCTTTTGCTGGACTTCGAGTGAGCCAAGCCCAAAGACACAAACTTGAATTGAGCCCTGAAGGTCACGGAGGTGCCATGCAGCTGAGGCGCTCTTCTCGGAAACGCTGGCGGAGATGCTCCTCGCAAGCCTCAAGGTGCCTCTGCGCGGGTTTTGATAGAGCCTACAAATATCGCACAATATCGCTACAGTAGGAGGGCGAGGGAGACGAGACATTTTAGCGCCAAAATAAAAGAACCACCTCCATCCCGCAGCCTAGCAGGTCCGATGCCAAAGGTGCAGTAGGGGTTGGCTCAGAGGAATTCGGGGGCCCCCTATGGAACCTTCCCACAGCTCTCTCCACATTCTCAGCGAACTGTGCTCCGAACTCATGGATGTCGATAGGGGCGCGAAGGCGGTGCTCGGGAAGTTCCGAAGTTCCAGCTTTGAGGGGCATGGGCCTCCTTACGGACTCCCCCCTAAAAACCCTCTGCGTGATCAAGGCGCGGTCCCCCAACCCCCACTGCCCACTCACCCATGGTACCCCCCCCTTCCACGAATCGCATTCATATATGGTCCCCGACTGTGAGGCCGCGGACCTCCTATGCTTCTGTGAACAAAACCTGCGGCACTTGCCAGCGCCTGACATCCAGCTGGTGCACAAACCGTGGCGTTTAGCATTGATGTTATGTGGCGCGAATGCACGTGTGATCTTGTATGGCAGCTTGACAGCCGCCTTCGTGTCTCATCACGCCAATGCCGTTCGTAGGCCTCGGCCTGTTGCTGAGGAGAATGGCAGGCCAACTCACGGATACCAGTTTTGCAGCACGGCCATGCTAATGGCCTCTTGACGACTTTGGTCTCGCAGCGCCTTCATATCCTGATGATCCGCATCGAGCCCCCATGTCTGGAAGCTTCTGAGCTGCAGCCCAGCGTCGGAAAGGCTGTCGTCACGAAAGCTCTGGAGCTGACTTGCGAGCGAAGTCGTGTCCCGCCTAGGCTACTTGAAGCCTGGCACGGCTTTCTTCCGCCTTCGCGTGCTCCACAGTAGAGCCCTCCAGCACTTAACTCCGATCATCTGCAATCAAGGTTCTCCAGTGTCTCCAAACGATGGCAGAGTCGTGAGAACTCCTCCACCGTCGGCCCCGTGGTGCGAGTGCAGGATGAACCACTTGCAACGCCGTCAGCAGGCGCCGCCGGCGCCTGAAACAAATGGGATCGCAATCGCAGCTGCCTTCCGGGCACGACTCCCAGCAATAGGAGGCTTTTCACTACTTGCCTCAACCGGCTCGACGCCGCTCTTCCTGAGCTGGGTCCCGTTTCTCAATGCAGAGAACGCTGGAGATTTGGCGGGCCTTGGGCTGCACGCGCGGCGTTGCTCAGAATACCTTGGACATTCGCAAGACAAGCCATCACCAAAGCCACACGGCACCCAAACATTGCGCAACAAAAGCGCCCTGGCCTTCTCCGCACCTGTCGGGATGCTGCAGTCTCGTGATTTTGGAGCGTGCGTGTGGTGTATCATGGCGCATCAACATAGGAAGGCATCTACGCAAGAAGCCTTGCGACTTGACATAGACATGTGGAAACGTGTGGAGACATCGCGTTTCGCAGAAGACATTTGGCCGTGCCGCCTCTGGCCAAGCGCCGCATGTCAGTATGCGGACTTGCTCGTCTTCACTCTTCCGCGATGCTGAATTCTGGAAATTGCGCGCATGCTCTAGCAGAAGCTTTTAAAAATTAGGTGCGCGAATGTAGGTCACGAAAAAGCCTGCCGCCTTTCATGCCAAGTTGGATTTGCCTTGAAACATGTGCGTCTGCCATTTCCGCCAATAGCATGAATAGCCCAATCGTTTAAGTCGCCTTCTCAGCTTTTTTCAAGTACAGAGCTGCTCCAATTCCCTCCTAAGAACGTGTTTCAGGTTTGCCGAGTCTCGAACTACAAAAAGCCACGAAAAGACAGGCCGTGAGTGTTCTGACATTCATCGTGAAACAAGTCATGCGACGCCGTAAGCGACGCTCGACAAACGACAAACAATTACCATCAACAACCGGCCGGCATGCCGGCTGAACTCGCCTGCGGAGACGGATCAAGGCCATTGACGTCTGCTGCCTGCAACAAGAGCGAGAGATGCAAACGAGCCACAAAAGGACCAAAAGGACCAAAAGGACTGCATTGCCTACGTCGCTGCTCTGCACCCGCCTCATCGGACCTCGCTTCCGCACGAGGTCGTGGCCGAGGCGAGATGTCACTGCCTGCCATACTCATCATACTCTCAAGACGAGATATTGACGAGATGGAGCTGCAAAGTGCTCGGTGAGGTCCTGTGTGGCTGATGCCAGCGTTGGCGCAGGAGACCTTCTGACATGCGACACTATGTCACACACACACACACACACACACTGACCTGTGATGCTGTGGCCAAGTACACTAGCTGCCAGCTAGCAACTCGCCTGCCCACACGACTTAAGACTCGCAGCGTCGGCCTCCTGCGGCACCGCCTGCGCTGCCTGCTCGCTGGCAAGGACTGCCTGGGTCTGAGACTCTGAGAGCGGTAACCCTGCAGGCAGGGAAAATTTATGCCAGTTGCACAGACCAACTGTAAACCCTTTTTGGTGCGTATGGGCCCCTTCCAGCCGGAGCACCGATCTGCGCGCCTTGCGAACCTCCGAGTAGCGCGGCCGTGATGAGGCGCGGCTTGAGGCATCTGGGGCCGTTTGGCCGGTTTCCAAGGCTGTCTGCGTGGTCTGGAAGGTCTGGACACCTCGCTGCCAAGGCACCGGGCACTCTCTGCACCAAAAGCATGCTTGCCCAATCTGCACAACTACTCACATCCAAAGACCCGAGCTGGCCAGGCTGTTGCTCCTGCAACGTGCGCGAAGTACATGTCAAAACTTCGCATGCAAGTCCATCGCCAGTCCTGGAGATGGAGGCCATCCGATCCGGATCCGCTTCTGCAACGCTGCCTGGCTAAAGCACTATGGCAAACAGTTCAGTTGTCAATATCGGGTCAAGTCGAAAGGTGCCCGACATGGTGGCCTGTGGATTCGTGCCTTCACAACTTCACAGCTCAAAAAAAGGAGCTGGGGCGGCCACGGCTTCCCAAGTCGTGTTGAGCTTGAGAATCACCAGTCCTTCTAGGACTGGCAAGGCTCCTGAGAGAACATGTCAAGCGATAGTTCCTCCCACTGCACTCGGGATCTGACAAGATCTGACATCATGATCTCTCACTCTCCTTCGGTCGTGGTCTCGTCTTCCTCTGTCAGGGTTGGGTCCTCCGCACTTCCGAGTACCGTGGCCGGCGCTGCGCGGCGCTGGGCACCGCCGCGCCCACCTGACCGGCTGCTTTGCGGGCATCGGGATCGGCTGGAACTGGGTGGTGTACCCAGTAGTCTTATACCAAGAGTCCAGACACTTCAGGAACTTTCGGGGGCAGATAGCAGGTCCACCTCTCTCACTTCGATCTTGGAGGGTGCGCGCGGCAACCTGAGCAGGTCCTCTGAGCACAACCTCCCGGCTTCCCTTGAGCCTCTTCATCAGACGAGTTGCGAGAAGCGAGGCCTGGACTCGGAACCCAATATGCCAAGCCTCAGGAGCGGATCATTTCGGTGGAGTTGGATGCTGAATGGGTTGCTCATGGAGGCTGTTAAGGTGGATCTATGGGGGTTGGAAAGTGATTGAAAAGTTGAAACCCGGCAGCTGGAATTCGCCATCCTTGCCAGTGTTGTAGTAGCGTTCCGCTTTCTCGGCACCTTCGATTACACAAAGACCACTTCGGGATATGCAAGCTACCATGACACCAAATTCTACTCATTGTTATTTGCAGGTAGCTTGCTCCCCCCTTTGATCTTGGCAAGGCACCATCGTGCTCAACCTTCACCCGGCCACCATCGCATCGCACCTCCACAATTGTCCCAGTTGGCTCCACAAGCTTGGCCAGACTTGGATCCAGCACAAAGACACGGGACCCAACCTGAGCATTGCGCAGCTTGCCATTACCACTTCGTATGTTTGCCCACATTGCCATGATCTTGTGCCAGGCAACGATGGCACAAACGTCTCGGCCAACAAGGCCTCGGTTTGCACACGCCTACAATCGATGGCCGTGGAACTTGTCACCCAACAACTTTCATGCTATGCATCGGTGCAACAGCAGGGCGAGCCGGCGAGCATGTGACAATGCATGTGCTTTCATGAGAAAGCGCTTCGTGCATGTTGCCCCACGCCCCACCCCACGCCGCCCCTCCCCGCACTCGCACAAGCTTTCTTGGGATGTCGTGGCCTCATTTCGTTTGTTTGAGAAGGGTTTACAAAGGGTTTGCATTGAAGTTTACATCGTGTTTGGATTTGCAGCTGACCATCTCACTTGAGGTCACCGCCTGCACTGCCAGCGTGGTCGTAATGGCTCTGTCGTCTAGCCTGCGAAGTGGTCGACATGGCTGTCCTCCTGAGATTTGCGCACGCAGTCAACGCGAAACAAGCCGCATCGCGGAATCGACACAGATCTCATCTCTCCCAGGCACTCGCTCATGCCACCATCGAACCACTCGCTACCACTGATATCGTCCTCGGTTTCCTCGAGCGAAGACTAGATAAGGTGTCACACCATTCCCGCCGCTGCACACATTCAAGAAGCTCTTGGGAAAGCGGTACAAGAGCAAACACATTGTTAGCCCCACATCTGAGGCAGAGACAAGCAAGCTTCGGTTCTGCGTTTGAGCGTGAACCTGAAGCTCCACGGAGGCGATCCGGCTGAGCTGCAAACTGCTAAACTACCAGATTTGCCAGAACGAAAGATTGACATCACACGCACATCCACAGCAATTGCAGGCATGCGACATTTTCATGGAAGGCACCGCCTGCAGCCCCAAACATAGCCATGGCTGCGGATGGCGCTGTGAATTGGCGAACAGCTTGTGCAGTGCTATCTTCATCGCATGGATGACTGGCCCGTCATGGCATGGCAGAGTAAACTCTGAACCATATGATGTTAGCCATATGAAACGCACAGCATCACCTTGAAGTAGTGGCAGTGGCGAGCAACTAATGAAGCACCCCGCATCTGACTACGGAAGCACCCGGCATCTGACTCTACCTGTATGCAGAAAACCCGGATCATGCGCACGGGTTCCCACATGAGGCCGTCGTCTCTGATGTTGAGCGTGGCAAAGGACCAAGCCTTTTCAAACCCCACAATGCAAAAACACGATGCCAACACGACACATCGAAACATCGGATCAGGTCTGTGTGAGCTCACCGTATTGGCAATGCCCTGCGGCGGCATCTCTGCAGCTCGCTGCTGCACACATCGTGAGATGGCCGCCATCATCTCGGGCCTCCCATGCAGATGCAGGCACGTGCAACAATGGTTCCGTGCAATGACTGAGCCTTTTGATTTGCAGCTTCGCAAACGCCCAGGCAGTGTTGCTGATGTTCCTCGTGCTGGAGATGCATCATGAATCGGATCGCCAGCTATCACGCGAAGCTGCGCCTAGCGCAAGACTTTCTGTTTCCCCCCCTCTGCTGCCGGGCGGCTGCTGAGCAAACTCACTACACTGGGCAGCCACGACCTGCGCAGGCAAACACACAATCTCAGGCAGCGGAAGAAGGCAGCATGCGGCACTGAATCTCTCAACATGCAGATGTGCTTTGGGCTGCATAGTCGTGAGGAGACGAAGGGTGTGGTCATGCGTCATCACGCTCATGAAACCTTGCTGGTAATAGGGGCACACCAACTCAGAAATCCTTCGGGCAAACATTCCCAATGGCCATGTCGTGATTGAGGTAACATGCAAGGTTTGTAACGACCTGTCTGAAAAGTTAAGGCGCAAATTGTAAATGCTACGGCTTGTACCTTGAATGTGGAGAGGAGATAGAGACACCCGATGACCTTGTGTACAGCAAGCCCCTAGCCCAGCAACGAAACGACCCTGCGATCAAGCCCTTCAGTAGCCCTCGATCCGATCTGCCTTTGCGACGGACTCAAAGAATCTTTCGTCAGCAACCCGAAGCGTGGCAAAGGACCAGCTGGTGTTGGCCAAGTTTTGGCCTGCAAGCTTTCGGGACTTCAGCTGAACCAGGAAAGGGAAACAAATCTGGGAGCTGCGGGCTTATCAGGTTTCTTGCTTATCAGCTGTGTTTTGTGGCTTCCACTGCTTTAGACACAGCTGCATGGTTGTTTCTGGAGATACGGAAGGAGGGTGCATAATTTTGGACTCTCCGATGATTCGAAACAAACTAGCACCCCATCGACTCGTGCACCCTCAGTGCTTCGAAGCTCGTTGTTACTCACGTAGTAAGAAATCTCTTTCAAAGGCTCGGAAGGGCTTTCGGGGCCACGAGATGGAGACTAAGAGAGACGGACGCCCCACGCGACACTGCTACTTCAGGACTTGCCACTGTAATACGCTGGCTTGGACTTCTCCTCGCATTCCTCGCTCTGGCGCCGCCCGAAGCCGCAGGGAGGCTCTATAAAGCTGCCAGGCCATCTGGGGCATGGACCATTCATCTCCGGAATAGCACTTTGGCACTCCTGGACTAGCCTCAGCGTGGCTGCGCATGACTGCGCTGCACGCTTCTCATAGCATCTGCCCTGTTTCCTGAGGCGCCAGCTCCCGCATGAGCCACTCTTCTCGCACCTGCATATATACATATATACATATATGCATACATACATACATACATACATACATACATACATACATACATACATACATACATACATACATACATACATACATACATACATACATACATACATACATAAGTCATACATACATACATACGTATGTCCATATCAAGGGCTCACGCGCCTGGAGCTTGGCCACGGCCCAGCACAGGTTGGCCCGGCCCAGGGGAGCCAGCGAGGAGATCCGGCCCCGAAGCGCCCCAGCGAAGTCGTTCAAAGGCCTCGGTGCGATGCTCGGCGGCTTTCAGCTAACATGACTCGGATGTTCGACCAAAAACGCAGGGCTTAGGACGCCAGAAAGCTACGCGTCAGGAGTTCACACGATACCCTTAGGGTAGGAAACAAGTCTAGGTTTTGGTCCATCTCATGGAGCTTCTGAAGCTGAAACCCTTTACAGAAGCCCAAGTCAGCCCCAGGAAAGCCCTGGCTTGCTTTTGAGAGAGGACTCTCTTTGCTCCGAGCCACGCTTCGCTCTGCAGAGTGGCGTATGACCACCTGAACTTCACTGGACTTCAACTTCACGCCGCTTCAAGCTGCTTCCCCTGCCCTTGTTGGGGCAAAGCAGACTATCACGAGTCTTCTTTCACAGCACCATTTACAGAGATGTCTCGGAGTCCAGCATCATGTTCACCAGCCTCAGCTTGCACAGGCTGACTGCCGGTTTTCCGTGAGCTTCCTGCCGTGTGGGAGCTGTTGCGGCTCAAACTCCGGCAGCTTTTGCAGCGCCTCGTCCGAGACCTGTATGCACAGCAAAGACTTGCGAAAGCATGATACCACATGCCCGCTCTTTGCCTTGGCGACTAGCTTGTGTAGCCGCAGGTCCAGCTTTGCCATAGCCCAAACAATTTTGGACCTCGATATGCATGATATGCAGTGGCACGGTGGAAGACTCAATGCATCAGCACAGCTGGTAAAGGCAAGTGACATGGTCTGTGGCTTCTTCAGCTTGTCCCAGTTAACCAGCTCTCCTCAGCAAAACATCACCACACGGCCGCACGGCCCGCACCCAAACCTCTCAGACCACCGTTGAGCGGAGCTGAGGGTCGCGTGGCTTTGGAGGCCAATACTCGCAGCCTCTCATCGCCTTTCACCTTTGCACATTAGGTTACTGCTGTCGCTTGTCGCTGCCTCACAAGAGACCTATGAGGCCTGCTTGTGGTCGTCAGCTTTCGCGATCCGGTGGAGCGCCGCTGACCTGAGAGGGCGCGCGCGCGCGCGCACGTAACGCAAGGCGCCGAGTCAGTCCTTGCACAGCTCAGCATGGCTTCCGCGACTTTTGTCTGCACAAAAAAGCTCTCACTCTCACACAGCGTATAAGCCTGCCAAGCTGGCGCCGTCCATGGCCAGTGCTCCTCCTTGACCACAACTCCAACGTCTGCAACGCGCTTGAGGTACAAGCCCAAGCCATAAACGATCACACACCTGCTCCGTCTTGCCCCATGTCATCCTTGGCTTCTCCACATGCTCCCAATGCTCCTCGCTCGAACTCCAGCCGTGGAGACCACCAGCGTGTCACCAGCGGGCTGCAGCTCTAGCAATTCCAGCTTTGTGCTCGAGGTGCCCCTAAGTAGCGGTACCCTGTCGAAGTCGGCGGTCGCTGAGCGATGTATTCGGAAGAAGGGCGCTACTTCGGCCACTTTTTGGCAAAGCCCTCCTGGGCAGCCAGGAACTGCCTGGGGGCAGCCAGAACATGCCAGAGAGCAAAGCTTGGCAAGACGCACATATTGCCAGCAAGGTTCTCCAGCATCGCCTCAGCAGTCGTTTTGTTAAGTTGAAGTTGAACTCCCGCTTGCCGCTAGCATGCGTGGCAGAACCCTGCACGGCCTCGCAGTGGTGTCGTGCATCGATGCCGACCTGACAGACAAAGTCAACATGCCGGCAAAAATTTCGGCGCACTGCTTCACGGACTATCGAAACCAGCACATGGAAATGCTCCATCTCCTGCCTGGCCCAAATGCAATGCTGCATTTGTGAGGCACAGCGCATGCGCATCCTGAAGGCGGATAGCTCAGGGCATCTACGGCTAAATTTAACTCTGCCGCTGGCCTCTTTGCGTAGGCGCCCTTTGGCCAGTTCCCGCAGCACAGAGCTGCTGTATGTATCCTTGGGCCATGGCAACATGGCCGGTCACTGAAGGAAAACAGCTGCTCACGTCAGCGACGCTGTGACCCCAAGTGCTGCCCTTCTCAAGCCCGGCTGCCGTGTCATCCGGAACCTTGGGCACGGTGCAAGGAAAGCCCAAGATCCAATAAGAAAGATATCGCCTCTCCCTAAAGCTTGAGGCCTGCAGCCAAGAAGCGAGTCGAGGCAGGGCATCCACCGGGCCGGGATTCGATCCGCAGTTCACACCTTCATGGGTGCATCACTTCATGAGGTCATCGGATTCGAGATCCTTCCCACAGAGTTATCCACACTCCGGGATCCGAACCGAACTTCTTCCTTGCGGCTTCTGCAAGAGGCTCGCAGCAGACCTGCACACCATCAACGGAATGGCTGAACATGTCTTAACGCCTGGACATCCCCACAGGACCTCGCCAGGTCTCGGACGGCTCTCCCTGCAGTGGCTCAAGCCACAGCCGCATGGCAAATCCCATGCTGGCGCGCCTTTCAACTTGACACAAGATACCCACAAGGTGTCAGAACATTTTCACATCAGGCAGCCTGGTCCCAAAGCCTCCAACTTATCGGCCCATCCGAAATAGGTTTCACAGCACATGAAGGGAAGGATGCCACATTCCTAGGCTGTTGTTCTGGCATAAATAAAAGTGCGCCCAGTGTGCGCAGACTTCCATGGACGTATCCAAGATGCTGCCTGCGCACTCCCGTCGCAGCGTGACAGGCCCCAGCCAGAAGCTCGCAACGTCCCTCGAAAACATCAGCAACAAGCAGACTGTCTCAACTTGATTGGTGACGAATTCCTACGAGTGCCCGGCCTGAGTGACTGGGGACGAGGAAGCCATCTCCTCAGACTCAGCAACCACAAGGGATAGCGCAGGATGGCGCAACGCGGGAGTTGCGCAAGTGCCCGTCCGAGAGTCTGCAGGCATAGGTCGTGGCAGGCCATGCCCGCCAAGCACAGGGCAAGGAATCCAAGGCCTGACCACCTCGAACTGCAAGCACTCTGCGTGAGCGGAAGGAAATCCCCCCCCCCTGCGTAGGTCCAAGGCCAACTGCGGCCTTGAGCATGTTCCGCACCGCCCGGATGGGAATCTCAGCGCCTCCATGTGCTCTCACCGTCAAGTCGGGGGCAGCACAAACCCTAACGGCCTAACGACAACACTAAGTCTAAGTACAACACCCCTTCCCCTTAAAAAAAGCGGCCTTCAGCAGCCCCCGAAATCCTCAGCCAAGCCGCCGAACTCCAGGACCGGCGCCTGGGCCTCGAGGTCGGCAGCTGCCCGGCCCCGCAACTTCGCCAGGGCGTCTTTCACGTCCTCGAGGCGCTGGAGCCTGGAAAAGAGGGTCTGCAAAGAAGTATGCAGATTATACATATATATTTTTCTATACATATATAATGCAATAAGCATTCTTGGGGCAAGTTTTCCCAGGCCCCTCCTGGCTCTTTGAAGGGCCCTGAATCGCGGAAGCTTTACCAATCCAGACCTCGGTAGCGACTTCTTGCTGCAAAAGCTGCAAGGGCTGCAAGAGACATACCTTTCCCCAGGCAGCGCACACACACACACACACACATTCAGAACTACCACACAGGACAAAGGAAACGACCAGACTGGCACCAGGATCTTTTTGTATGCGAAACTAGAGGGGCCTTCGACCGTAGGCCCTCCTGGTTCGAACTGTTGCAAGCGGCACCCTCTGACATCACTAGTTCAGGAACCCAGGCACACGACAGGCTGCGTAGGAGCGCTCTGCCAATGACACGTTGACTCTTGCGTGCATGCCGCAAGACCGACAATAGAGCACGCTGCTGGAACAACAGCCCCTTTCTTGACTTTGAACCGCCGGATGCTACAGAATGCACAACTTGCCACCACAGGAGCTCTGCAGCAAATCGTAGCCACTCCCCCATCGCCAGACCGGCTCGCGAAAAGTAGTCGAAAGTACAACCCAACTCCTGGTGTCTGCTCAGGCAATGGAATTTCCGACGAGTTCTCAGGGTTAACGAAGCTGAATGTACCAGAGAGCTGTGTTGTCACATCTGCAGCAGTCCTCACCCTCTGCACTTCGGGGCCAAGCGTGGAATCCATACGGCCCATATGCTGGACAATTGCCTTGAACTGATGCCATGTCCCAATATGCATTTTGTTTCTCTCCAGGTTAGAGCTCGAGGCGCGGCAGTTCATGGAGTCTGGCAGGATCACGCGTCTTCGCAGCAGCATCGCTACCTGCAGCTGACAAAGGCGGCACAGACACCGCGACAGCTTCAACCGATTGGGTTTTTTTAAAAGCTTTTTTGCTTGACATCTCGGCATGGCCCGGACTTCTTGCTGGTCCGACGACCTCCACTGCGGCTGCCAGGTCTTCGAAGTCGTCTGCCAAAGGAGCGCCTCCCGACATTCTGCGTGCAAGACTCCAGGCAGTTTAGCAAAGCTTTCGCACTTCGGGCACAAAGTGCTGTGAATCCACTCGACCGCCACTTTCCAAGCTTGTGAGTTCTCCCGATGTCTAGTGCCTCGAGCGTGGACATATATCAGGAAGCGAGGGTGCTCGCCAAAGCGCTCATCGAAGTCGTCCAAGTACCAAAGGCATCTATCTCCTTCAGCCACTTCGTGTTCAGAATTGTTCACATGACATCTTGCGTGCTCATGCTGTTTGACCGTTTTCAGCCTTTTCCCCCTGACACACGCAGGAAAACTGCAGCACAAGTCTCGCAGGAAGTAATCCTTGGGCTCTACACCATTGGCGTGGACCTGGTACTGGTAATAGACTGGAATGCTGCGGCTGCATTTGCAGCGCTTGACCGCGAATCATGACACTAGCAATGGAGTGGCAATCCAGGCCAAGCGACTGCTGCAACTTCCTGGACCAAAGGAAACAGGGAAGGAAACGAAAGGCTTCAAGAATGACTCATTCGCCTCATGCTGCCAGTACAGATCGAAGCTAGCGAAAGTGCTGCAGAGCAGCTCCAAAACGAAGGGGATTGGGAAGGAGGTGCGCCCGTCGCCAGAAGTAGTTCATGCCATGAGCGATGACCTTGGGGCTGCCCTTGGGCCGCTGCTTGAAAATTGCGATCGGCTGAGGTGCTGGCAGCAGGATCAAGCACGCGGATCTTCAAGTCAACTGACCTCCCAACTTCGCGGAAAAGGAACCACTACAGAAACTCAGATACTTGCCACTATAACGCTCAGGCGTCGTGAGCCGATCTGACGTAGCAGGTAGCACACATCCGTGATGCAGAAGCCGCTTTCTGTTCGACTCTAATCAGCACCTGAGGTTCAGCACCTGAGGTTCAGCACCTGACCTGCTGAGGTACTTCCTTTCCATGTTCATGTTATTTCATGTTGAGGGCAGCTGTCACGGCCACCCGCGCCCCTGCCTGCGGCACGTCCGCGACACTCGGGTCGCTGGAACGCTGCCCACGTTGGTCCAATTAGCAGGTCCAGGCCGTAAAGAACACCATGCCTGGGCACCATATAGCACCTGTCCCAGGCACTTAACAATGGCCTTCAGCATGATGGATTTTCAGATGTACCATGATGTACAGCTTGCACCTTCACTGCACCTGCGTCCACCCATTCCAGCACCAGCCTTGATAGCATTCCATCTGCAACTGGCGCACTCCCACGGACTCCCATCGCTGAGCTGAGGTGCTTGTTGAAAGCGCGTTGGTTGAACCAGTCCCGCTTAAATCCCTTCCAGACCCGTGCATCGAAGGAATCCAGGAACGCGAGAATGAACCTCAGCCAAAAGGGGGGTTCTTCAACCAGAGATCCCGATTTCAGATGGCTCCAGCGCTCTTGATAAAGCAAAGTCTCCGTAGCGCTGCGCCAGTGTTCTTGTGGAAGACCTTTCACAGGCTCGAGGACTTCCGAAGTTTCCCTGTGAGAACACCTTCAAGAACGGCCTCCAACCCCAAATTATCAACTTCCCGAAGCCCAAAAAGCATGCAAAAGCTCTCAGGCGCTTGAAAAGATCGAGCCGCGAATCCGGTGTTGATGTGGTCTTCAGGGCGCAGTGTTGTTGACAGCAGCTGGGACTCTGGAAAGAAAAGGTCCGTCATGACCTGCGCTGGAACGGACACGAGTAAGGACCCATTGAAGCACTCATCACACACAGCGCATGAAGCCACGACCAGCGACCTCCAGGTCGGCATCATTTCCGAGATGCAGAAAGGGGTCGGAAAGCAGCACCACATCTGTGTCCAGCACTAAGGCTGATAATCCTGAAGGCAGCAAGAATCGAAGTACCATCAAACAGCTCAACTGCCTCGGGGTCGTTTCGCACCCAATCTCTGACTGAACGATCTGGCCTAGGGTAATCAGGGAAGCCATCAAGCGATACCTGGAACACAGCGAAAAACATCAAAAAAAAACGTCACTCTTCTGCTGCTATCACTCCCTGATCCAATGCTGACGGAAGGGCTTGAACTTCCAGAGATCCTCAGCTGCGATCCCCACGGCTGCTTTGCTGCTTAGACCCCACGCACCAGTCTTGCCTCACTCAGGACGTAGCCAAGAGGCATCGTTCTGCCAAGGGTTCTTCACAGCATCATCGTCCGCTGGACCAGGAAGCAAAACCTGGCGATCAGCCAGCTTCAACATCGCTCTAGCATTGTGGCTTCACTGTTCCCTCTCTGCTGCTTCGAAGTGCAAGCTGGTGGCGGCAGAAAAGTTCATAGTCGACAGCAGTTGTTGTGAATCACGGTCTAGACAGATGACGACCTGGTGTTGTCGCATTGTTCAACCACATGTCTATCCGTATCAATCCACAGCTAGGGTCGACACCAAAGCGTCCTCCAACTCGGGCACCTGACAAGGTTTCAACAGTGCTTCAACAGATCTTCCAGGTTTATCACCTTCCTTCGTGCTGGGAAGCGGACGTTCTTGCGGATGGAGAGCGCGAGGTTCAGCGCAAGGTTGGCAAAAGCGCCCGTGGTCCACGTGACAATTAGGCGCTGGTTCGGTGCCCGCATGGCCGCCTCCAAGAGCACAATCCCCCCTGTGCTCTTCAAATCAAGGCAATGCCAAAGCCAATAACAAATGTTCAAGAACGACCCCTTCCCAGGATGTTTTCGACTCTGTCACCCACTGTGATTCGTGGGAAAGCCTTTTGTGCTGGGACCTGCTACAGTGCTGCTACAGTAGCTTCCCTACCAGGAAGTGAAATGGCACACGGATGTCGCCTCGCGAAGGGGCGCCAAGCTGTGCAGCGGAAGCAGCCGCGCCCGCCGGAAGCCGGGATGACCTGGGCCTTGGTAGCCCAAGAGCCCAAGAGGTCTTCGAGAGTTCCATGCACCAGCGCCTCCCAAGCATCCCAAGGCTTAGGCCATCGGGACTGAAGGGCAGCACGCCATCCGGCCAGGAGTCTGTTGAGATTGCAACGGCAAGATGACATGTATGCCATGTGCAGGGTACTCGCCAGGGAGCCTTTTGGCACATCTCCACACTTCAGGGCTGCATGTCGCAACTCCACCCATTGGGACACCAGTCCTGAGCTCCAGGCTCCAGGCAAAGCTCCACGTCAACCATACAACCAGCGCTCCTGCCACGGTTTGGCCTTCCCAGGCCGCCATGGCGCGCAATCGCTGGCCTCACGAAGCTCAAAAAAAAATGACTAAAAGAAAGATGGGGTCAACGCGGGCCAACTCCCTCCAGCACCTGGCACTGAGTACTGTATGCATGATGCATGTCACCCGTGCCTGGCGAGGCCGCGGCTGCGGCTGCGATGGCAGAACTGCAGCGCGGCAGGCACACATAAACGCAATAAAGGGTTGATCACAACGGTTGATCCTGCTTCAGAACTTAAGGGTTGATCCTCATCCACACAGATCGCCTTCCTCCTCAAGTGCTTGCAATGAACAGTCCGGTCCTGCATAGTGTCCCGACGATACAACCCATGCCAGGCCGGCATGGCGCAGAAATAATGCGACGCAGGACCCACAACCACAACGGTGTAGGTTTTTCGATTGGAGTGGTGAGCCAGGTGGTGCTGTGCTACTGCTCCGTTGCGCTGCATCTTCCCTGGTGCTATGAGACTCAAGATGCTGCTTGTGCCACATGCGCCCATGCATTCGAAGTGCGCTTCTTCGACAAGGACAGACTGTGCATGTGAGAGCTCACATGGACTGGGGCGCCAGCGCATGGAAAACTGCAAACTCATTCACGAATTCTCCGGCCAGATCCAGTAAGTCATGGGCACCTTTGTAAAGTTGTAACTTTGTTTGCGCCCTGAAAGGCGAACGAGGGCAGCTGGGGCGTGTTCTCAAGGAGCCCAGGGCCCACACTGCGTAGCTCCATGATTTGAGCATGGACCTGTCAAGCCATACCACTTTACCTGGTCTGCTCGAACCTGCAGCAATCTGATTCGCAAGTCTTTTTTGACCTCAGGTTGAGTTTTTCCGCAGCTCATTCTGAGCGCGGTGTTCAAGATTCTGCTACAGCCACGCTTCTCTCAGGCCATGGTTGCCAACACCTCCTCTAGGGCAGCTTTGACTGCAGCCTGTGCCAAGGGCAACCCAAGACAACCAAAAAAGGACAAAAGCAGAAAGATACCCAAGTAACCCAAGGCAACCCAAGTAACCCGCAAGTACCCCCCCAACTCGCACGGCAGCCGGCTCGGACCTCATCTGCCTTCTCCAGGGCCTTGATTTTGTCATTGGCCTTCGCACCCATCTGTAGGGCGGCCTCTAGCGCTGGGAAACTTTAGAAAAGCTTCAAATGAAAGATCCTTTTCCCCCTGACAAACACAAGGCTCACCACACAAGAGATCTCCAAAAAGAAAAGAACGCTTCGACCCCGAACATGAAGGCGAGCCTGGCGCATGCCGATGACGACTGGCTCGTCCAGAACCAGCTCGAATCGGTGCGGGGTGCGAATGTGATTCAAAGTCTGCTCCCGGCCTTCCAGCAGCCTGAGGTCCAGAGCATGCCAAACGGCTAACTGCTACAGATACATATGGTAGCGCGCTGCTCAAATCATCGGGAAGTGCTCCGAGGGGCACGTTGGTGCCACCCGCTGCCATCAAAGCTAGTGCCTTCTGCACAAAGTTGACAACCTCGCCCTGCGTGACCTCGGCCACAGTAGGAATGTTCTTGCCGACCTTGGACTCCTTCAGCACTGTCTTCTCAACTTCGGAGACAAAGTGCTTGCAGCCCAAACCTTCAATTTTCACATCCCATTTGTCGTTGAACTTGCCGAACTCGAGCATCCCGCAGAATTTCTCCAGGTCTGCCGCAGTCAACACGTCCGTAAGCTCGCAGCCTTTCTGCTCGGAGCACGTCACGGCGAGCAGCGTGATGGACCGGAACAGGTTGCCGTTGCCTCGGCAAAAAACCCATGCGGACTCACCATGACTCACCATGACTCACCATGACTCACCATGACTCATCATGACTCATCAGTCTGCCCCTGTCTCTACACACGGACTGAGTCTCAATGACGGTCCTAGGGGCTCCAGGTCTGGGCATTGGGGAGCTTCTCTCTAAGCTTGTCGACGGTGGTACCTTTTCCCGTCCCTGAAAGGCCCTGCAACGTCATGACACAGCCCTTGGAGGGCGCATCACCAAGGGCCGCAATGATTTCGTCAGCGACTTGGTCAGCGCTCTTTCCCGAAACACTGATCTTCTTGATCGGCTCGACTTCAACATCAGCTGGCAGGACCTTCTTGTCCACTGCCAGCTGAATCCCCTTCGCAAGCTTGTCCCCGTCTTCTTGGTCACGCTGCATAATCTCCTTCATTAAGCGCTCTGCCACCTGCTTGAAGGCAGCATCGCTCTTGAACTCTTCAATGATTGCGGCTGAGGTCACGCTATTCTGGAGCGCAAGCGTTTCTGGCGAGATCCCCATGGCAGATCTACAGACTTCAGTAATGCCTCGCCCGTTGTCTACAAGTTTCTGGCGCAGCTGCGGCAAATAGCCTATACGCAATGGGACAAACCTTGCAAGAAGCGGCAAGACCCCAAGGCATGAGATGCTTTTCGAGCCATCGCACTTCTGTACAGTTCATGCCGCGATGAATTGCACGATGCTCTCCTGTACAGGGTCTGGTAGATCTACCCCTGCCAGTAGCAGAGAATGCAGAAAACGGTCGACCCACAGACCCAGCATATCTGACTCCACTTTGCGAAGCAGCTTGCTGCTAGGTGCAAACTTCCCCAGACGAGCTCCCCTGGCAAGCATAATCTTGATGCAGCACTTATGTCGAGCGGTGAGCACGAATCCAGGATATCTTCGGTCAAAAATATCTTGACCTGTGAGCTGAACTTGTGGCCCCCTGCACAGGACAATGCGCAACGCCTCAACCTGTCCAGACAATGCTGCAGCCCTGGCTTCATGAATGGAAAACTCAAGACTTGGATGGGATTCCAGCACGGTCTGAATCACGCTAGCAGCGTTGTCTCGGCCGAGTGAGTCTCTGCAGACTGCTCGAGGGTCAAAGGTTTCCTCTTGGCATTGGGGTGGGGTCACCTCCGAGCTAGCGTTTTCTACATTCTGCTCGCTTCTCTTGGGGACATCCGGCACATGCTTCTTGTGATCGGTCGCTTCGAAGGCTGCATCCAAGACCCGGTGCAGTGACCTGGCGTAGGGTAGCCACCGTACTGGTCGGGCGTTGTTCCTATCAAAGAACCAACCTGTCGCCCCCTGGAAGCTCACCGCACGCTCCTTGCCCGTCCTCAGATTCCGCTGCTGCATCTTCGAGACATCCACCTGGTAGCTCTCGCCATTCTGGGCTGTGAACCGGACAAGATGGCCATCTCGGTGCACTTCGCCCACAGGTGGTTTTGCCGGATATCTGCCAAACTGCTTCTTCCTCTTCGGATCTTCGCAGACCGATCCCATGGCTGGAGCCAATTTGGGGCAGCAAGGCAGCAAACGACAGAAGAATGGGCCACGGAGCTGGGGCCAACCTACACCGGCAAACAGCTCACATCAATCAGAAGGGGACTGGGTGGGGAGCACAAGTTCTACAACAGGCCGGCAGCGCATCCACTTCAGTGCCATCGGATCTGATCCACTTCTTCTCCGAGTAAGGCACAGAGTCCGTCCTCTCAAAGCAGAACTTTGGGGGGGGGGGTGGAAAGCTGCTTAAGAAAGTGCGAAAGTGCGCAGGCAGCTATGAGTAGCAATACCACAAGCACTCGAAAAGAACTGTTGGGGGCGCCTCCCGCGCTCGGCGCTCCGAGCCCTCTCTTTCCCCGAGCCTCTGCCTCTCTGCAGCTGAGCTTCTTCTCTTTTTGGGGGGGAAGTACTATAGGGGCTTCTTAGTTAGGCTCTGCTCAGAGGGGAGGAGGCTACGGTGGTGCCTCGGTCGTGGCCTCCTGGTGACGGCTTCCCTTTGTCTCTTGGATCCCGGCGGCTCTGTCCTGAAGGCAGCTCGGAATGACACAGCTGAGGACGCGGAGCGGTGTCACTTCGCGGTGCAAGGTCCTTTGGGGAGGGTTCCTTTCCCTCCAGGAGACCAAGTGCTAGCAACCTTGGCACGACCAGCCTCACACTTACACCCTCCGCCCTGCTCGTCGTTCTTGTGCTGTGGGCCAGGCAAGGCCTGCGCGGCCACTGCTACCTTGATCTTGCAAGGGTGACGTCTGCAGCAACAAGTTCTGAACACACGTGAAGTCCCAAGGCCATTTCAGGCACCCACTCACACTCCGCCTTACGCCGTGATGGCCTCAAGGCAGCTTCTCACAGAGGGCTCACCTGCACAGGACCGCGGGACCGCGGCCTTCAGCTCGGAGAGCACCGGTCCCTCGCTGCACGCCTTCCCAGGTGCCAAGGGACTTTTCGGTACCGGGCACACATCTCGGTTACATCTCGATCCTTTTGCGAGCAAAGCCCACACTGACATGCTCTCGCCTGGTCGCTCTTCTCGAGCGCCATTGCTAATCGCCGCGCCTGGGCGTCACAGTGAGAACTGGAAGCCTAACATACTCCTAACATGCTTGTTTCAGGTGGTTTAGGAAGCTTTCTAAGACATGGACAGCTCGATGCCGCGCTTGATGTGACTCTGCTTGACGTGCTTGGACAGCATGCCGCTGCAATGGCTCCTGGCGCACCGCCTCCGCCGTGCCATGGAGTCTCCTCCAAGTTGGTTTGCTTATATTCCGATATGTTCTGCTTCGACCCTAAGCCCATGTCAAAGTTCCAGCCTTTGGCCACTCACTAGAGCGACTGTCCGCACGGCCTGCGTGGTTAAAGGTGGCGATATGTGTGTGTGGGGTAGTACATCAAGGATCTCGAGTTGTCGCCACCTGCCGGCTGCTCTGCACTTGCATGGCTGGACTCGTACCTCGGCACACGCGCATACTGACACTAAGAAAACTGGACCAGAAATTCATGCACGGGCCGTCGTGCAGCCTCTGACAACAAGGGCAGCATGCACATACATGCACCAGGGCTTGTGCCATCCTGCAGACCACCAGTTGTTGCTGCCGCCCCAACTGCTTCCAGACCTTCGACAGCTAAATCCAAGCGTGAGGACTGCTGCGCGTACTGACAAGGAAAATGTTCAACCGGCCTAGGTCTTGGACAAAACATGCAAATCAACATGCCTATGTGTTGGCACATGTTGGCACTAAAAGGATCTAACGGCTGCCGCGGTCTTTTTGCTCCTGCTTGCTTCGACATGCCCTACGACTCCGTCGGAAGCGCGGCGATGAGTGAGTCGCTTGCAGGCACAGTCTCAGCATCAGAGGGATCCTCTGGAACAGATTTCGCACCTTGCACAATACATCCACTCAATATTCCACAACTCGCATCAGAAAGCTGCAGAACCGCAGGTGGGACAGCACATGTCATGGCAAGATCGGAACCTTCTGCTGCCTTGGCCGGTGCAGCATGTGCAGCGCTTGCCTCATAGACTCTGTTCATCGCTGTTCCAGAAACCGATGCGAAGGCAATGGGGCCCAAATGACAACTGCGCGCATCCTTTTTGGGTTCTCTGCCTCGGCTTCCTCATCCTCAGAATCAGGTTCAGGTTCTTCCTCCTGCATGTTTCAGGTCCAGAACTGAAGCATGTCAGAGGCAAGTGCGCACCAGCAGGTTAGAGCAAGCCCCACTGGCTCAGCAACACAACAAAGTCAGATCGCGCAGCACCAACAAAGCACCCTGCGCAACTTTGAGGTGAGATGTCTGTAAGCAGCAAGTACGCTTCAAATTGGCACTCGGTAGCCACAGGGCTCTTCATGCATATGCCAGCAAAAGCATGGTGTGAAAGCCTCGGGTTATATACGCTTTAGATGGGCAAGGCACACCGCAGCCAGGGCATTCGCGAAGAGACAGCCTGTTGAATTCAGGCGCCACATTTCTGCAACCTCTCTTACAAAAATGCATGCAGCCGGAGCTGCAACCGCCACGCAGATTTGCTGTCATCAGCTTTGTCTTGCCACGACTACTAAAAAATGGGAAGAACAGTTTCCCCTGTTTCGTATTAGTGATCGCAACATAGCGCACTTGGATACACTGACCATCTGCTTGGCCGGATCACAGCTTCTGCTGACATATACCGTGCAGCCGTGCAACCAAGAAATCCATTACACGGCACTGTAAACGTGGCAAATCCGTAGGTGCCAATGCAGTCACAAAGGAGCCGCTTGTTACAAGCGCCTCAATATGACCTGTGCTGCCTGCGACCAACGCTCTTTGTCACAGGCCTGCTCTAGAACGGATGATGTGCACGCTATAGCGAATGAAGCTTCTAGGACAAAACCAACAGAAGAAAAACGCAAAGGGTTCCGGATTTTCCGGCTTTCGCACTGCCATTCGATCCGACACTAAAGGCTTAGCAACTCAAGAAATTTGATGGGCACATTGGGCACTAAGGGGAGGAACTGCAGAAGGAGTGCAGGGATCGTCTTGAGGTGGGCCAGTCCAGGGATACTCTAGGGGTCCAAGTCGACGGCCTCCAGTGAAATCTACAACCGCCGACCCATCTGATGGAAACCCTGAAAATTCGCCCCCTGTGGCGAGAGTATGGTCACAGAGGATGAAGATTTGCTCACATGATCAGTGTACATCAGCGTCACAAGGTGTTCATGAGAACCTCTATGTCGATGCCCTGAAGCCTCAACCACGATTGGACAGCAGCAGGCGCAGGCAGGATCAAGATATATGCTAAGCAAGGGCAAAAGAGTAGCGAAACTGCAGACTGGAGCCACCATTCACGCCTGAAGGAATGCCATTCGGCACCCATGCGATCTTGGCTCGAAAACCCAGCCAGGCCCTGGTCCTAAGCAAACCTGATAAACTTCACTCTCGATGCAGGTGGCAGCAACTTCTATCTGATACCTGCGCACGCGTACGCTCACATGTCTTCCTAGCTGCCCAGGAATGAGGCAGAACAACCGCTCACCTGAGAGAGTCTTTCGGAAAACTTGGCCGACCTCAACGTCTGGCGCCAGATCAATTGAGATGCACAGAGCAATTGCACACAGGTGGTGCTGTGGTGCCATGTCACCTACAAACCTTCGTTGTGCCGTCCGCGAGCCTGTCGCGCTCCAACCTTCTGAGAATCCATGTGTTCATCTTGTGACGGAGCTTAACTGGCCTGCACGTCCAGCCGAGGTTTAATTGGCTTGCAGCAGTGTGAGGGCACTGCTCAAAAGACGTAGAATTTCCAGACGTATCCTCTGCGCGAGAAAGACCTCAAAGGCAGTCTCTTGCACATATCTATGGACACAGCAGGCTGATGCTGTCCACACTGCACTAGTACGGGCAGGATACTGGCTGCAGCAAGCATTGCATCAGGCCATGCATTGGCCCAACTGCTCTTTGAAGGTTGCGGTTATGGTAAGCCTCCGTGCTGCATGACGCCGAAGTCACAAAGCCGATGAAAGAGCAGAACAACCGGTAACAACAGCCACAGCCATGCGCACGGCGAGGCCTGAAGCCGGCCATCACAGCCCGCTGCGGCCAGTCGAGAAGAAGTAGCTCGATGCCTCGGGCTTGCAGGAAGATGTGAGACAGGTGTTGTTCGTTACTGTGAATGTGTAAACATTCCACCAAGAGGCAGTTCCCTGTCTGAAAGCCAATGAGTTGAAGTGCCATCTTGACTACCCAGTTGGAGTACAGGTCAACACCTGCAGAATCGTAGCAGGGAGCGGCACCGTCACAGCAACAGCCATGTAGTCACGATCTCCTGCTCTGTGCTGTCGGGATGCGAACGCTGTACACGGGCACGTCTCCCAGCATCTGTGGCTCATCCTCGGTGCCCGGCCAATGTACCCTTCAGAGGGTGACATGTGTGTGTGGTGTGTGGGGTCGGGTGGGGGGGGGTAGTGTGGGAAGTGCTGCATATCAGCTTCTGACAGGCGTCAACACAGGCACCGCTTCCAAAGTAGGGGCCGATGAATTCAGCATCCTTGGGCGACTTGGCAGGAACAGGTAGAGGTACCTGATCCAATCTCCAGGGTGGTTCGGCAACTCGTGCTGAGCATCCCAAGAATGCTTGCAGACATGCCTTCACCGGGCGGACGGCAAACTTCAGCCGAGAAGATAGCACATCTCCTGCTAGGGCTCTGTACCTCTTTGCCTTGTGTTGCGCTCTCTGTGCCCTGCCTTGAGCGAAGCATTCTTGCAGCGCTTTGTTGTCAGCATGTTGACAAAAGCACAGCAACCACGCCGGCCCGAATCCGAGCCACACGGCCACATGCGGCCCGGTCCTGGCGAAGACAGAATCGGAGGTGCCCTGGAAGAATCTCTCGCACTCTGTACCTGTCCTGCATGCAACTCCCATTTCTCGATAGATCCTCAGCTGTGTCCGGAAATTTCAGGGCATGGCTAGTGCTAAGCCAAGAATCCGTTGAACATGCTTCGAAGCTTTTCATCACGGACTAGCTTAGCTGTTTAACTGTTGCTGATGCCAAGGCACCTGACTATAGTGGCTGGGTCATCGGCTAGCTCGCGCTTGACGAGGCTTGCACTGACGAAGCTGCTGGCCGCCTGCAGCCTTGACAAGACGAATTCTTACGAAGCTGAAGCTGCCAGGCACATCCAGACGATGCCGGGCTGCTGTATGTTGGGCCATGTGAACATGCTTGCGCCAGCGCTCCAGTCTCCGGACAGGGTCAGCGCCTGGAGCTTGAGGAGCAAGGGGCCCAAAAAAAGAGCTGCATGCATTTTGACTGCGCAGCAAGAAGCTCCATGCTGTTCAGCCTCTGGGTCTTCTGAGTCCTGGGGGAGTCCAGACTTCATTCTGGGTTGAATCTCATTGGGCACATCGTTGAGCAAGTTCTCCCTTAGTTTCCACATGGCGTGTCATGGACGCCGGCAAAGGGGCAAAGACTTCTTAACTACGCGACTTCTTATCTACGAGAGAAGCAGAATGGCCGCCAAGGCTCACAGACTGTAAGGAATGAGCTGAATCCGAAGCAGCAGCAGTTGCGAGTGTAGCTTGAGTGCTGTCTGTCTCCGAGCTGTTCATCCTGAGTGCGCAACCACCACGTTTGCTCAGCTTCCCAAAAGCATCACAATGAAACATGACATGTCGAACTTCGCCACCGCGAAGAGGTGAAGGCAAATTGGGAAACCATCTCATACTGCATGAGAAGTCATGCCCTCCGGACACTTGAGCCTTCAGAATGGCAAAGCAGGAAAAGAGGGAAAAGGTGAGCTGATGTGAGCACAGCAGTTCCCCAGCTTCTCAGGTCACACTGCCAAGCTTCATGCTGCTCACTGATGTGCTCAGTTCATCACCCACGCCCTGCACCACGTGCCGCAGCTATACAACCGCTTTCTGATGCATCTTGAATGCTTGACAGCTCACCATGTGCACTGGTTGGAAAGATTGACTCTAATCGGTGGGTACGAAGACCCACCGCAAGCCGCACACTTTATCGATTGGCATCGGATCATCAAGATGCCCAAGATCAGCTGGCAGTTCCTGGTCAGAGCCGCAGTCGCTGTCACAGCTCGCCTTGGATTGACATGCTTCAGGCGGCTTCTGCAACCTGCCAGGACACACGCAAACCTAAACGGCGTAAGTTCAGGTGCCGCCAAGCATCGGCCGCAGGTCTGCGCCAGAAGCAGCAGCTTGGTTTCGCTTTCGGCGATTGTCTACTGTCTTTACCTGAACTGCACAAAACTGCGCACGTGACACTCGCAAGCACGGCTTGGACGTATAAGCCAAATGTGCAGCCGAGAAGCATGCCATCGCCATGGCCCAGGGAGTACTTCGGCGATCACAAATGTGGCAGTGGATCCCACAGAAACTTAACGTCTAAGAGCCTGGGGTCCGAAAAATATCTCCGTAAGGCCCAGAACCATTACACATATTGCATAGCATGCTGCGCCATGTCCACACGCTGGGCTTGAAAAGCAATTCTGCCGGCTTGCTCACCTTCAGCGCAATGCACCTTCATGCGCACACCCATATGCAGAATCCTCGTCCTCGCTGTCCTTCACATCCTTGAATGCACCAGGAGGTCAGCTGGAGGTGCAGCACGAAGATTTGCCAAGCAACTGGAGGCTTGGCAGGTTCTGCAGGCTCAGGAATTTTGTGCGGAGGCATGTCCGCCGGAACCTGTCGGTAGATAGTCATCCTGTGCTTGCTGCATCTTGCTGCCAGCAGATGTTTGGGTCGTACAGGCATGGCTACCATGGCCACAGCCTCTCCGTCCACGAATCGCCGGATCGCCCGACGAGTTCCTGCAGAGTCTGCATTGTAGCTCGATCACTTCTCGATGTCCAAGGCGCCTGTCTTGATGTTTGTTTGCCACAGCTCGTTGAAGTTGATCTCGTACGCAAAGTAGTCGCTGTGAACCTCACAGTGTCTGACAGGTGTTGCACACGTTCTTGCTACGCATTTTGCCGACAGCCAAAGTCGTGCTGAGACAGGAGCCACGCGCACTCCCAACTTCAGGTCAGGGTGGTCGCCTAGAAGCCAGTAGCGAAACAAGGAATGATTGAACCAATGCAAAAAGCACCCGCCATTCGTCGTTAAGTATATGGCATACTACCCTGCGGCCAAGCTGCAGAACTGACGCCAGTATTTCTCCAACCTCTCAGCGGCTGCATCATCGTAGTCATACCACCCAACCTCCTGCAATGCCACACGGACTGAACTGTTTATATTATTGACATCATCTACGACTACATTCTAGCACTTTCATATATACACTGGTCCAGCTGGTCGAGGGCTTGCCACATGGGCAAAATGGCACAAATCAAGAGGAGGGTGCGCGATACATCCCTTCAGTTCGTATTCATGCTGTGACACAATGGCGTGTGCGCTGCCTTACCATCGATGGCGTTGTGCATGTAGAACTGCCACCTTTGCATCTCTGAAAACAGCGCTCGGCATGGCAGTGGCAGTACTCGGCAAATTGGGGCCGGGCCTTCCCTTCGAATCGCCAGAACCTGGCTCCAGGTTCACCAACCTCGATTCGTGCGTGGCATGGAACGGAAGTCCGGGGACAACCGGCAAGGACTTTCGAAGCAGAGGCAAGTGGCCTGTACTTGCCCGGCAGCTCCTCGAAGGTCATTCCAAGCTGCCCCCAGACATTTCCTCGGGTGGACCAGAGAAGGTCTGTTAAGTTCAGCTGACAGCCATGACCGGCACTGTCACTTGTCAAGGTGCCTGTCTTCTGGCGGTACTTCCTCAAGCAAAACCCCAATTTAATTTGCCTCGGCTTCCGGAAGAGGCGTCTAGACCTGGATCTCGTTCCCCTCTTCACTTTCGTCCGCCCAAAAGAACGTTTTGGGGGACCCTCTGCCCTGGTCCCCGCATTGGGCCGGCCCGGCTGTCGAGGCGGCGCGCGCAAGCGCGTAAAAAACACGTTTGTGTCTTCAGGATTCTGGCCATTGCATGCCCAGGCCTCCGAAAGACTGCCTTGGCAGCATGGAGCTCCGTGAACGGGCCATCAATGTGCACACGGCCTCCCGGGACGCGAAAAACGGCGTTACCCCTAGGCATGGCGGATGCCACCATAAAGACAGGCGGCCCGACCATCCAGGCCGGTCCAACCCCAGTGCTGCACCGCCCAGAATTCAGAGCCATCTGTGCTTGCCAAGAGTTGCCTTCCACACCAGCATCTTTTGAACATGCCTGGCAACCTCATGAATAAATGGCCGAGAACAGGGCATGTTGTAGTACTTGTCAGTGGCCTCAAGGGCGGCGCTTCAACCTACCTGCTCTGCATAAGGCATAGACCTGCACTCTCCTGCACTGGACCATGACTCGAAGTTCCCTGTAGCTTCGAAACCCTTCCAATAACATCCCAGGCCTTGGCCGGATCGTTCAGCACCAGCTCCTCGACCCAATGACATGCGGCACAGCGGCTTCGGGCAATACGCAGAAGCACTCAGCTGAGAGCCACATTCCATGTCAGGGTGCCCTTCATCATCAATCCCTTCCTCAATTGCCAACGCTTGCGCTCGCCCAGGTCTGTCGGCTCAATGCACACTGGGGTCTGCGGGGTCTTGCGTGAGCTGCATGAACTCAAGTGTCTTTGCCACCTCTTGGACGACGGCAGCTTTGCCTGACCGCAGGTATGGAGGCGTTGCGTTGGTAGTGGCACATGTTCATGGCACGTCTCTTCCGCCTGCCAGGCCACTCTTGGCAATGACGGGGGTTTCCTTCGATTGGACTTCTGAATATGCAAAGCTGTGGAACAGCTTACCTGCTTTGGAGTCCAGATGCTGTGGAACAGCTTACCTGCTTTGGAGTCCAGATTGCTTGACAGAGGCACATTGTGTCTGAGCTTGTGCTTGGCGCGCTAATTACCCGATTCTTGCAGCACACCCCTGCGTTGCATGGTCAAGTGTTCCATCCTCTCCTCCGGCCTCACACCGCTTCCTATGCGTGCTGCTTCAAAACCTGCACTTTCACTTTCCCGTGGGGTGCAAGCATACATATGCATGCTGTGGGGATCGCGGTGCTGGTTGGAAAGATTTGTTTCGAGCTTGCTGCCATTGCTGCCTTCGGATTGAACGTCCTCCCATGCATCTTGCTATACACTGATTTGGGAAACGCGTAGCTGCGGGCAAGTCCAAAGCCGTTTAGAGAAGGAACGTGCGGCCCGGAGTCTGTCGTTGCAAAAGGAGCGGGCGTCGCAGAGGTAGCTGCTGAGGCCTTCCCCTCGGCTGGCTCCTGGGCGGGCCGAAGCCACAATGGGAATTCGTAAGCCGATTGCTGCCGGCCTTGGTCTTCGCGGTCTTGGGTTTCTTGGATGGGCTGGAAGCCGACGCCGGCGCCTGCCGTAGCCATGCATCTTCAACGCCATGACAGCGTTCCCCCGCCTCGGATTCCCTTTTCTTCTCCCCCTTTGTCTCCACTTCCTTCCAGCTTCGAGAAGCATCAAGAGACGAGCCGAAACGGAGTGACGGAGGCCTTGATGAGAAAGGCGGCATGATCCAGCAGCGACTTTGCTGCAAAGCAGCATCCCAAGTAGCCTGACGAGAGACTTCAGGATGAACCCCATGAACTCCCATTCCCTTGCCTCTTCCACAGACTGTAACATTCAGAGGTCAGAGTCCGTAACAAATCTGCAAAGGGGATGCCATGGGAAGGGATGCGTAGCCACGTGGCCTTCTTGTAAAATCGGTGTCCCCCGCCCCTTGGCCAGAGCCACTTTGTGCGTATTGGCCTGGACGCATGGGCTCGTATGGGCTCCGCGGCTCCAACTCTGAGATGCGCAAAAAAAACAGAAGAAGAAAAAAAATCAAATCAAAAAACACAGATAGATAGACAGATAGATAGATAGATAAACAGATAGATATGTATATACGCAATTGTTCTGCACAAATGCCTTGTGCATCCCATCGCCTTCACGTCCTCATCTGTAGAGATCAGGAACTGCACAGACGCCGTCACGGTAGAGGAAACCTGCTGCGCCATGTACGCCGATGCGAAATACGTTTGGCACCTGGATGTTGCAGGTTGAACACCTCTCCGCCGTGGCGACGAATCAGGTCCTCATATGCCTGCACACGGAGAGAGCTTTGGAACCCACCGACATCAACCCATGAGTTCTGCGAGCCTTCTGCGTCTGAGCCAGCTTTCCTGCCAAGTCCCAACTTGGGCCCATGCTGCTACCGGCTCGCAACAACCCAGCCTGACAGCGCAAAGACGACACCCTTGAAGAACCTGGCTGCGACAGCGGAATCCGCGACGGCGCTTACAAGGACAGGGTTTGGAAGGCTTCATTTGGCCGTGAACCCTTCTTTGAATCACGACCTCATCAATGCCAAGGCACGCTTTGGGGGGCATAGCTGCAGCATTGGGTGCGGACAATGGGTGATGATGGCCTACTGTACAATATGCGACGACTCCTATTCTTTTTGGCTTGGCTGCTTTTCAACTAACGTGAGGAATACTTGATTTTGGGATAAAATGCTTGATGAATAGCTGCTCGAGCATGCGCTAATCGAGTCTTGAGCCTCTGGCAGCTACTCCACAGTCCACTGGCCAGCGAGCTGTCAACTCTGGTTGCTGCTGAGGCGACAGCCACCCATATCCATCAGACCTCAACTCTTGAACGCATGTGAACCTTAGGATATGATGCTGGCGAGCTTCAGGGTCTCCACGTGCTTTTTGCACCGTAGGGCCTTGGCCAGCTCCAATTGGCCCAGGCCTAAAGAAACGATGTCATGAGCGAGACGCAAGCCGCCCGTTGAATTGTGAAGACGGTAGAACGGCGTATACAGTTTTACAGAGCAGTGCAATGGAGACACTACGTGCAGGATAATGCAGGCAACACCAGCACGGCAGCTTGCTACAGGTACACAGCTGCGAAATATCACTGCGGCCTGGCCATCTGTGCTCATGGAAGAGGAGGCCGGCGGGCAAGTTATCGAAAAATGAATGCTTCTGACTGTTGTGGTGCTTACACAAGCGAGCCAGGCCCCTGCAGAACCTGTGTGAGACAGGATGCAGACCTATGCAGAAGATTCACGTGCTTCGCGTGCAATGCAACTGCTGTGCTACTGTTCGCTCGAGGCATGCCATGCTTTGAGCAGGAACTACAAGCTGGTCAGGTTCCAGGGTGGCGCCAGGGTCAATCTGACACAATTGCTGTGCACTTGCTGCCTGAATCGTTCGCATCTGGCAAATTGTGGCATGTTCCTGCTCCGACTTCGGTGCCAGGCCAAGGCAGGAAACCAACATCTGCTAACAGAGTGAAACGCCCCCAGCACACGCGTAAGACGGTGTTGGCAGGGAGGGCAGCATCCTCCAACCGAGAACATCTCCGCTGCCAGTAACATCCAAACATTCTGCAGTCGCTATGGCTCCGTGGCCATTGTGACCACCGAAGACATAAATGCTGAGTGTGTTCGCGACGGGTTTGTGGCAGAGACTCACGCAGCCAAGTCGTGGTGTTGGCATGTCCGCAACAGCTTCCCAGATAAAAGCTGCTGTGTCCAGTCGCTCGACGGCTGCAAGTGCCCTACCTCTACCTGCATGACCGCCAAAAACAAAGACTGATCTACCAACAGCTGCCGCTGAGCAGCCCAGACGAGGTGTAGGCATCGGCGGAAGCGGAGACCAACGGCCGGATTCTACGTGCAACATGTCGGCGGAGGAAAGGAAATCTCGACATCGACCACCGACCACAACGAGTCGATCAGTCAGTGAAGCTGCAGCGCAGGCATCACGACTGCATGGCATATCTTCCAAGCACTCCCACCACAACACGGTCTCGTCGACTGTCAATCGCTCGGTCACCGACAAAGCCTCATCATGCTCGCAGCCGCCGAGGACATACAAGAAAGACCCGCACGAGGCCACCCCACAGGCCTCCCTGGCAGTCGGCATGTCGGGAACAGGCTCCCAAAAACCCATCTCGACATCGTATCGCTCGACAGTCCCTAGCACGTGTCCCTCCTGTTGGCCCCCGATGACGTAGATTTTCCCCAAGCAATGCGCACCACTGCACCAACGCCTCTCCGTGGGCATGGGCTGTCTGACATCCCATACGTTTTGTGATGGGTCATAGTGCTGCAGGCAGGAAAGCTCAGTTCCTGCCACGCACCCACCGACCACGAAGAATTGAGGCTGCACCTCTTCACAAAGTCGAGGCAGCATTTGCCGCATGCCTCGTGGCACTCGGCACTCGTGGTCACGCGCAACGCACGTCTGGCAGACTGTGGATCTCTGAGTTCTGAGTTCGGAGCTCGCTCCGTGGCTCCGGGCTGAGGTGGCGAAGCGCCGCGAGGCGCGCAGGCCCACAGCGAGGCCCAGCGCATGCGCCAGCTCAGGCAGCTGCAGAAGCTCCTCCCGAGAAGCACACGCTGTTGTTCGGCTCCCCTAAAGCGCCTCGTGCCAATGGCCCCTTGTGCAAAAAGAGCTCCAGCAGAAGCGCCGCCTGCACCCAGCTCAACTTCATGAAAGCCCACATGCAGTCACACGCAAGCTGCAAACTGGAAATGCAGGGACTGCCTGTAGTCGCGCTCGCCTGGCAGCCTGCTGCGTCAAGCTCTTGGCCAGGTCGATCTGCTCCAGCTTTCGGACCCTGCAAAAAGGACAGCGGATGCAAGACACACAAAGGGGCTCCAAAAAACCCAGCGGCCGAGATGCAACTCGTCTTGAGCGGCAGCAAAGGCCAGAGGGGCTGCCCCCAGCGTGGCACAGCCAGGAAGCGGTGCTGCAGGCAAAGGCTCGAGGCCAGCACCCATCTGCTCAAGACATCCATGGTGGGATATGTGTGTTTCAAGTCCCAAGTGTGATATGTGGTGTTCTCGTGTTCTAAGGCCCATGGACCTATGGATTCTGCTATCTCGTGGGCGGTACGAGCAACGATGGGCCAGTTATCCTGAGGACATACCCTGCAGCTTCAGCAGCTACTGCAACACATTGCAACGCTGCAGCTTGCTGCAGGGAAGTCGACGATGACACTGCCGGAGCTTGCTTGACTCATACTGGCAATGGCTTCTACACGACACACATGCTGGATTTTCGAGGCGTGGACAGCTCTCGTCAGGCATGCAGGTTCTCAACAGTGGCCCTTAAATGGGATGTCTTCCCTATGTGAGAACACCTGTGCACTCTGAATTTGCTGCTTGAGCAGCAACCTTAATTGGTCTGCAGCATCATTCGTGGACGATCTCATCACACCGATGCCATGCATAGCGCACTGAGCAGTTGCAAGAGGGTACACCAAGCAATGAGGAACTATCTGTGGAGCGTCCACGAACTGATGCAGCAGGAAGAATAATATCTGCAGGGTTTCTCCGCAAATTTTTAGCCACAGGCCCAATCCGGCGTGGCCACAGCACAAACGCACTGGCGTCGATAACTAGTCAAACAACAAACCAACGAATCCGCTGAACCTACGTGACACATTCATCCATGTGGATCTGCACTGGCCCATCAACCTGCAGGACAAAGTTCGACTGAGCTTGACATCCAACCGTCATGACGTCTTCCCACAGAACATCCCTCGACATTCTGTGTTTGCATGTGTTTGCCCTTTGCCTGAAGCCATTTGAGCTCAGCTAAGGCAGCGTGGCAGCGGCGCCGCAACAGCTCGACGGTGCGTGCGGAGTGGCCGCGGCTGCCTCACAGAAGCGATGTCAAACGCAGTTCTCATCAGTTCTCAGCTTGGGGTCACTGTAAGCTAGTCCCAGCCTAGATCGCTCAGGCATGTGCTGAAGAACTCCTGCAACCACGAGGGGCGAAGTCGGCACACGGTCTTGCCAAAGTGTTTGCTTGCGGCCGAGCGGTCCTCCAGCATCTTGCCAAGCAGCGCAGCGTGAACGAGCGCGGCCAGTCGAAGCAGGCGAGCCTGAAGTCGATAATCATCGACCCCACGACTACCCATCACTACCCATCACTACCCATCACTACCCATCACTACCCATCACTACCCATCACTACCCATCACTACCCACATGTCTCACGCTCATCATGGCTCCATATTGGGATTTACGAAAATAGGGAACCACAATGTAGATCGCCAAATAGTAGGGTCCGCGTATAACAAGGACCCCGATAAGGTACCCCCTTTTTGACCCCAATAAGGTACCCCTTTTTGCATCCGGGCTCTACGCGATATCTGCCGGAACCAAAGACTCAACAAGGTACCCCGAATAATTTCGAAAACCATCATGTCCCTGGGCCTCGATGGATGGTGGCGAGGCTACACGGCGGAAAGCAGCGGCCGCGAAGGTCACGGATAACACGGCCTCACCAGCAGTCATATGGTACAGCGATGCTGAAGCTGATGTTTAACGGCTAGATGCCAACGTGTCTGTCCTCCAAGGGTTCCATGCCCTCATCCACCTCGATTTCAGCCAACCGCTCTTGAAGTCCTTCCAGCACCTGCCCCAGTTACTCAGCAATGTCATGTGCTTGGTCTTGTGCACAGGCACAAAATGCAAGGACTGACCTCCGAAGCCATGCAGAACAGGGCCTCCTTCTCCCAGACAGACACCTCGGCTGTTACGTACTGGCCTTCCGTATTCTAAGAACGCCACCAGTACTTTTGTTTCGTCTTTGACCCTTAGAGAGAGCGCAGCGCAACGTTGACATTGTTTCGGTCGGGCACACCGCTTTCCGAACTCTTTGATATTCCAAACTTTGGAGCTCATTTCTCGAAACCGAAACATGTTAAGTTGCCGCCGACAAGAAAACACTCGATGTCGACCTCCTATTCGGGTGCACTGGAGCTTGAATTCTGCATCTGATGCGAACTCGTAGAGGACGGGTACATAGCTCAAGGCCACATACTCTCACGAACGATGCAAAGGCGAAACATCGAATCAGCTTTGTGACTCCTTGCGAGATGGAGTGTGTTTTTTGGACGTGCTCTCTGTGAGCGCATGGAAAGTCACTTCGGGAGATTCTGAACCTGGCCCCAAGGCCGCCATCCGCAACAATCGGGAGGTCCAGATCTGAAGTTCCCACGTCTGGATGCGGCATGGCACCATCATGCATCCTATCAGTCCTATTAATTTCTGGCTGAAATTATCGGGTAGTATCGGGTACTCATCTCGTGAAAAAACTGCACATGTCGCTGGCCAATGTCCAGGGAGCTGGGTCCAAGAGATGTGGTCGGCAAAGAACCGCTTCACGGAGCTCCTCTTGCCACTGAAGCATCTCCTGAGACAACTCGTGACTACTACTGCGGCTCTTACAAGCCTTACACCTGGAGACTTCTGAGCTTCTGAGGGGAGCGGCCAGGTTCGACGCGAAGATGTCGCCGGCCGCGCGCTGCAACCGACCGCGCCGCTCAGCGTCCGTGAGCTTCCTTTCGGACTCCGGCTTCTCCTGGTTTGGGACAAGGCCCACAGAAGGGCTCCCGGAATCTTTGCGCGCACACTCGCCCAGCTGATCTTTAAACCTCCGCACCTTGGGTTTGCAACCTGCCCCGGTTTCGTCACCTTGGTTGCCAGCCACACATGCATGCTTTTCATGTTCATGTTTGCATGACGCCCTAGTATTCTGCCGTGCGTTGTCCCGTCCCGAAAGATGCCAGGGCGAGGTGCCTTGCATCTTTGCTCTCACATTCAGTGCTTGGTTCAGCGAGGCCGCGAGACGCTTCGCAGCCTGACGGGGCTGCGTTGAGGGCCACCGAGGCCACTGCGGGAAGGTGGGCCCCTTGCTGATCATCATCACCATTAGAACAGGTTGTCATGCATGTGTCTTCACACGATGGCAACGACTCGCAGCCAGCCTGAAAACTACTTAGCTCCTCAGTCAAAGAAGCATCATCCAAAACATCAGCACTGCAGTCCGGGAAAACTGCCACCCCCAAAACAAAGTGCTCCGCAAAGTGCCCCCCCTGAGGTGCCCCCTGAAGTGCCCCATGAGGTGCCCCATGAGGTGCCCTCATCAATGCCTCGAAGCCGTCACTGAGCACCATAACCGCGGCAGCGCTGTTCAAGGCGGCCTGGCTTGCCAGCTCCATGACCTCCCGCAGGTGAAGTCAGAGGGAGGGGTGGAACAGCCAAAGACACAGGAACAGAAACACAAGAGAAACAGAGCGAGAGAGAGAGAGAGACAGACCGAGAGCGAGAGAAGAAGGAGAGAGATGTAGAAAAATCAAAAGGCGGGCAGAGGGACATGCAAAGCATGAGAAGACAGCAAAACTAAACTAAAGAAGAGAGAGCAGAGACGAGGACAAAGGAGAGACCGGAAGGATACACCAACAAAGCACTGAACTTACCATGCCCTCGTTGTGTTCTCGCGTGCTTTGCTCAGCTGGTGCAAAAGCTCTCGAGCCTCGTGGCCCAAGGTCTTGCCAGACTCGCCCTGGGGCTCCCAGAAGGCTTCGCTGTCCTCTTGTGCAAGCAGCGAATGTGGCTTTTTAGCAAGATACAGGAAGGTACTCTGTGCCCTATGCAGTATATGCAGTGAACGGCGCCGAGGTCCGAGTACTGCATGGCTTTGCTGCTTGCCTCCCAGCCCATTGAGCAAGCTTCGTTTCCCAGCGCGATTGCTGAATTCATCCTGCCGATGCATCTCGCACGTCACACACGTCAGCACATTTAAACACAGCACATGTGAATATCTGAGCTTCTCTTGTCCGGCGAGGTGCTGCGACAAGCACTTGTCGGCATCCCTGATGACGCCACCAAACAGCTCCTCGGGCATGGAGCCGCAAACGTCCAAGACCGCATTCAGCAGAGGCATCACCTCCCACGAGGAGGCACAAACGCGACAACGCACCTGTACTATAGGCCCTATGCTGTTCTCTGAAGCATCACGACAGAGTACGGAATAGCACTTACAGATACTTACGGCATCGCGCGTGTCATCTACCTTGCGACCTCGATTCTGCTTCCTCCTCTTCCGCAACACAAGCATTCGCCAACCACCACTCACGGCTCTCGCAGTGCTTCCGGTGAGTCTTTCTATTCTTTCAAGTCCCGCCTGCGCCTGCGTTCCTGCAGCTTGTATCCCAACCCTGGCGGCTGACTCCCCGGTATCGCGCACTGTGCCTGCCGACGTGGGATATCTGCGTGGTGCCGCATGAAGCGGACACACAAGTAAGAGAGCATCTGCAAACATCAAGAATGTGAACATCTCCGCCTGCACAGTGCAGCACCAGACGGCTTCGCCCGTGGCGACTGCTGGCACGCCATGCACCACCGCTGGGTTTCTCCGGCTCACCTGAAACCGCCGCATTTGCACTGATTGCGGATGTCTACACCGATGATACGCATTATCTTCCCACATGCCCCTTTTCTTCCCACATGCCCTGTATAACCTACAGCCCCAAAAAACTCTAGCCTAGGCTTCGCATGCCAAGGCGAAGTACAATCCCGAAGCGAAAGATAAGTGTGGCCGTGGAAGACTCTACGCATTTCGCCCTGAAATGCCATGAGTCCACGTCAGAGGCAGCGTAGCGACATGATATGGACACTTACCCGCCTGTCTCGTCCTCCTCCTCGCTCTGATCGCTCTGATCTGAGCTTGGGTCAACTTCGGGCACAGATGCCAAAGTCCTGTGCAACAAGGATGTCTCAGTCGTAGGTCATTCCGTTCTACCTGATGAGCTCCTGCGGCCCGGCAAAGTGTGCGCTCGGGCAGCTCGTGAAGTCGGCTTGCGCATCAGGAGCTGCATGTCAGCAAAGCCCTTGCAGGCTGAGTGTGGGAGATGTGTGAGCAGCAGGCAAGCGGGGACCATTCGGTGGGCAGCCTGAGCAGTACGAAGAGTGAGATCCGCTTGTAGTGCCAGTTCGCCGGCATTGGACTTCTTTGGAAGCCTTATGCGAGTGAAACGAAGCGGCATTCGAACTTCAGGCACATCAGCGGCCGAGATGCTTGAACTCCACGCCCCGCACCACCGTCTCTCCAGGACCAATCTTTGGAACCACATCAACTTGAGAAGCCCGTGAGATGCCATCCTTTGTGCGCGAAATTGGGCTTTTGAAAAAGGCTCTCTCTTGATCAGCTTCAATGAAGAAACTCACCAGGCTACTGTATCCCCAAGCCACACGCAAAGGCAATGACATGACAACTTCGTTTCATCCATGTCTCCTTGTGTGACAGAAGAAGCTCGTACGCTCCTTGGAGGGCCTGGAATGCTTCGGTGGATGTCTCACCATGCCTGCGAGAGAAGCACACCCACTGCGTTCTGGGCTTGAAGTGCTAAGCTGCTAAGCTTCTCAGGCACTTCATGCTGGCCCCTTTTGCACCAAAGGTTGAGCAATCATCTCATGCTCACGGTGCAGGGGTTGAGCTCCTTGGCCCTTCTTGGCCCCACTTCTGCTTGAGATGCCATGTGCCAAGGAACAAGCATCAAGGTTGGCCCTTGATCCTCCCCCCTGGCCTATACAGGCTCTTGTAAATGGGCAGAACCTCTCATTACGAGAAGTGGTATCATGCAATACCCGCGGAAGCGCTGATCTGTACAAGCGGGTTGCACGAGGCTGTTTCCTACCCAGCTTTGCAAGGCAAGAGAGCATCTGCGATCAGGTGCGGCCAAGTGTTGCGAAAGCATGCAGAGACCCCACTGTCGGTGGGGATATGGATCTGATGCGATGGCTAAGAGGTTTCTTGTTGCTGAGAAGACAGCTCCAGGAAGTGGTCAAGCAAACATACGGCCTGGTCCACTCAAAAGAGCCCCCGCAATGTGGTGCGAGAATTCAATGCGCAAGGAGAAGATTATCTCTTGTGTGCAAGGTGGAGTCTGTCTTCGGTCGTCGGGTGTGCCTTTCTGTCGGCTTTTGGGAATCAACCTCCACAAATGTGTGCCTCACCACAACTTGGTGCTGAGACGACATCTTTTGAGCCAGCTCAATTCGCCGACTCAAGGTCTCAGAGCTGCGAGGAACAAACCGCGGCTTCGAGTTGTCATGGACGTTGGGTGCTGTTGTTCCTCCGTTGGCATGGCGGTAGGCTGTCTTCTGAAGGGAGAAAGCTTGAAGAAACTGTGCACGGATCTTCATCCATTCCTCCCGGATCACAACGCACTGATAGGGCACAAGCATTCGCCCATCCAGCGTGTGATACGCCCTGACCGGCACATCTAAGTTGTCAAGAAAGAGCTGCATGTACGTGGCAAAGCGGAACTTCTCGTCACCGACCATACTCGGGGCGAACCGTGTCCAGCTGCTCAGGCCAAGCGACTCGCCCGCTACGATGGTAACGGTGGGCTCCTGGCCCTTGCTGGGAAGGAATGGGAAGCCCCGTTGCCAGCTCTGAATTGTCAGGGTCACGTACTCTTGTTGATCCACTTCGCGCAACTTTTCGATCCCAGGCCGGTTTAGCCACCACTCGCACGTCCTCCTGCAAGACTCCACAAGCAACCTGAAGTGCGTCGTGGCCCAGCGGGCAAACTTGTCCTCAGACACGCTGAAGATCCCCGCTATTTGGAACTTTCCGTCTTCTTGTGGACGACAATGCAGCATTCCTCGGCAAACGTTTTTGGGAGCAGGTCTCAAGCACAGCATACCACAAGCTTCGCACGCGTAACAAAAGCTCTGTAAGAAGCAGTGGCTAGCAGCTTTTCTAGTCTCAGTGCTAGTGCCGTAAGGGTGATGGATGGGCTGGGTCCGGTGCGGAGCCTTGCGTGCCCAATTGCAGCCGAGACACCTTCCGGCGGCTCATTCGAGTAGTGAGAGAGGCCAATTGCGCAGTCCCCCGGCATGGGGTAGTCACGGGAAACCTTCTGCAAGGCTGCACACGCCCCGTCACCTGTGGTGAAGGAGAACTCCACATAAGGCTTGGCTAACTTGCCGAAGAGCACGGTGCAGAGGCGCAGCAAGCCCCAGTTATTGAAACGCTTGATGATGGCCTCCCCAGGCGCCAGCATTTCCAGCAACTGCACTTGACCCATGCCATCTCCACAGCGATCTTGGTGTCGTGCCCGGGTCTCTGGCCGAACGAATATGCAGCTAGAATCCTCTGGCGCGTTGTTCACTGTGACATCTAAGATCAAGCACTTGATGATGTGACCCCCCCAAGGACAGACGCAGTGGGACAAGGAGGATGAGTTCCTTTCGATTTCGACCTCCCAGCCCTCACTGGACAGCAGGTTCGGCACCAGATCGAACCAATCCTCGTTGCACTCGGGTGGAACAGTCATTCTGACTCTGTGACGACTCTGGGGAGACTTTTGAGCCAAAACCACCTCGACAGGCCACTTGATTGGCATGTCGTCTGATGATGTGCGATGTGTGGACATGTCTAGAGCCTGGATGCTAGCTGCTAGCATCGATGCGCCTGTCCGGATGAAGCTGTCGCGCCTTGCGGCGGTAGGCCTTCCGAGGGGATCTTGACATGCTCGGCTACGGATGGCTACCTCAGCTCGGAAAATCTTGGCCTTGGCAAGCTCTTCTGTGGATGCACTGTGGCTAAGCCCCAGCAGCTGCCTGCAAAATCAAGACGCGTCTTTACAACACACCCCCGACACCACGTTCTCCGTGTGCTACCAGCGATCACCTGGCCTGGCGTTGTCCAAAGACAAGCCCTTTTGAAGCGCTTTTAGGTCAGTTCCTCACGTCTGTGAGTCCATCACACAAACACACGCAGCGCACGCACAACTCCATCGAAGGACGCTGAAGCACCAGCAACAGTCCATTCCAAGATATTCCAAGTGACGAATCTCTTCGAGGGCGCGCGCGTAAGCTGCCAAGCGCTGAGACTTGGGCGGATCCAAGAAGCCCGCCTTCTCCAGGGCACCTGGGCAGGAAACATCTTACAGTTACTTAGGTTCCTGCCCTTTCCCGACCATGCTTGCACAAGCCCACGCCCGTGAGCAAATGGTTTGCTGGCTGTCTCCATTCTTGACGCGGCGCGCTCGTCTCTGCGACTCTTGATGTCCAACAGTAGTAGAAGTTCCTGATCCGTCAGCTCTCCTTGAATCATCCAAGAGTAAGCGATACCTTCCCAGCCTCCTCATCTGCTCCCGGAGCCCATACCCCAACCCCTCGCAGGTATAGCAATATACTATGCTTGAATCGCCGTCTTCGTGGGAATTGGGTAGTTGGGCAAGAGCCGACAGCAAACCGACTTCACTGGCATCACCAAGCAGCTGCCCAGGTCGTCGTGTCGCGGCAGGCGGCCTCCGCACTGGGCCAGGCTTGCAGCTCGCAGGGTCTCCAAGAAGATGCTCGCATCCAGCAGCCTCAGCATGTCGCTGATCCCGCGTAGTCTACCCGTAGTTCATGCACCTACTGCCACTGTCACATCAGATCACCCACCCTTGAGGTTGCGGCTTCTGCTGCGAGCCGTCTGCGGCAGGGTGGGCCTGTTCCAAAAATGGATTTTTCGGCTCTTGCGAGCTTTCAGCGATTGGAGGGCTTGCTGCTTGACAACTTGTTAAACTCGAGGATTTCGGTGAGCACGGCTGCTGAAAAAGCGTGGCGCTTGACAAATGCGCTTTCCTGCCCCAGCCCCCACCCCCAGCAATCGAAGCTCGTACTGCTGGAGCCTTCATGCCAGAACTCAGAAAAAGGTGGTAGCATAGCAACTACAGCAGTCCCCGCTTCGCGGGCCGCTGCCGATGGCATGGAGGGTCGCGGCGAGCGCGTTATGGTCGAGCGGGTGAGCATATGCGAGCATCTCGCCGGATCACCCATCCACCCTCAAAAGAAAATAACGTAGCCTCCAATGCCTCGGGAGCTAGTTCTTCGAGGAGCGACCGACGAAACTCCAACGAGCCCATTTTTCAAGAACACTCCGCATGCATCAGCCAGCCAGGTAAAGTCGTCTTGCTCACTCTTAGTCGTTTCGAGGAGTGCTTGCCTTGCTTCCCTTGTTCCCCTTAAGCCCTCGGGACCCGCAGCTGCAAGCGGCGGAAAGCCAGCGCCATCTGCAGAGTTCCACCGCCCAGGTCGCGCATCCCACCAGGCCCGAGGCCCACACCTGACTTCATCACCAGACATCACTAGACTTCACTAGACTTGACTAGACTTGACACTGCGTTATCTGGCGTCCTACCTTGATGGTCGAGTGAGCTTCTTTCGAAGCCAGTCTCTGTTCCAGGGCAAGCTGGGACCGCAAGAGCACTCGACCAAAGCCCTGAAAACTTGATTTGCAAGCAGCCATGGCTTGAGATGGCTTGAGGCCGCTTGCTGCTTTCCATCGTTGTTGGGTGCACGGTGTCTTAATGCTACTCTACAACATGCTGGGCGAAGAGCTCAGTTGCGGTCCAGGCACCTCCGATGAACCACTGAAACGCATTTGCCAGAGCCTGCCAAGGCATCCCCAGGAACACAAATCACGTAAGGCCCTTTAAGGCCCCTCCCCCCCAAAAGGTGGCCTGTGCAGGCTTTTCTTTGGGTTGAGAAGGTAAGAGCCCTTCCAAGGTCCTTGCATCCTTGGCTTTTCGACTCTGCTTCACGAACCTTCCTCAACCAAAGCCTCCCTACGAGGTTCACAAGCAGATGTGTCACCCTACCGATGGGAACCACGGCTTGTGCCTGGCTTCCCTGCGGTGCAAGAAAACCCCCTGCCACTTGCAGTGCTGGTGACGGACAGCATGGAAGGCGCGCCCCCGGCCAAGAATGCCAGCAAGGACGACTGCGAGTTCAGCTCGATGTGCTCTGCCAGGACCTTTCTCGCCTCTCAATTTGACCAAGTAGGACAGGTATCAATCTCAGGACAACGAAGCAGAGAAGCACAGACTGATGGCAGGACAGAATACTGGCAGCGGTGGCAGCATAGCGACCCCACTCCAAAGCATGAGCAACCCAAACACCGAAGCTTCCGTCTCGACCTGTCGGCCCATGTCTGCTGCAGCATCCTCGGCAACTTTGCTCGCCTTCCTCAGAAAGCACTGCACCCTTGCGACTGTGGAAGCTGCAAGCAACCACTGGCTGACAGAAGTAATCTGGAGAGAAGACTGGCTGCTAGCAAGAGACTCTCCCTCCTCCGGAGTGTATCTCCGTAAGCCATCCAAGACCCGGCAAAAGCAGCCGTGCCAGGACAAACGCCCCTGCCATTTCTCACTCGTGCTGCCACATGTTAAGCTGCTAGGCGGGAGCTTGCCAGCAGTTATGACCTTTACCAGACCGACCAAACCCTCCCAAAACATTGACCACAATCCATATTTTATAAAGCCTTAAAAGCGCTGTGACAACCAAGCCTCACCCCCCAAAGGCCATGCCTCCATCCAGTCGGCGATAGCACCCGGATCGACGCCGGAATCCGGAAGATCGGTTGCCCAGCTGGTGGGCAGAGTTGGCACAGCCACTGCACCTGGGCAAGACACAAAAAGCTTGGCGAGGCCCTGCCCCTTGTCGCGTGTTCCACAACTCCACATAATACAAGAATGTCTTAATGCACGAATGCTAGAATACAATACTATATTAATTTTATGTGGCACCTTCCAAGCCTTCCCTCCATGAAGATCTGACAGGTGCTCTCTTGCACCCACCACACTGCAAGGCGCCTGCGGACGAAAACCCTGCTCAACATGTTCAAAGATGTTCTCAACGCAGCTTTTGCACGATCCCCACTGCCTAGTCGCTCTTTGTTCTTGGCAACAACTGCTGGAACTGCCAGCTCAACTGCTGGAACGGCCAGCTCGGTCCTGCGGTGGGCCACGGCGAAAAAAGGATTCTGTGCTTTTCACAGGAAGCTGCAGCGAACGCCGGCTCTCCTGGATTGCTCCTCGGCTACGGAGGGCTTGGCAGCTTCGGCTTTGGCCACGGGCTCAGCTTGAGCCACTTTGGCCAAGGCTTTGGCCTTGGCAGGTGAAGGTGCTGAGACGGCGATCTTGTGGATGTCTGCGACGCTTGCGGCCTTGCCCAAACCGGCCGTTCGCAAAGTGACCATAAGAGGAGGGGCTGGTTTGGCCCCCTGGGCCACAGTCGCACCAGCTGCTGGCGCAATGGGCTCGAAGGAGCGCGAGCGCGTCGAAGGCACGGAAGCGAGCTTTGCATCACGCTGTTCCGACTGTTGGCCACACTCTTGATGAGAAGTGCCCAAGCCCTTTGAAGCCTCTTTGGCTTCTTTGGAATCTTTGGCATCTTTCGCATCTTTGGCATCTTTGGCATCTTTGGCATCTTTGGCGTCGGGGTCTGGAGCTGGTGCGCACTTGTCTTGCAGCTCGCGGTTGCTGGCAGTTGCGCAAGTGGTCCCAGTGGTCTCGGGGGTCTCGTGGCTTTCCCGGCTGAGATCTGCGAGGTCTGGTCGTGGTGTTGCATAGTTTCGAGCAGCTGCTTTCACCATTGGAGCTCCGCGAGCTATATGGGCTTCAACCAGTGCCGAAGTGACCGGAATGGCCGGGGCAGTGCTAGTGATGTTAGCGCTTTCGCTTGGGTTGGGTGTCTCGGCACCAGGCTCGCTCGACTTTTCTAGTTTGGGTTTGCCAGGTGATGATGCAGGTACCGCAAGAGCGCTGGTAACCTCCTCCTTCGCTCCCGCATCAGCGGCTGTTGCCGCTTTGGGCATTCTACGACCAGCCGGGCTGACGTGCACTGGTGCCGACGGCACAGCTGGCGCATCCACATCAAGCGCGGCCGTTTTCCGAGGAGTGCGCGCCTTTTGGCGAGGGGCCGGCCTGACAAACTTCTACGCTGTCACGGTGCCACATGTGCTTGGGAGTCTGGGACTTTGCTCATGCTTCATCTCTGCCCTAACTAACCCACGCGCCCAACTAAGCCACTCACCACCCGATCATGGTCTGGCAATGCAAGATGCCTCGACTTGGGAAGGCTCTTTGCCCTGGCCCGCGGTGTCGGCGTACCTCATCCAAAAGCTCGTTTCTGCAACGACAGGAGCTTCACTGAGCTTTTTTGCGAATCCAGGCCCTAACCCCGGATTTGCTCGGGCAGAGTTCAGACATCGCTAGCCGCCATGAGCTTTGAATGCACAACCTGCTAAACTCCAGCCTGCAAGATGGTGCAGCAACTTGTTTCTTGTTTTCCAGAAGCAGTCCCTTTTAACTAACTCCTTGGCCACCACTGCAACAACAGCCGCAGCTCCTGAATGCTTCCAAGCATCGCCGCGAAGAAGACACCTGGGACACGACAGGGCGGCCGCGCCAAGGGAGGCCCGCTTCAAGGTCAACCTCCGCCTTGCAATGTGCCATCCAGTCACGTGCCATAAAACTGAGCTAGAGTCTTAGCGAGCTCTGCCAGCTATGCCCACTACTATCAGTCGCCGAAACGTCACGCATCGACAAGACCGCGAGACCGTGGACGCAAGAATGCAAGGCGCATTGAACTCACAGCGTTCTGTATACAACTGAGCACTGACGATCCCCGGAGTCGTCTCTTGAAATGAGAGCACATGATGGGAGGGCGCGCTGCAGCATCAAGTCCAGTGACCACTTCATCTGCAATCACATGAGGACAAGAGCTGAGCATTTGAGGGGACCATTTCGTTTTATCATGGAATGGGAGGGAGTACACTAACGCGAAACAACCTCAAACCGCATATCAAGGCCCCTCTCTCTACCATCGCACACACAACGACCAATGCCCGAAGCCCTTTTATCTATGTGATCTTATGACGGTAGTTGGCGTTTCAAGAGTTTCCGAGCTCTTGGATTGGGGGTCCAAGGCCCTGTTCTCACCGGCCCGCTGCCTGCTGAGAGTGGTTGCAAGTTGCAATAGTCCCTAGGCATTCAGCCGTCGCATGATGAAGGCCAATGGTCCGTTCATCATCAAATCGAATGACGGGTGGATGTCACCAGTTCATTCGGCAATCACATGGTTGACAACAATGCATCTTAACTGGAATGTCCCAGTTCAGCACATACTCACAGTTTGATCTCCGGGCAATCATAATTCGGAAGGAACTGCAGCCGACATGATTTGTGCTCCTTGTTCCATACAATCATTTTGGAAACCGGACTTGGCATGGTACGATCACCAAGATGTAGTCGTAAGTGGCTCGGGCAGGCAAGTCTGGAAGCCACGGGAGGGTGTCCAGGAGACGATGCTAAACGGTACTCACGACGACACACCTGTCAAAGGCAAGGTGCGAGATTCTGTGAGCGGCACTTCCAGACAGCTGCTTCCAGGTCAACCTCCCATGCCTGTCAAGTAGCTTCAGCCACTATCAGCCACTTCAGTTCAGGGCTTTCTCTCGGCACTCTGGGGATTTCGGGGGCCTCGCCAGCCCTCGGCACTAGTGGAAGGCCAGTGAGGGCCGCAGCCCGTGCTCGCAAGGCACTTGCCGCCGACACGGCAGTCTTCGTCCAGGAGAAGCTTTCCGCCATCGGTGCTTGCGCTGCTGCTTGAACTTTCATGTGAGGTCTTCATCTTTTTGGGCGTCTCGAAAGTATGCATGTGAAACTTATTCTGCAAACGCTGGATACACGTGCTGTGAACTCCCAGCCTGCCTCACTCTCTATGACTCTATGCCCTCGCTTTGCAAGTCTGGGCTTCTTGACTGTCCGCTGTCTACCGTCAGCCCTGAAATGGCTTTGTCAGGAATCAACAACAGGAGAAACCAAATTCCCAAACTCAAAACGCCACAGGACTACCACGAGAGCGATACATCGAAGAGGCAGCCACTGGTTGGGAAGCTGTGGATTCGGCATCAAGCCAACCTTGGCCCTGAAACATCCCCCGCGCGTAGTTCTCTCCCACTGCTCTGCGCAAACTTGTTGGTGAAACTTCGACGAACTTCTTATTTGCATCACGCAGGTTGTCACACCTGCCGTAACCGCAGAGGCAGCTATCTGGGCTGCTTCTCAACGACAAAGGCATGGTAGCCCATTCCCTGCCAGGCTGCGGGCGGCAGAAGACTCTCGAAATGTCCATGCCCAATGATATCCATTCTGGCCTGTCGCGTGAAGCGTGCCTGCACAGTATGTCCGACCACGTCCTCAAGGGGAATGGTGCGGACACACATGGATGCAGGCACAAGTTCATATCAGACATTTTTGCAGACAGGTTGCGATGTGTTTCCCGGTATGTGCTCGTAGGTAAATGGTGTCGCCTACAGCCTTGCAACCGGATCTCGCAGCACGGAGAAAAAAGAATCTCTGTGCATTGTGTAAGTGGCAGACAATTGGCCGAGGAAGCGCCCCGGAATGCTCTACAACAAACTCTTGCTTGGGGCCCATGTGGCCACCTCTCGCGCTCACCTTGCCACGGCTCTTGCTCTGCTCCAGCTTCACCAGTGCAAACTCTGTCAGCTTGCCATCCAGACCTCGTCTCCGTTCACCTCCAGCTTGCGGCCGTTCGTATTGGTCAGGAATATCCTGTGGAACTGGGGTGTGAAGCTTGGCCACAAGTCAACAGAACAAGCCCAATCCTGTCTCCATGGTAGACATCACCTACTGAGCGTTTCTCGACTTTGAACGCTTGCGCGGAGGCCTGGTCGGAAAGCTGAGCAAACGAAGACAACGAAGACAACAAAGACATAAGCCAACAGAAATCTCACGAGAAATGCTGCTGGCAGAAAGCCTTGTCAGAAGAATGGGCTCCCACTTGGAAGTCCCGGATCTGCCACGCAAGGATTGGGAGCGGGTAGCTTGGTCCAGACGCAACGAACAGGTAGTTTGAATGCTCGACAGAAAAGAACTCCTTTGGGAACCGGGGAACACTTTAACACAGTTCCATGTCATACCTGAACCACATGAACCTGAGGTGCCTGTTTCAACGTCTCCTTGCGAACCACCGGACGCACTGAGGCTCCGGCGCCCAGGAACCTGCCGTTGTAGGCCCTTGCAACACAGAAACAACAAGGCGGGAGAGAGAACTGGAAGCAAGAGAGAAAACCGAAAAAGAGCTCGAGAGATAGGGAGAGAGAGAGAGAGAGTGAGTGAGAGAATGAGCGAGAGAGCGAGAGAGCGAAAGAGGCGGCAGATGGCTTTAGCACAAAGAGGCGAGACTTGGGCCTGAGGTAGATTGTGTCCCCCGGCTTCACGACTGGATACAACGAAGCAGGACCGGCGCTGGCCATGTCGCCACCTGAAAAAATGTCTCTTGCGCCTGGGTGTTGAAGTTACTGATGCCAGCAAAAAGGAGCCAAAGCTGCAAGTAGCCTGGTCCTCCCCATGTGCGCCACTCTCGAGCGGCCAACACCTGTTCTGCAGGGCACAGGTTCAACTTTGCGTGGCTTGTCGGTGAACTGCCAGAAGCCTCAGGCGTGACCTCCGCCCCATGCGCCAGAACAGTGGCCAGAAGCACCACACCGGCCCCAAGCATAGCAAGATCAACAAGAACAAACGATAACTGCTGGTTGTCAGGTCAGAGTCAGGTTTGCTTCATGACGTCGGTCAGTAAGATGTGCTGGTACAGGCACTGAAGTCGCCATGCATGCTTGGCGGCACAGCAACAAGACCAGACAAGCATGCATGTCGGGGGGCGTGATGCAGGAACCCGCTCATGCAAGACAACATGCGCTACATGCGGCCATGCTTCGAGCAATCAGTTTGACTTCGGCTCGGTTTGCAATCACGTGCAGCAAGAATGTCGACAAATGCATGACCACATGGGCTGAAAAGTGCTACACAGCGCCCCCTTTTTGGTGGTGGCCTGCCGGCTGTCGGGCCTGAGCCTTACGCCAGCCATATTGACAGGTCTCCAGGATTCTGAGAACATAGACGACTGCTAATCGCAATCTGGTGCCCTGTGATGGCATCTGGGGTTATCCCATTCACGTTGCTTCTTTCTTCGCTTGATCCCACTAGCCACGGGTATGCATGAGTCGACATGATCTCAGGATCTAGAACTCTTAAGCTGTTTAACATTTACAGACAAGAGTGTGGCGAAGACATGCTGATCTTAGTCGACCATTCTTGGCTGCTTCCGCTGCGGTTTCGCCGCAGACTGTGCCTGAGCACAAGTAAGAGACTACCAGAAATCAAGAAATGCTCAAGCATACACCAGGCCATTGCACGACCTGCCAGCAAGTGGCTCCACTGTTCTGGCGCACGAAGTTTGTCAGGTGATCATTGGACGGCCGCCCTAATCGGCGCACAATGCGCACCCCTCCTGCGGCAGCTATGCAGACAGGCCGGATTTGCACTACATCAGAATCGCCCTGGGAGCTCTTGAGACAGGCCCTGCCGTTCAGCAGCAGGACCGGTGCACAATGTACTTCAAGCATAGCATGTTGATGTCGGATTTCGCGCAAGCTTCGTCACAGTCCTGTGGGCAACACTTGCCGCTTGTCGTGCTTCTCAAGAAGCTTTTTTGCCTCACATGCGTGGCGTGCACACTTGCTTCCGCAGCGCGCCCGTAATGACCGAAGCAGGTCTATGTGCGTAGCTCAACTCAGCTTAGCCATAGGTCCTGCCTCTTGAAAAGTGGCATGCGTGTCCACCAAGTCGGCGTCAGGATCCTGTGGGCACGCATTCCATCAGCAAGGCTCTGCGGCTCTTGAAATGACACAGGACTCCCAGAACCTGGTAGACAACGGGCAGCTCACTGCCACCTTCAGCCTGTTCAACAGTGTTTGATTGAATGGAAATCGCTTTTCGTTGAACCTCACATTCTGCATGCCGTGCCTCTAAGAGCAAGTCGAGGCTTTTGAGACGAGAACGACGCAAGTCCCGCATTTTGTCAAAGGCCTGCCGCCCACCATGCTTCGGCATCATGCTCCAGTCATGACAACACAGCATGACATAGAACAACACAGCACCAGAATATTCTGCAGAACAAGCAAAACCATGAAGGAGTTTCAAGCAATCTCCAGAATCCATGCCTTGCAAAGCGAGACGAGCGCCTCCAGCTTGGCCTCAGACAGGAAAAACACAAACTCCCGGCGGGGGGGCGGGGCAAGGACCCATTGAATCGAGGCACTTTGCGAAGCATCTCCAACCTCAGACCTGGAGATAGAGCCACTAAGGCGCAGCCTTTGATCATGCAAAAGTCTTGCCCGAGATTCCATGAGAGTTAGGTGGCAGGCTGGTAGGGATGAGCTCAGATCCACCTTTCCTTGGAGGTTCAGAGTTCAGATGTGTGTCAGGTTCCAGCGGCACAAAAGGGCGCATGTTTAGGTCCAAAGCCCCGGCACTTTCCAACAAGCTAACGTATGCGAAGATGCCCATGTTCCAGTCGAGGTTCGCTGCGGGCGGCTGCGCACCAAGTGTTCGAACAACTTGTAGGAATCGCTGCTGCGCCATGTTTCTTCGAAGACTGAGCAGCCAACAGGCCATATGCAGAACATTGCAGAACCATAGAAGAGATTCAAATTGAATGACAACGCCTCACCGGCTTAGATAGCTGGTTCCAAGATCATAGCCAGCTGACCTCATAGCCAGCTGGACGACTGGTACCATGTTCTCGTCACCGACACCAAGGCGTTTCGAGTGCTTCTGCAGGAAGCGGCTGGTAGCCACCCCTTCACCCTGCAAATGAGGAGCTATCCCACAAGCTGATCAGCTTTCCCTCTCTCTCTGTCTGCTACCTAGCTTTGCTCGCAATCAACAGCACGCAGCTCTCTTGCCAGCTACTTCCATGGTGTTACCAAATGTTGTTCCTTCCCGCGGGGCATGACAAAGCTGGAAGCATGCAGAATTCCCAAACCTCGATGCCCAAGTACAGAATGTACCACGCCAAGATGTCCTGGCATCGAGTGCTACAAAGCCAAGGGGCCCCCACCCAACCCCACATGATGGTCTCAGCCTCATCCCGCGGGCTCCCGCGGGCCTTAACCCTGGCGGCACCTTTCTCTAGCTCGGGATCCTCGTAGTACGCCTGGCGCATTCCGCACATTCCAGGACGATCTTTCTCGCTCTCTTCTTGTCACATCGTTGAGTGGCCTCCAGTTCTTGGGCTGCTGTGTTGAAGGCTCTGAAATCACCAGACTCCAGAGCCACCTGCGCCCAGTACTCGTGGGCCTGCAACAAGGACGTCGGAAACATCATATCCCCTGACATCCCTTGGCAACCCCAGCCCCCCGCCTCAACCGCGAAGCCATTATGCAAATGCTGCACTCTTAAGTCCTGCGAGATGCTTCTTAACCTGGGCATCAAGACAACGGAGGGAAAAATGACATCAGAGGTGGCACAAATAATAAATAGCCCAATCCCCGCAAGAATTCATTCCATGACATACCAGGAGGCATCTCGCCGACATGGCTCCAATCTCTCTGGCTTTTCCATTTGTCTTTCGCCATCGAGAGAGCCTGCAGTTAGCCAGCACACGAAAGGAAACCAGCTTACCTTCAAGGGCACTTGGCTGAACAAAACAGGCCTTTCAGCTTCCCCCTCCCGGTGCCTCCCGGAGTACTTGCAGCGGACGAACATCTTCGGGCTTCGGCTGCCCCGAGAAGCGCATCTCGGATGAGGCAAGGGCCCTAAGGGGCCAGAAGCGCATGGAAGCTTCTCTCGATGAGCAGTGTCCCTTTCGGGGATCCCAGTATCGTAATTGCAGTTCCTCAAAATGATAGAGAGAGAGAGAGAGAGAGAAAAAAAAAAAACAAAAACAAACAAGCAGAGAAGGAGGGAAGGAGAGAAGGAGAGAAAGAGAGAAAGAGAAAGAGAGAGACAGAGGAGCGAGAGAGGGTCGGAGGAGACCCCCAAAAAGGGCGCCCAAATCTGAGCACCCCAGCCCCATTCCAAAGAAGATCGCGACAAAAGCAGCCAAGGAGCGAAGGAGCGCTCGGGATCCGTGTTCCGACCCACTATCGGCTCACCAGAGGCAGCCGACTTGCCTCTAACAGATCCTAACAATTTAAGAGAACTCGCAAGGACCCGGCGTCTGCTTACAAAGCACGTTTTTAGCGTTTGGCTTGCATATTCGCATGCCTCCTTCACTTCGCGTGTCGAAGGTCTCACCTGGTGCAGAGGACAGACGCAGCACCAAAACTCCATCACCAAACGTCTCGCAAGAAGACCTCTTTCGAGGCGTGTGCCGGCACGCTGAAGCATAGGAGACATTGTGAGTCGGGAAAACTACATGTTGCTGCCTGTCCAACTATCAGCTCGATCGTCGTGCTGACTTCCGACGGCCAGCGTACGGGGAGCATTGTCGATGACAGCCTGGGCAAAATGGGTCACAACGCCTGCCCCTGATGCTTCCAGAAAGTGACCTCGATGCTGCTGGCCAAGAAGCTTCTCTAAAACTATTGATCTTGTTCTCGAAGGCCTGAAACTCTCAACCAAAAACAGCAACGAACACATCCGACGCAGGAACATGCTTCGTCGGGACAACTTCCCAAAGCCTGAAGCTAGTTCGGGGCCCTAAGCTTCTAAACCTCGCGCAGAATGCAGCAGAGCCTGTGTATTGTGCTGGGACAGTCCCAGCTTTGGCTTCTTTGGACGAGGCTCCTGCAATGACATGCTTAGAGGCTTAGAGGTGTTCAAGCCTCACCGCACAGGTGCCCAGGCCTCCTTGACTTTTTGCTGGCCTCCTGCACACTCGCAGTGATCCCGTTCCCCCTTCTACTGGCAGTCCTTTATGGGCATTCTGGTGGTACACCCGAGAAGCATCCCAGCAAGGACTGTCGGTAGAAGGAGCACCAGCCCAACCCATGCATGTGCATGTTGCAGTTTACGAGCTGGCCTTGCACTTGCGGACCACGAGAGGCTCCCGTGTTGCGGGACCGATCTGCAAATGACTCACATGTTACAATGTTGCATGCAGCAGAGTCGTCCCAAGCCGACCATCCCCGCGCCTCCCCGCGCCTTTGGCCGCGGATTGGAGCGACTTCGGTCTGCGGAATCAGATTCCAAGGCGTCGCTATGCCGCTATGCGTCGTTGGCATGCTTGGAGTTTTTATGTCTTTTAATTCTCCGCAGGAACGGCTTTCACCACCCTGGCCTTTCCACGTTCCCCAGTCATCGTCGTTTCCGTAGCCGAGATTGCCTGGTCAATTTTTGGCCCAATTGCAAACTTCCAGGTGAGAGTTCCACTGAGCGCGCTCCTAAGCAGCAGCACCCTCGCGACCAACAACTTGGGCAGTCCGTCGCACAAACCCCGAAAGAAAAACCCAGCACCCGGCCAAAACACATGCATACACCTCTGAATCTGAATACCTCAACAGAAACCTCCGTCTCAAAACAACCGCGCCTGAGTTTCCGTTGTACCCACCACCAGAACTCAGATTGGATCAGGTACCCTCTGTATGACAAGCAAGCACCGGCAAGCACTTGCACACATGCAGATGCCCAGGAACTGCAGCCGAGGTGCTTCCACCAACTGTCTTGCTTCTGGTTGTTCTGCGTGGCTTCCCAACACGCACTAAGCAGTTCGTCGAACTTGTTGGCCACTTCCGGGTCAAACTCGTGCAAGGCTGTCCACCTCAGACTGCAAGCAGACCAGACTTCTACCGCAGACCCCACCTTTGTTCAGCACAAGCGTGTCAAGTGTGTGTTAAGCAGGTTGCAATGCCAGCATGGGGTCGTGCCAGAAAGTGCAGCCCCAGCTGCAACGTCTTGGTCTTCACCGTGCTTGTCAAGCCCAGACCTTAAGGGTTGAAAGCTTCGAGTCGCTTCCAGCATTTCGGTGCGTGTTGGCCCCAAGGCGCGCAACTCCATCTACGGACCCTACATCTGCGGATCACTCGTAGCACTGTAACACTTCCAAACGACTTGTGCAGCCTCTGCGTTCCCGAAGGCACGTGGCAAAGAGTGCTGCAGTGAAACCAATCACTGTTTTCAGCTTCAGCTGCTCAGGGGTCGATTGTGGCTTTGTCCATCTCGACTAAGGCGATGCTTGGAAACCAGCACCACATGGGCACTTGGTCATCCTGGGTGTCAATCCAGCAGAGGCCCTCACGAATGCAGTGTCGCAGGGCGCTCTCAGCCCGTTCCGAACTCCAGCCATTTTTCACCAAATCCTCTGCACAAACCTTCCCACCTTGTCGGGCTGCAACATCCAAGGCCTGAGCTGGGTCGTCGCTCAGCTCCTCCGGAACCGAGCAGATCAAGCGGTGCTTTCCACAGATGCGGATGGACACTCCAGGCCCCAGCTGTGCCAAGCAGTCCACGGCGCGATCAATATCCTCCATGCCAAGATCACCCCGTCGAGAGCGTCTGAGCGTCGTGAGGCACTGCTTCAAATCCAACAAGCCACCATTCTCATCCCGGCTTGTGAGACAAAGCGTCAACACTTGCACGGCGAGATCGTTGTAGAACTGTCCCACTCCCAACAGCTCATCCCAGAGACCCTTGCTGCTTGCTAACGGATCGACGCCAGCAGCAATGCACATTTCGCAGAAAGACTTGCGGAACTGCGGGTCTGAGTTGATGCGGTCGCGGTGGCGAGACGCAAAGTCCCGCAAGGACTGCTGAAGGTTTTGCAGCAACACTTGGGCTTGCTGGCTTTTGTCGGCCTCGATCCGCTCTCCTACCGCACTGAGCGCATTTTGCTGAGCCTGTCCACGCATTAGGCCCGCTAGACCTGGCTGACGCCTCATGGCTCGAACTAGGAACTTGCAAAGCCTCAAAGTCTGAAAGTCTATGTCGAAGGCTGCAACATGCTGCAACGTTTCAAACTTCTCTGCCATGCTGTGGCCTATCCAAGTGCTGCAGCGATGGCATCGTGTGTCTCGCATGGGGCTCGCTCACTGCTGCAATCTTTCACATTCCAGAAAACGACGCGTACAAAGTGGCGGAACTGTTTATCCAAGCTGCCTAGCACCAATGCCAGCAGCAGTGACCGCTTGGTCAGTCCAGCACCTCGGACATCCTGGAAGTTCTTCACCTGACCAGACAAGGGTCAGTTGCTGCTGGCGTGGACAGTTTCTCATACTGCCCCACATTCTTTAACATCAGCCCGGCAACCTGAGCCAGCATGTAGTCCGAAAGGCGCAAGCCCAAACTGCGATCGAGGTCCTGGACTGGCCAGGCGTGCAAGGACACAGGCCAGCAGCTGTTGATCCACTGCGAAGTGGTGTTAAGGGTCAAAGCCAACGATTTCAGGGATCATGATCAAGCAACTTTCCATTTTCCGGGCTGGGTGAAAAGACCTCAACTAGGGATTACGACGTTGCAGACAGGATTTGCCGAGCACCTGCCGCATAAACTAAATCCAGTACATCAAGCCAACCAGCACCCTCTTAAACCGCTAGAGCCGTCTTCCGGATTGACACACGTACATTTAATAACTCAAATCAGATCCGTAGCGGTGGACCATGTACCGTCTACAACACCCATGTATGCACATTCTTGTTGGAATCGGAAGGCGCGAATTCCAGAGCCAGCCGAGCATCCCTCGCGATCCGCTCATCGGAGCAGTGCTGGTAGAGGCCATCAACCTCACCGGCATAGTTTTTGGTCACGTTTACCTCAATTCTGCTACTCGCCATGGGTAGCCTTGGCAAAGCTGTCCACTGCTGCTTGCAACATTGACGAAGCGCAGCCATGAAAAGGAGACCTGGCACAGCACAACCACGAAATTTGCGCACTGCATTGCAACGCAACTCTGAAGCCTCGTTTCCTAAGGTCCCGGCGACGTCTCCATACTAACAAGCGGCACCATGCCATTGCAAAGGAGCCTGGCACGCAGCCGCGCATGCCGCGTCATTGCAATTCGGGGCTGGCATTTCGGCGGACAACGACTTGTGGACTTGACTTGCCCTGTATGGGCTTTGCCGTACACATCCCCAACCATTTATGGGGTCAACCCAACCAATGGGTCACGCTTCAGAAGCACAGTTTCGCTCATGAAATTTGCCGAAACCTTCCGCAATCCCAAGAACCGGTTGAACCCCATGCTGCAGCTGCCCGTGTTGTCCTGAACATACAAGGCATCACATGTCCTAAATGCTTATCCCGTCCCCCAAAATGCTGCCCAGGCACTGCACTTCCACACCGTGCATTTCTATCCGTGGAGGCCTCGCCGCCCAACAGTACAAGTAGTTATTCCCAGCTCTTCATGAAATAGCCCCTCGTGTAACCGCTTACGTGCGGCAGTCTGACACAGCCGAGGTGCTTGGGCATGATGCATTGGGCCACACGCGTATAAAGCACCCACGGGCATTCGCAAGGGCGATTGTCCAGGGCTTGAGCTCAGCTGTAGCACGTTGCCATGTCCAGGAATGGCGCTGGAACCACCATGCCACGACTATGAAGAATTTGCGGCAAAATGGAACAGTGCTTGGGGATGCTGGTAAAAATCCAACACTAATTTGGGGCCCGTTAAAGGACCTGTGTTATTACTATTTCCTCCTGCACATGTGCGCGTCCCACGCCATCCGAACCATGCCTCCATCCGACCACCTACGCCGCCGCCCATGACGAGGCCATTTCGCAAACTTTGCGCATGTTTAGGAGGGCGGCGCAAGCCCGGGAGCTTGCCACACTTCCAGCGGCTCACGGTGCCCTTGCTTTGCAGTCGGCCACAATTGCTTCTTGTGTTCAGCAGAATGGGCTGATGCACTCACCGTCATCCGGTATATATGATATGCTAGCCGTAAGCCCATCAGCTGGATCTATCCCGATTCAGCTGCCCGACCGTCCTTCAGCTACCCGTGCTGCCTGGCTCAGCGTCCCAGGAAACCCAAAAATAACCAACGCCGTCGCGACTGCGAGCCAAGTACTCAGGCCATGCTATGGTCGCAGTCGGGCCCGCACGCAGGCGTGTGGTGTCGGCTGAGCCTTGCCCCTCCTCAGGTGCACTGCGCCATCGGTTGCGGCTTCTTGCACCTGAGTCCGAACCGATGCGAGGCCAACCCTGTTTGCGGATGGTGGTCCACGCCCTTGGTGATCACGCCGTAGCGTGATGTAGCGTGCTAAGGACGGAGCTGCTCGTGCGCCGAGCCACGGTCGGCGAGCAGATGTGGCTGCAGGTTGCCAGGAAAGCGGTGAACGCCGAAGGCCACATGGTGCCGCGACAATGGCTGGCCCATACCACGGCCCCAGGCGCCGCCAGCGACCGGCATCCCAGGGCAACGCCACATGACGGGGGTGCACCATGTTGCGATGCGGCGTTGGACATTTGGTGTGCCCGCTGAGGCAGCCGGGCGCAAACGTCGAGGATGGCGCTGCGTTGCGTGTCGCGAAGCGTCACCATCAAATGCAAAACATATCAGGTTGCTTACCCGGAATTGGTGCGGAATTAATGTGATGAGAATGAAACGGTTCAATCTCATAATGAATATTTGGATCTAGCAGATGTTCATTAACAATTTACTTTCACTCTTTGCAAACTCATTTTTTCCACGCTTTTTGTAAGGATTTTCAGGATGTGACAAGGACGAAGTAATGAACGAGAGAATGAATTTAAGGAGCGCTAAATGACCAGCATTGACCAGTTAATATTGTAGGTGCCTGTCTAGCGTTTACGAATGCATTTCGATAATCAAGAGCGGGAGTGAGTTCATGTCTTGGATAATTCTCATACAATTGTTCCTTCGATTGATTAGTATATTCAATCCCTTAACAATAACACAAACAGCATATGAGAAAACTTCTGCGCGGAGGAACTTTGCATTTCCGGTGTCTTTTCACTTTTTTTTTTTTTCTTTTTTTTTGTTTTTCCTCCGCACCTTTTTCTGCTGGTCAAGGCGGTCCCAGTGCAGCGCAACGGCAAGGCTCGCAAGCCTTCACGGGAGGCGGCTGGCAATGGGGGGAGGGATGGCGGAGTCGACGAGGACCTCGCTGAGGAGCGGGGGATCCCCATCAACGTTGGCAGTGCCACCGAGCGGGAGCGACAGAAGACTGGCGGCGAAAGTCCGCGCAGCTGCGAAGGAGATGAGGGACGACCAACGCAGCGTGAAGGCAGAGGTGGCTGCGGCCCGGCAGGTGGCAGGGACGGCGCGCGCCCGGCAGCGAGCAAGCAAGCGGACGAAGTTAGCGGCCTCATTGCTCCAGCGCCTCCAACTTCAAGCGCAATGACGGCGAGCCTGCAGCGGTGGGCACGGCAGAACTCTGGGTAGGTGCGCTCCTTGGCCCGCCTGGCTGCCTGGAGGGCTGCACCAGCTGTTTGGCCCCTGACCCTTCGTGTTCATTTGTTTGCGCGCCTTTCGCATGGAAATGCAAGATCCGCATGTGGGCTCGCATGATGTCGTGCCACCATTCCACCTTCATGAGCTGAAACAAGCGATCAAGAACTTGCGGCATGGCAAGGCCGCAGATTGCAATGGGCTGGTGCTGGAGATGTTTTCGTTTGCAAGTGATAACCTATTGACGTGCTTGTTGGGTTTGTACAACAAGGTGCTATCGACCGGTTATGTGGAGCAGTCATGGAAAAATACCGTTTTTACCATGCTGCCTAAAGCGGGCGACAAGTCTTTGGTGCAGAACTGGCGTCCGATTGCGGTCCTCAAAATTACGTACAAAATTTTTTCCAAGCTACTATTGGGACGCTTGGCTCCTTTGATGTGGGTTCCTGGGAGTAATCACGGCATCGAAATACTTCAGCCGATTACGAACTGCAATATGTTTGTTCTGCAGAACGTGCTTGTGTTTCATGAACTTCCCCCAAGCCACTTGTGAACGGTGAGCGACTTCGACAGCTGCCCTTTTTGTAAAAAAAAAAAAAAAAAAAAAAAAAACATTTCCGGATAGGGAACGCCCCAGATATTTGTGCGTCTTGCCTTCGAACAACACTTCCAGCAAATCGTCATCAACTTCAATCGATCGCACTGCAGTTCCAACATCTCACCCATGATGACTGAGACGCTGCTTCCATTTATCCAACGCATATTCCAAGGCAACGTTGAAGAGGAGAGGGCTGAGAACATCACCTTGCTTGACCCCACGCCGTATATGAAATGGCCGACCATCTCTGACAGCGCCCGTTTGTGACGTGTATAAGGATCTCAGCAAAGAAACGTATGCACCAGGCATGCCAGCCGCATCCAACACTGCAAAAAGTGACTCGTGATTAACTCGATCGAAGGCATTGCGTAAATCAAGACTTGCACACCACAATGCGCATCCCCATTCCGCACACTTCCCGAGCACTGAATCAAGCACCACTAACGCATGTTCCACCCCTGTACAAGGACGGAAGCCCATCAGCTTGCACGCGCTGCCTTTGACCCAGAAGCAACTTCATGACCTCAATATCTTGCAAAGGCGTATGCTACGTTCTATTGTTGGTTGGCGACGGGTGGATGGTGAACCATGGTCTGACACCATGACGCGCATGAATCAACGGGTCGCCTCCGCCCTCCAACAGCATCCTGTCACTGCGTGGGATCAGCAATTGCTGTCTAGGCAGTACAACTTTGCGGCAACCGTGACGAGAAATCAATGGCCGAGCTTGGTTTGCAAATGGGATCCCAGAACTCGGTGGTCAGCGAATACGACAACACGACCCACTAGAATTGTTGGCCGGCCCCGTGCAAAATGGGATGATCGACTGTCAAAGTCTGCTGCCCAATGCTTCCCAAACTATGTGAGCTGGATTGATGCTGCGTGTGATGTTGAGCGTTGGAAGCTCAAAAAAGCTGAGTACATAGAAATGTTCAAAGTGGAAATGTAAATACCTGTAGTTCGCGAGCGCTTTTCCAGCAACCTGTCCCATGTCCTTATAGGACCGTAGCTTGACTCGAACGGGCAAAAGCAAAACGCAAAAAGCCTTTTTCCGCGAATCGGCCAAGACATCATGCAGCTCTGGCAGGGGTCACTCGCTGAGCTCAGCGGCAGGCGGCAACTCGAGAAGCGAGGCGGCGTAGGGGCGCTGGGATGCGACTGCCAGGAGATGTCGCGCGAGGACGCGAAGGAATTGAACAGCTTCGGCGCCGAACCTGCCGCCGACAACAACCAGGCGGCAGTGCCGCGCGCGCTCGAGCTCTGGATATGTCTGGTGCCGCTTGCGCCGGGGGCAAAAACCCCGGCTGGACGTCTGCGCGGGGGTGGGGCCTCAAGGAGGGAGCGGTGATGAGGCCACTCCAGCTAACCGCCTGTCTGAGTGCGGCGGGGACACCGTCGGCCCGGAGGCGGAGGAAGCGGGCGGCCTCGGCACCAAAGCGGCCACCTACCTCGACCCCGACGACCACCAAGCGGCAGCGCCGGGCGCGCGCTAGCTCGGGGTACGTCTGCTGTCGCTTGCGGCGCGCTGCGGCGTCGACGGCCTGGCCGGGGCGAACATCAGCGCCCGGCTGCGCCTCCCCCCTGCGGGTGACGGGGCTGACGATGGTGGCGTCAACGGCGAGCTGCGCTCCGTTCCACAGGGACAAGCCGTTGGCCACAACCTCAATGCGACGTGCGTCCGCGATGGGCACATCGACATTCATATCTGCCAGGCGCACATTGTGGCACACCCGCCCTCCCGCTTCCCGGCACACCGGGCAACCGCGCGCTCAAGCGGCAACGCACGAGGGGCCGGTGGTCCCCCAAGCCATCCAAATGGCCGTGGCAGCTGCAGATGCGCGGCGCCAGCTGCAGCGGGAGCCGCAGGCGGCGCAGGAGCAGCACCCGGAACTGGGCCGGCGGGATGAGGAGCTCCGTGGCAGTCGGCCTTACTGGGCACGCCCGGCGTGCGGCCCGGCCTGCGACAGCAACAGCGCACGAGATGCGGTGTGAAGGTCCGAAAAAAATTGCATCTCGAGCGCGCGCTCATCCATGGCCGCGCGCCTTTGCCACCCTCGCAAGGGTCGTCACGTTCGCCATCACCCGGGGGGACGGGCGAGAAGGAGTCCCACGGCGGCACCTCGAAGCCGCGTCCGCGCAAGAGCGCTGCCGCAGTGCGGGCGGACACAAGCGAAGGCGGCTCGCTACCACCCTGCGCTTCAAGCCCTTGCACGAGGCGCTCCGCGACGTCCGGAGAGCGCGGACGCAGATGGCGGGCAGCGAATCGAACCAAGACGCCCACCAGGCGCTCTGGGCAGCCTCAGCAGCGGAATGCAAGCCCAGGCCGCCGAAGCGCAGGGGCAAATGCAGCACACGCCAGGCCGCCGGGGGGATGGGCGCGCCTTCGTCGCCATACAGGAGTCGCCCGAGGCAGCGGCTGACTGCACCGTCATGGGCCTCGGCGAACTCGGCCGTAGAGACGAAGGGCAACATGCGCAGGAGGAAGTTGGCCCGAGTCGCAGCGCAGAAGTGTAGGAGCAGCCACGCAGCTTGCAGGTCACCCAAACCGGGGATGCATTCCAGCAACCGCTCGTGGGCTTGACGCTTGGCCTGCAGTTGGCAGCGGACAAACTCATCACTGCCAAGCGGAGCTCCAAGCACCACAATCCCCTGGCGTTCCCTGGGCAAGGACCACGAGCCAGTCCAAAGGGGATCTGCATCGGGAGGCTGCAGGTCAGCGATGCCCGGCGGCTCCTCCCCGGCTGCGTTCCAGATTCGCGTCTTGCCCTCGTTTAAGCGCACCCGGGCATGGTGCCACAGCTGACAGGGCGTCGCGCGCCGGCCGGGTGCGCTCCGGACTAAAAACATGTGTCGTCAAGGAAGGCCAGGACGGCTTCTCCGACTGCATCTGACGAGCGAACGCCTCCAGCGCGCCGTGCTGCGCGAGGGAATACAGGGCGGGCATGAGCGGGTCCCCCTGCTCGCCTCCCTCACCCTGCGTGATGATGTGGTTGTTGCCCGCGTCGTCCACCCAGATCTAGCGACTTTCAAAGCCATAAAATTGCCTGGCGAAGGGCAGGAGCGGAGCGAGCTCAGGCCGGGAGCGTAGGCCCTCTAGCATGGCCTGGCGGGAGGTGATCATAGGCTCCGACAGCATCGACGGACAGGACCGTCGCCCTGGGGTCCAGCTCCGTGGCAACCCGCAACACCTTTGAAAGCGCTTCCGTCCCAGCCCGCGTGCCAAGACCATACTGGAACGCATGCCGATTGGAAGGCCTCGCTAAACTGCTGCGCCAGGGCGCGCACGACCAACCGCCGGAAGATATCGCCAACGACCAGCGCACGCACCCGTCCGTTGGGTTTGCGTAGGGCCACCATCCGGCCCAGGCGGACTGCCTCAAGGACCGGGGCGGGGATGTTGGCATTGGCCAGGCGCTCTGCCGCTTCGTGAAGCAGCGCCCACTCAGCAGGGTCGTCAAGGAGCAGGCGGAGGTGCTCGTTTGTGTTGCCGGACGGGCCAGCTGCCGCGCCTCGGCGGGCGTTTCTGAGGCACGCCAAAAAGGAATCCGCGGGCAGCGGGCACGGGTCTGCATTGACATGATCCAAGACCGCCTGGCTCAGCGGGACCTGTCGCTCAGGGGGCCGGCGTTCCGGGTCACGCAACTCCGCCCCTGGTGAGCGCGCGGCTGGCCGCCGACAGCTCGCCGAGTCGGACCAGGTGCAGGGACCGCGCGGCGCGCGCTTCAGCCTCGTCCCTGTTGCGAGGGTGTTGGGGCGCGCTCGAGGGGGTCCCAGCGTCGCGCGCCGCAGCCAGCAGCAGTTTGGGATACGAAAAGGGGCCTGGCAGCCTTCTCATGTACAGAGAGTTTGGATTGGGATTGATGAGAAGACGGTCGACTGCCAATGGGCATGCCCTGCCCGCGCTTAGCGCAAACATCTTGACAATACAGGGCGTTCAGACAATGGTATGTACATAATATATTACATAATGAAGCATATTTTCCTGCCATCACCCACATATAACCATTATAAAGGTACTAAATCCCAAAACATATTCTAATTACTTACGCCATGTTAAGCCCCTACACCAAGAGTTTGATGTACGGGGTCAACGTGGCCTTTGTCTGCGGGGTGAAACTGGAACAGGCTTCTGCCAGCTCGGAGAACGCGCCCTGCATGGGATCTGATTTCTTGCACAACTTCCCCAAATACTGTGTCAACACTAAGGCGTTCTTGGGTTCAGGGTAAAAGACATGTGGATCAGCTCTTACACGCTGCTTTCTTTTTCGACGGGGGTGGCCGAGACGTCGTTTTCATTGGCAAGCACAGGATTTTCGGCTCCTCGAAGCATCGCCCAGTGCGAGGGTGTCCAAGTTCTTAGCATCGATTTGCACACCCATTGCGTGGATTCGTCGTCTCCAAGCCCATCCTGGAGGTTTGGTCAAGTTTGGTCCCATGTTGAACCACGATCGACGACCGTCTGCGTGGATTCGTTGCCTCCGGCGTCTCCGAACCTAATCCTCCAGGTTTGGTCGGTGGACTCCCTGTTCCGGAGCGATAATCCTCGAGGTTTGGTCGCATTTCGACGACAGCGCAAGCCTCGAGATTTGGTCGCAGTCGAATCGAGATCACTCGAACTCGGCCTCCTGTGATCCCCTGGCGCTCTCCTCATGAACTTCTGACATCTCTTCGTGGTTTCCTCATTGTCTCCTAAGTGATGTCCTAGTGGCCTCCTGGCGGTCTCTAGGTGATGTCCTGGCAGTCTGCTGGTGGTCTCCTGGCGGTCCTGGTCTTCTGGCGGTCTCCTCCCCGTCTCTTCGTGGCCCCTGATGTCCTGGCGGTCTTCTGGCGGTCTCTTTTGGTAATGTCTCCTAAAGCATCTCCGGGCGGTCTCCTGGGGCGCTGGTATCTTCGCAATGTCTCCTGCTGGCGGCGGTCGTACGCGTGCTCCATATGTGTGGAGCACTTGCCATGCT